TGACTTTCATCCTTTCCTTCCACAAAGTTCAGAACATTTCTTTATTCCCAGCTCAATTTCAGCAAGATTCTAGCTGAATTTAGATACCCTTGCTATCAGGGACAGGTACATCCTTATCTCCTAGGAGTGCCATTTCACTTTGTCAATAACTGGAGGTCCAGAGCATGCAAACCTGTTTCTAGAGCTGCAGAGAAACTCACTGCTGAAGAATGGCAGAATGGTCAGTAAAAACTGAGATGTCTGGCAAAGCAATAGGCTAGCAGATGTAGAATGTTTCACTAGTTCTGTTCTACACGTGAGAAAAAGAGTTTGAGGAAGAAGTAACCTATGAGAAGAGACAGAGATAATAATAAATGTCAACAAAGATATAGAGAAACAATGATGTGGGGGTGGGGTTGTGAAATGGCCAAGTCAGTTTGAAAATGAGGAATTTCCTCAAAATGTTAAACATTTGGTTAATGCAGGATCCAGTCCTCAATTCCACTCCTAGGTATTCCCTTCCAAGTGTATAATTTACAAATGTTTTCTCCCATCTCCCATTTCACACATGTTGAGAATACAGCAGAAGGTTGTTTTCAGCTGTTATCCTCTTTGGGGATTGCCTCATTGTTAGGTTTCCCCTTCTAGGGAAAAGAGTAGCACCCAGTGATTGATGGGTGTCAGTAAAAGGATCATCTCTCTAACCACAACAAGAGTCCATGACCTCCCTACAGTGCTGGCAGCTGCCTCCACTGAGACATCACAGTGCCTTGATTTCTCCCTCCACACAATAAAGTCAGTGCATATAAATCTCTAACGCAGTGCCTTCTCTAAGGGAACTTCATCGGTATCATATATGCACCATTCTCTTCAAATGTCTGTGCTATTGAAGTCTGAAGACTGAATGGGGAAGGATGTAGTCATTAGCTCACTTATGTCTTTGTTAGTCTTTGATGATTGAAATAAGCTACTTCTCTACTATAGTATCCTATCTTCTTCCCCTTGCTTCCCTTAAACAACATGTAGTTTTCCATATATCAAGTACATTTTTAAATGGTCTTAAATCACAGGATTCATGACAGAAGTAAAATTAATTAAAACTCAAAATATAGAGTTATGATTTGGGTATGTACCTTTAAAACTACTTCTGACTATTCTAATGTCTTTCTCTCCAACTTTAACCACCTCCAACATTATTAACCCCTCACTAACTGCATCTATGCACTTGGAAATCTTACATACACTTTTAAAAGACGTTACCTTTAATGCTTATTCATCCACCATTATTTTCTAAATTATAAGTTTTTTATACAAGCAAATTTGGATCTGTGTTTAATAGCTCTATTTCCAACATCTAGAAGAGGACCTAGCATATTGTAAGTAATAAACAATCCTTTGCTGAAAATTGAAAATCTAACAAAGACAACCAGACTAAATTCAATTGCTTATATTATACTATTTCCTTAAAACAATGATGTATATACTTGTGGGCTCATATTAAGTATTAGAATTGACCACAACAGATGATTTTGTCAAAATCTCTGCTCATAGAAAACTATTCATTGAAAATTTCATTTAGCCTGACTATACCTCATATGCTAAATTATATCCCTGGAATAAACAAATAAATGAATTTATATTGAACATGGTAGCTGAGAAAGATCTCTCAGTAGTAGGTATCCCCACAAACACAACTATTTAAACAGCCATTAATGCACAAGCTACATAGTAAAAGTTAAGAAAACAGGTAAAGACCACAGTGCCCAGTTTTAATGAAAATAGAGAAGATGAATTGAATAAAGCAGGAAAGAAAGGGTGGCCTACATCACCTATGCCCAGAAGCAAGCAACCTGGAGAGAAATGTTCTTCATTTGGGAGAAGAAACATTAAATTGTATTAGCTACTTTAGTAATACTCTGATAAAACACCACAATCAAGCCAATTTATAGAAGGGAGGGCTTATGTGGAGTTTACAATTCCGGGGAGATAATAGTCCATTACCATCTGCTTCCATAGCAGCTGGAGAAGGCAGCTGATTACTCCTATCTTAAACTGCAAGCAAGAAGCAAAGAACAAACAGAATGGCATTTGGCTTTAAAACCTCAAAGCCTACCCACAGTGACCTACTTCCTCCAACAATGCTGCACCTCCTAAGTCTCCCCAAACAGCACCACTAAATGGGGACCACACAATCAAAAGGGGGGAGGACTGTAGGGGACTTTATCAGTCAAACCTCCACACAAATCAAGGCCTTAGACTTAAAACTCAATGCCAGACCTGTCATGCTGTAAGCTGGTACCAGAAAGAGTCCCGAACCATGATTCTAAGCTGTTTCCCAAGGAGTGAAACACTGGATCAGTGCTAGCCAGGTGATCAAGGGACTTCCCGACCACAACTTCTCTAGCATCAGGGAGAGAGTAGAGTGCAGAGAGTAAGACCCTCACTATAAAGAGCAGAGCATAAAAGCTAATGTAGGACTCTGCCTTGGACCTCAGCCTCAGTGACTGATTTCATGTTTGAAGATGAACAATCGGTACCTTCCAGAGCATCAGGAGGAAATCCTTCATCTCAGTGGGACAGCTTGAGTTCTGGCTTGCATCACTGCATCGTTGGAGTCAAGCTGGGGCACTCTGACACTGTAGGACCCTTTGGCTAAGCTAGAGCCCAGCTTTCTGTCAGCCTTAGTGGCTAAGGGACTGCCACTCCAATTTGGGCAGCACTGTTCTCTTTATACCAGGGCTCAGAGATGAAGCTTCTTGATCAGCCCTGTTACTATGCATCCTGGTGGATGAACTTGTGTTTTAGTCTGTATTACTGCCGGCTGCAATCACAAGTCTACCTCCAACCCTGAGACTATGTAGATCCTGTGGCTATGAGACTCAGGTGTGATAACAGCATCAGCTTTGGTGGTGATTACCTTCAGCGATATTACCCAAGTTTCAGGCAACATAATATGGATCAAGATGCCATGAAGGAGGGTAGGATGGAGGAAAAACCATAGGACTTTGTTTTGGAACTTATAGTAAGACAAGAGAAACACAGCACAGAGGAGATCCTAGTGTCTCTCATTCTCAGGACTACTCATAGATAGAACCTCTGGATTTCAGGTGAGGAAATACGGCCTCAGTCTATCAGATTTACATTCTGGCTCAGCATCACCTGTAGGTAGCTGGTTGCAACAGTCTTAACCTATTAATTCCCTAATCCATAGGCAAGAAAGAGCAGTATGAGCCTTGGACCAGCCTAGTGCAATACTGTTCTTGTTGGGCTATGAACTCAGAGTGTGCATGATGGTTCAGCTCAGCTGTCAACTTGATGAGTTCTAGAACCCCCTGTGAGACGGAGCCTCTCTGCATTCTGGTGGACAATTACATTGATGACATTAATTGAAAGGGGAAATATCCAGGTAGTACCATTCCCTAGACTAGGATCCTGGACCATATAAAAAGGAGAAAGTAAACTGAGCACCAACATTCATCATTCTCTGCTTCCTGACTGCAGGCACAATGCAACCTGTTCCCTCAAGCTTCTGCTACTATAACTCTCCTACCATGATGGGCTGTCTACCCTGGAACTGTGGTCTATTGTCATAGTTGGGGGTTCTATTGCTGTGATGAAACACCATGACCAAAAGCAAGTTGGGGAGGAAAGGGTTTATTTGGCTTACACTTTGTAGTCCATCACTGAAGGAAGTCAGGACAGAAACTCAAACAGAGCCGAAACCTGGAAGTGGGAGCTGATGCTGAGGTCATGGAGGGGTGCTGCTTACTGGCTTGCTCACCATGGTTTGCTCAGCCTGCTTTCTTATAGAACCCAAGACTACCAGACCAGGAATGGCCTCACCCACAATGAGTTGGATCCTCCCTCACCAGTCACTAATTAAGAAAATACCCTACAGCCAGATCTTATGGAGTCATTTTCTCAGTTGAGGTTCCCTTTTTTTTATATGACTCCAGTTTGTCAAGTTGACACAAAACTAGCTGTGACAGCTATAACTAGCCCTTTCTCCTTTAAGTTGCTTTTGTCAGTATATTTTAGCACAGCCACGGAAAAGTAAGTAGGACACACTGATAAAGCTGGAAGGTATTTGAGATCATCCTTGTCAAAATGGTAAGGTCTTGTCTCAAAAACCAAAACCTACCAAACAAAGTAAAGTGCAAAAATAATCAAAATAGTGGGATTACTTTGAATTGAAAAGCTTTTGCACAGAGAAAGGAAGAGTACGGTACAGTGATATGAAAGAGGAGATGGGAAACACAAGGATAGGGTTCTAATTAGGGAGGGGAGGATAAATAACAAAAGAAGGAAGGTAAAATAACAGTAAGGATGTCTGAAAAAAGTCATAGGGAATAATACTATTAAATATCTACCTGAGGATATCTATGATGCATGTAAGTCATTACATATATATATTTTTTTTTTAAATAGAATTTCCTCTGGTCTGCTGGTGCTCCCTCCAAGAGCCAAAGCCCTTCTAACAAAGTCTCCAGTATTAGACATGAGAATCTCTCTTATGTTGATACCTCATGTTAAAGCACCCGAATAAAATGAAAGGAGGAACATGACGCAGTTTCAGAAGCTGGAGTTCACAAAGCAAAGCAACCCACAAAGGCTGGATCATGGTTTTTTTAAATGTTGTGGAAATAACTAGAAAGATGCTTCAGAGAAGCAAGAGTAGAAATGATATGAAACTCTTGAGAACTATGAGGAAGTCACGGTGTCGCAGGAGAGGGATATGTGGCACAGTCAAAGTGGGATCCAGCTGGGACAGGGAAACAGAAAAGAATGTCATTAAGTAGTGGGTGGGGGGCAATGAAACAGAACACTGCCCCAAGGGCACTAGGAGTCACGACTGGCTTGTGTTCCCTGCAACTTGCAGCATTCATACAGTGTAAACAAATCCACATCCTCACTGAGTACCTGCACCATTGCATTTCTTTTCCAGGCACTGCCAACAACAACAAAATAGAACACCTCATCGTGAGCCACGCTTTTTTGAATAAGACACACTCAAGTTTATCCATTCTCACTATTTAATTTATTTTTCTTCTTTTCTAAAATAGGTGCAACTGGGAAGGCAATGTGGGTAGGTATTAACTGGCTGTAGACTGTTCACACTGGTTCAGACAAGAGCAGGTTGTAGTGTGCCTGTATCTGTATGGGATGGTGCTGCCATCAGAGCAATCGAGTGTAATGTCCCTGTATTCATAGTTTTCTTCACGGCAGCAAACACACGAATTCTCCAATTGGAAGGTCTCATAATTGTACCTGAAAGAAAGGAAATCAATAATAAATATTTTGAAATATTTGCAAACATTCCATAACTTGATATCCATACTTCTGTTCTAATGACTTTTTAAATGGCTTACTAGCCTTTACTTAATGTGATTTTTAGACTTTGTATCCCTTCCAACTACAAAACTCTGATGCAGATCAGTGACAATTGGCATTTGAGACAAGAATGAGATTAAAAAGAAAGAGTTGTCACTGAATAATGGGAACAGTGTCAAATTATAATTATTCTCACTAAATTAATCTGTATGTAAAATTGTATATTAAAAGGAAAACATATAACGCCACTCTAAAATTCAACTTTAAAATGATGGGCAGTGTAGTTCTTTGAGTAAGGACCCTCTACAGTCACTACAGGAAAATGAATGCATTTATCATAAATATGTTAAGCATGTTTAAGAAATGATCTCAGAATAACTGATCTCTAAACTGATTATTTTAGTCCTCAGGTCTTAGTGTTCTATATATTTTTCCATTGTGTCCTAATCAGAGTATTCTTTCAGGTCAAACTCCACTATGTAATGTTGCTTGATTTTTTCTCTAAGCACTAAGTTAATGCACAGAACACATTCAAAGGGAAACTTACTTGAGAGTCCTTTTGCATTCTCCTATACATCTTGCCATCTCAACTTTCTTCCTACAGCCGTTATACCTAACAGTCACATTCACAGGAGCAGTTCTACAGTCACTCTTACCTAAAGCAAAGCACATAACAAAGAAGTGAGATTTAACATCTTAACTATCATTAGGCATACATTGTCTTAAGATCCAAAGGGAAGAGGCACACCAACTACTTGGCCATGTTATTAAGGGAAACAACCATCTCATCCCTGACTGTGAACCTGGCTAAAACTTGGATAAATGTGGTGATGTATTGTGTACCCCAATATAACAAAGCCAGTCACTATATTAAACATAGAGGTCAGGCAGTAGTAGCACATGCCTTTAACCCTAGCATTCAAGAGGCAGAGATCCATCCAGATCTCTATTAGTTCAAAGCCACACTGGGAACAGAGCCAGGTGTGGTGGCATATGCCTTTAATCCCAGCACTAGGAAGGAAGGAAGATGGCAGGGCACAGAAAGGTATGCAAGGTGTGAGTAAACAGGAAATATCTCTCTTGAGGATGAAGATTTCATAGAGGTAAGAACGTGGCTGGCTTATTCTATTTCTTCCACTCCAACCTGGCTCCAGGTTCTTTTAATTAATAAGACCTTTTAAGATTTGTGTTACAGATAGCTATTGTCTTGTTGTTGCTATGATTATATTAGAGGTTAAGCAGAAAGGAAGTGATAAGTAGAAGAAAGAGAGAGGGTTCAGTAAGAGCAGAGAAGATGATGGGACATTTTCCGTTGCCTATTACGTAATCTTGTGTTCTAATACCCAAATTTACAAGTCAGACCTCTGGTGTTAGGAAAGAAAAGTAGTCTGGTTTCTTACATTGGAAACAAAACAAATTTTACAAGAAAAACTACTACTATCAATAAGTAACTAACCCCCTTTGCAAGCATATCAGTTGGCAGCTTGTATTTTGACCCTGATTTCTATATTTTAACATGACTGGTAAACCTTCTATTAATGATCTGTCATTCTATCTTAACGAAATGCTGCTTTTTCAACCACTTAGATATTCTCTGTATAGAGAGGTTAACTTACATGTATAGCAACATTTCTTTGAATCGTAGGTTCTCTCTCCCTGTAGGAAAAAAAATGAAATATTTAATATTGAATGAAATATGAAAAATTTTAATATCCTAAAGTAGCAACAGGAAGGAGATGAGCATGCTGATGTCAGATCTAGGGCGAGGCTAGAGCAGAAAGTGTTGAGCTTGATCATAAACATGAGACTGAGGGTTTAAAACTAAGATTTTGCAATGACAGGAAGAAAAGGAAAAAGAATATGCAAATATGAAAACAAATTATGCTTCACTTACTTCGAAGGAAAAATTCTTTAACACAATACCAGATGCCATCAGTCTTTTACTCAAGTTACGCACTTAAGCTTTGTTTCCCATTCAAATCTTCCTAACTCTTCAGATGAAGTCCAAATAAACTTTTGTAATACAGTATTTAAATTTTAAAGTAATGCTTTAAACTATGTTGTGAATTACAGATTCAGAAAGAAAAGTGATAATTTAATATCCAAGCATTCATTAATATAAAAAGCCAACATATATTGAGTGTGTTGGCACAAGTCAGAACTAGTTGAGGAGAGAGGACCTCATTTTAAACAAGTCCCAGCTAGATTAGCCAGTACGAAAACTTGTGGGGCATTTTTCTTGACTAATTGTTAATATAGAAGGGCCAACTGACTGTGGCCAGTGCCAACCCTGGGATGGTGGTCCTGAGCTATATAAGAAGGCAGCCTGAAAAAGCCATGGAGTACAAGCTACTAAACAGCCCTCCTCCATTGCCTCTGCACCAGCTCCTGGAACCAGGTTCCTGCTCCAGTTCCTGTCCTAACTTCCCTAGTGACATGTTATATGAGAGTTGTAAGATGAATAAATCCTTTCCTCTCCAAGTTGCTTTTGATCATGGCATTCATCACAGTAATAGAAACTCAAACATGGAGGCACAGAAATGATGGTTGTGGCACAAAAATATAAAAATAGTACAGATACCCTGAGTTTTCATTAAAGAAGATGTTTTTTAGTTTTGCTTATAAAATAGTGAAGAGGGATTTGGCTCAATAGGTTAGAGTGGTTGTTGCTTTATTTGTTGTTGTTGTTCTGAGAAAATTTAAAAATTTAATTAAAATCTAATTACATCATCAAATGCTTTTTCATGCTCCCACCCCAGCTCCCTTTGGAATCCTCATATTCCTTATTATTATTGTTATGTATATGTGTATATATAATTATATGTATATATAGTCAAATTTATACATACACAAAGAGAGAGAAAGGGAGAGAGAGAGAGACAGAGAATTTGTAGTTCTTACAAAGGACTCGGATTTAGTTTCCAGAACCCACAACCATCCATACTCCATTTCCAGGGAACAAATATCCTCTTCTGACCTCTGAGGGTATTAGGCATGTACATAGTGCACACACACACACACACACACACACACACACACACACACACACACAAACACATGCAGGCAAAAACACTCATACACATAAATTAAAATAAATAAATAAAGAAATAGCTAATATTTTTGTAATAACCTACTTTTGGAATAGCACTATATTAAGTTTTGTGGAGCTGGAAAAATACAAGCCTTTCTTGGTATGAGGAATATACTCAATTAAAGCTGATATTTCTAGAATTCTCTGGCTCTTGATGCATGAATTTGTATAAAGATCCATGGAACTGACAACAGATCTATATCTCTTGGCCAAAGGCCTACTTTCCCAACGGAGCAGAAAGATGAGAAGGGACTGAGTTGAGCTTAAGTGGCAACCTTGCTCGCCCATGTTAAGACCGTGACTTACTTCTGCACACCACGTTTGCTTTGGGCAGTCCTGAACCACGGCTACCAAGCCAGTGCTGTTGCAGGTGTAGGAGACACATGGGTTGCTAGGATCATCAAAGGATGCACCAATCTGCAAGGTGATTGGGGGGAGGAGAGAAGTTATTTGCCTTGGAATATAATTTAACCTACCAGTTAAAAACTGGCAAAAAAAAAAAAAAAAAAAAAAAAAAAGGATGAAAATTCTGATTTTACTGTCTGTAGAGAGGTACTTTCAGTTGCTGTAACCAGTTAAGGAAAGGTGGTTCTTTAACTTCAGTGAATAAATTAAAATTTTCCATTGGGGACACAGAATGTATCAAAATTCCCAACCTTCAAAATAAAACTTATGATAGTCACTCTGTCATACGTTTAAAGAATATTTTTCAAGACAGGATGTTTTATGGCAAGCAAGTTCACCAATAGTTGTGCTTTATGTTTCAAGAAAAATATGACATCTGAGTGTAGAAAATGATACAAAAGAGGTTTATTGAATTAAGACTCATGGGTCTGCAAGATGTCTTAGTATAAAAGCACTTTTCGTGAGCTGAACTGATAATGAGCTGGATCCTAGAAATCCACTGTAGAGAGAATTGATACCTCAAAGGTACCCTTGGCCTTCCCACATGCGCCATGCTACATGCACACACATTAATAATAGATACAAGTTTAAATGAGGACTAATAGGGCTGCAGAAATGACTCAGTGGTTGATTACTCGCTGCTCTTCCAGAGGACCAGGATTTGGTTCTCAGCACCCAAATGGTGGCTCACCATCTACACCTGAGTTCCAGGGGGTCCAGTGACCTCTTCTGCCTTCTAAGGGCACCAGGAACCCATGTGGTGTACATGCATACAGGCAGACTTATGCACATAAATATGAAACATATTAAAAACATTTATACATTTATACACATAACACTACAAAAACACTAATACACTTAAAATAAAAATAAATCTTTAAAGTAGGGTTATGGCAATCCTCCCAAGATGCCTTACTTCTGTCTTTGTTAAAGCTCTTTGGACTATTTTGTAATTAATTTCTACCCAGCATTCAAAGCACAGTCTGAGAAACAGTGTTTAATTTAGGCCAGTGGTTCTCAGCCTTCCTAATGCTGTGAGCCTTTAATACCCCCAAACATAAAATTATTTTTGTTGCTCCTTCATAACTGTAATTTTGCTACTGTTGTGAATTGTAATGTAAATATCTGATATTCAGGATAGCTGATATATGACCCCTGTGAAAGGGTCAGTTGAGAACTACTGATTTAGGGCTTTAGGCCCTAAGATAAATTCCCTTTTAAACTGAAATGTTATGATTTCAACTCTTTTACATGCAAATTATTACAATTTCCTTTTTTGTTTCTAGCCATTAGGTTTCTAGAGTCACACCAATTTTGGAAATGGAAAGTTGAGGGGATCAGACTGAAATGTGAGCAGGGTAAATGATTTGTGATGGTAGAACTCCGAAGTGCCTCCTGTTACGTGTTTCTCAGCATGCCTCGTTTACTTTAGCTTGAGCTTTAAGTATTTAACAGCACTAGTCGAGAGTGTTAATACCAGTTTGGGAATCATCTGACATATGTGGTTTCACCAAGTCTTTGCTAGAAAGTTAAGCCCTGCCCCAAAGGTGAGCTCAGCAGTCCAGACCCAGTCCTGCACAAGCTAAGCCCCTGAGTGGGTAGAGCCCTTGAGGTTTCTTGGTTGGTGGCTGGCATTTTGGCCGTCTGATCTTTCTGGTTGTAATTACAGCTGAACTCTGTTCGTTGATTCGAATGCGGCACAGTATGTCTTCTCCATCTGGCAAGGCCCTGGGGAACTTCAGTTCTGATATCAACTGCTGGCTGGTTAGTGATTGAGAGAGAGCACTGCTTCTGTTGGAGGGAGCGCTGTGAGAACTGTGTTTTATGTAACTAGTGTGGACAAAGAAGAACATATCCTTGATCTGTACCAAAGTGTTTTCAAAACCATATTTTTAAAATGATAACCTGAAAACCCCCTGGCGTGGCTTAGCATTGCATTTATTCAGATGATTATATTAATAAAATAGAGACGAAAAAGGCTTACCTCATAATCCGTATTGTTAAATAAACAGGTTCTTGGTTCTGAAAAGTAAATGCAATATACTTCTTTAAGATTTATGAAAAAGAATTTGAGGATGGGATAATACTTATCAACCAGTTATACTTTTCTTAAAATAGTATCATTGCCTTTTAACCTATTGATGCTGTTAATATTTCTTAATTCTGGGTTTTCCTTCATCACAACAATAAGTTTTAAGAAGTACTAATTTTGTTATATTTACCAGATCCTAATGTCATTTGTGACATATTAGCTCACAACCACCCCTTGAATGTATAAACAGGCAATGAATGGACCGATTCAGTTCATATAATGTGTTACGGATGCATACCACAGTGGCCGATGTCACAGCAGGAGTCATTCGATTTGAATATCATAAGCTTCTCTCCAGTTTGGCAGGTGGGCGGAGAAGGACACTCTTTAGGTTTGCAGTCCACAGCCTGTGCGTCAGTACAGGTACACTGGTGGCAGTTAGATATCCATGTGTCTCCAGGCTGCAGATACAAACCATGTTTAGACTTTGTTTGCAAAAAGAGGCAGAAAGGAGTTTAGGTTATAGTAGACCAGAACTTTATACTTACAGATTTCTCTTCTCCCAGTGGACCATGACACACTGTTAACATCAAATGATAAGTACTAATTAGATGTTGTAAATTCCGACCACTTGCTATTTATAGATAACAAGCAGGGGGCCCATACTGTCATTGACACCAGGATTTAAAAGGTCAATTTGTGGAGACATCAGGCCTGAAGGTGGATAAATGACACCCACCTGCTTCCAGCAAAGTGTTTTGTATAAGAGTACACGTGTGTGTGTGTGTGTGTGTGTGTGTGTGTGTGTGTGTGTGTGTGTGTGTGTACACTATCCAGCTCACTGTCTTGTAAAACTGCTTTCTATCTCTACAACTCAGTATGTATCAAGACATCATTGGCAAATCCTAAGATCCAAATTCCCTTAACCAATCATTTGAATTCCCTGTCATAGGTGACATTAACTTTCACATTCAAAAATATGTTCTCCTTTCTTTAAATATAATGTTCAGGATCGTCCTAGAAGCTCTTCTTACTCTTCACTTTTTGTCTCCAGTCTCTTCAATGGAACTTGTTCTCCACAATGAACAACACTAAGTGGAAGGCTCTCCGATTTCTAACTTGTTTGAGCCCATGGACACTTTGAAGCCATGGACACAGCTCTAGCTCTGTGAATATACAGTATCCCAACAGATCTTCAATAATCTCTAACATAAATGCACAAGACAGACTGTGTCTTCTTGCCCCAAGCACAGTTTTCTCTTCCAGATTAAAGTACATTTTCTATTATTAAAGCATCAGACTTAGGAGCCATGCGTATTAATTGCAGTTTGTCATTCAAACCGCTAACAAGTCCTTTACTCTCTCCCTCACTTTAAACCTTTCCTTTCTTTGTTCTTGGCTAATCCACCTCATCATCATCAATCCAGCAACTCAATTGCCTGGATTCCTTTCTGATCCAATCGCTTCTCTACACCACAATCACAGCAATTTTCCTAATGCCTAATTAGATAATTGCTTTTATTTTAAAGGTGAGTCTTTTTAAAATGAATACTTTATTCTAGTTTCCAAGGTCTCCCACATTAAAGCCATCTCTTTAATCAAGTAGAACAGTTGATTGGTTCTAGAATGGTCTACTTATTGCCATCAAATTCCAATCCTAAAATCTGCTTTCTCCATAGGCCATCCACTTACTTCTTATTGTAAACTTTATCGTCTACCTCACATGAACACCATGTTTTTTTTTTAATTTTTCATTTCCCCACTAAATGAGGTCAAAATTATTTTCTTTATTAAATACTCACTGCAAAATACATTACATTATCTTAAAAGTAGTAGGAACTCAATAAAGTTCTCAGAAATGAGTAAATTCAGGCACAGTTGCAATTGTCAACTAGAACAAAGGCCCCAACGTTGTATTATGTAGTTAAATGCTCACTGTTAGGAGAGCAGTAACATTACCTCTTATCAGAATATGTAATTTCATGAAAGAGCTAGCAGGCAAATAGGCATGCACTGCTTGGACGCATTGGTTTGTGAATGAGGAAATAACTTATACGTTATTTGGCGAGTAAAAGCCAGATTCACGTACTTAGTTTATTCTAGAACATTTCATGACCATTCATGTACTGAAGTGACTTCAGACACTTGATGCACAAGAAGAACCATCACCATAGAATTCCTCTGCAGTGGGGGTGCACTCACCTGGGGCTGGTGGAAGCGTGCCTGGACACACTGTGTAAAAACAGAAAACCTGTTAGCCTCTGGAATATTGGGAATGGTGTCATGGTGTTGGGGAAAATACATTACTATATTGCTGAAATAATTGGCCATACAGTCAGGCTTACAGATATTCCACCTCTCTCCCTTCTGTGCTGTTAACAGCATTTGACATCCTACTATTGTAGGGTGTTTCTTTTAGACCTTAAAATTTAATAGACGAGAAATCTGTATTGAGAGTAGAAAATACAGACAAACTTCTCTTGAAATTTTTCTTGGAAAACAATTTTCATGAGTAGGTCATGAATAAACAGTAAGGGGTGATTTCACAGGGATGTAATTATAATAAGATAGTTTGGATCTTAAGAACATTTATCCTTTGTTCCAACCTCTTGAAATGCTTTAATTTTGTTTCATCCCTCCCAAACAATTTAAACAGATAACATATGCCTGGACACCTGTAAGTTTCTATACTTCACAGGTATGGGCCAGCCATATTTACAAAATTCTAAATTCTGATTCCAATTCAAAATTGCTGAAAGTCAAATTTGTACTGTTATCCCACCCTATGAAAAGAAAAGAAACACAAACTCACTAGGATGGGCATTCTTAAAAGAAACTTTCAATTTCTACATCTTTACTTAGAAAACAGAACTGAACCCTCTATTCTCCTCCTCTTCCACCGAACCATAATTTTTGTAGATATTTTTGGTTGATCAATAAATGAACAATAGCAATCATATTTTGTGCCTATAAAGCCCCTGTCCCCACTACAAAGGTTACAACATGGCAATCGCCGTTTCTTACTGAAGGTTTGGCTTTGAATGTATACTACAGACCCTAGCATATTTTTAACTACAGGACATGCCAGTGGACCATGAAATAATTGGAGGTCTTCTCACACTGACCTGTTTCCTTTTCAGTGTCTTGACCCTCTGTTGTAGTGGTTTCTAGAGTAGGGGAGGATGACAAAACAATGTTTTACTCACAATAATAAGAATTCATATCATGTCTGGGTCTGTTCGTCTCAGTGATGGCAGATTCGTGTGCAAGGTGGACCCCATATGGAAGGGATAAATTTCATAGGATTTGAGTCTCCTGGATCTTACTATTTTACCTGGCTGGGATACGTGGGCACTGGTGGTGACTACAGCTGCTGTTGAAGTGGAGTCTGCAAAAGGAAGTAAGCAATATAGGTTATTTTATTCCTGGACCAGCACCATCCATAACCTTCTTCTCAGGAATCTCAGACTGAGTCAGGCATGGTGGCACAGCCTGGAATCCTAGAGGTCGGAAGATTGAGATAGGATTGTAAATCTGAGACCAGCATAGGGTACACAGTGAGACCTTATTTCAAAACAACATAGAGCTCTCAGGCTGCATGCTACATCTTCCAAAGAGTCAGATGAAAGCCTTTTTTTTTTTTTTCCCCAAAGGGCTTCCAAGTTGTATCATAACAGAAAGTTCCCCTGTTCTCCTTGGTCCCCATTCTGGCTTACTTCCTTTCCAGAAACCCTCAACTCAGCTCCTTAGGACCAAAGCCACACTGATCTCTGAGGGTGGTATAACCAACATTTATGTTTTGGTGCTCCAGTTCCAGACTGAGAAACTACAGCAGCGCTTCTCCCACTCCTAAGAACAAATTCACATTTCTTACAGTCAATAAAAGAGTCTTTGTATCCAAAGAGAAATAACCCGTTTTCTTATAAACTCTTATTCTTTTGCTGTGGCTTAATGTTTTTGGAGGAAGTAGTTTTCCTAGACTCACCTGTTTTTCCTCCTGTGCTTTGACTGCCTGGTGCTTCTGTGGGGACTCCTGAGGGGGTAAATTTAAATTCTTTTAGTTTATTGAGACCTTAGTCATAAGAAAAAACAAATCCACGATGGTGGGTGAATTAAACATCTCTATTCACCAGAACTAGAATTCTCTAGGTCTCTGGAAATTCCATTTGAACCTGACATAACACCTAAACAGCAAGATAGTTAAGACAGTGATGGGGTGATACATTGTGTACCCTAGTAAACTTGCCTGGGGATCAGAGGACAGAGTCAGCCACTAGATTAGACATAGAGGTCAGGCAGAGGTGGCACACACCTTTAATCCCAGAAATTGAGATCCCATGCCTTTGCTTGGGAAGCACACATGCCTTTAATCCCAGGAAGTAATGTGGCAGGGCAGAGAAAGGTATATAAGGCATGAGGAGACAGGAACTCACTCTCTTTAGGCTGGGGATTTTGTAGAGGTAAGAACTCGTGGCTGGCTGTTCTGCTTCTCTGATCTTTCAGCTTTCACCCCAATATCTGGCTCTGGGTTTTTTATTAAAAGATCATCTAAGATTCCAACAACACAGTGACAGCAACAAGATCATGTCTAAGAGACTGTGTGCAGGGAATGACCAAAAGGAAAAGGACCACACTTAGTTCACTGGACATTTTATCAAATAAAATGAAAGCACCACAGCAAAAAGGCCATGTGAATTTTGTCAAAAGAAGCACAAAACTCTGTTTCTGTCCATTTTGTTCTTATCTGCTATCTACTACAGACCCCAGAGAGTCACCAACCACCCTAAAGGCTGAAAATGCAAGTAACTAACTACTTGCTGTTGCAACTCCAGCATACGCTCCAACTTTTGCAGAAGCTGTAGTCCCTGAACAGAGGTGGGGCAAAGCTTGGGGTGTGGACATTGGAAAATATACAGCCCTGTGACTTTCCACACTATCTCTAGGTGAGGCAGCAGCCTCTGCAGTTCAGAGACAAATTTCCCCAATCATTTTCATGACTCATGAGTGCGGAAATGCCCAGGGGCTACAGTTGGACCAGTGGTTACTCCTGTGGTGACTGAAATCACAGAAGGAGAGAGTAATTTATGAATCCCTCCAGCCTAAAATTAGGATCGGAGTTTAGAATAAATGTGTTTCTTGAATTAACTTTCTTGCTTCTACTGACACATTATTCATGATCCCTGTCATACCACTTTCTCTAAACATAGAAAGGGTAGTTCTCATGGAGTAATGTGTGATCATCCAGGAAATCTGTACTCAAAGAAGAGCTGGGGAAAATTCCCCAAAATTCATTATATCAGACAACTTAAAAATGAAGGGGTAGGAAATTAGCTGTTGGGGCCCATCTAACTGAACTCTAGCATCTGTGGTCCTGCCACTTAAACAAGTTGTTGCCTCTAAATGGACGAATAAAAGCAAAGAAGAAGTTCAGAACCACATGACTAGTAAAAGTTTGCTATGTGTTGGCGAGGCCCCACAACTAGACTCCTTTCTTTACTGTTAAGTCATTGGTTTCCCTATGTTGGGACCACCAGATGCAGAGTAAAGTCATGCCAGATACCTGTGGTGTCTGACATAAAGAGCAAAGGAAGGAGGAATGACCAAAGTAAAGATCCATTATCATCCTAAAACAGTGATTCTCAACCTTCCTAATGCTGCAGCCTTTAACACAGTCCCTCATGTGGTGACCCCTAACCATAAAATTATGTCATTGCTGCTTCAGAACTTTAATTTTGCTACTGCTGTGAGTCATGATGTAAATATCTGATACACAGGATATCTGATATGTGAACTCTGGTGAAAAGGTCATCCAAACCCCCAAAGGGGTCACAACCCACAAGTGGAAAACCCCTGTCCCAAGTGAATGGCCAATAATGGCACGTTATCTAGTTTCCACTCAAGGAAAAAAATCTAATAAGACTAAGGGAAATTTTTTTATTTATTTTGGCCTTCTGTTTACCTGAAGTAGAACTCTCTGAGCCCGTATTTCCTCCAGCTGATGTAGTGGTTTCTGAAATGACAAATGGGAAAAGAAACCTTTCCAGGTAACTGCCACTTCCACTATAGTTTACAGAGAATCCCCTATGTGAGGACTCCTAAAATCTGCCTAAATTGATCCAAAGCCTAGTCACAAGTGAAGACATCATTGACCTTAATGAGACCTCCTGAAAGACCACTTTTCTTCTTACAAAGAAACAAATTTTAATCATAGTTGATCATTACTCAAAAGTCACATGTGGGGCAGTGATGGTGCACACATTTAATTCCAGCACTCGGGAGGCAGAGTCAGGCAAATCTCCGTGAGTTCGAGGCCATCCTGGGCTACAGAGTGAGTTCTAGGAAAGGCACAAAGCTACACAGAAAAAACCTGTCTTGAAAAACCAAAAAAAAAAAAAAAAAAAAAAAAAAAAAAAAGTCACACACACCACCATTCATTCCCACCTGCATTGTTTCCTGTGACCATGGCTCCACTGACTCCCGTGGAAGCTGTGGTTTCTGAGAGAAACAGATGAAAGAGAGGAATTTAGGAAGGAGCTTGTGACATTGTCACTTAGGCAGAGCCATGCAGCCTTCTTTCAGAATGGTTAGCTCACCGCTGCTGGAACTTCCAGATGCCTCGGTCACACTTGAAGCTGCATGGGTGGTACCTGGAACAAGAAGGCATGGAGTCAACATGAAGACTGTTTTGCGCTGATGCAACCGAGGTGTACGGCATGTGCTTTCATTCAGGAACTGTGTACTGGACAGCTCTGGGAGGTGTCATTTAGAAACTGCTTTACCTCCTTAGCAGGTCTTTGAACATGTGCTTTCATCAGACTTTCTGTTCCTGGATTAAGAATTTTCTCCATATACCAACTATTTAGTCAATAAATATGTATTACCCCCTCTTATTCATAGGGATTATACAAAAATAAAGGAAGGCACTTCCTGAGAAGCCTCTTATAGTAGCTTACTTAGCAAACATAACAAAATCTTCACCCTGATGGTAGACTGACATGGGTATAATCTCTAAAGAAAAAAAGCCCTTAATTTTCTCTATTCAGTAATAAACTTATGTCTCTGGCTTTGTGGTTTTAAGACAATCAAGGTATTTCTATAGAATGTATTGCTCCTGTGGTAAATTTACAGAAGACATCTGCTATCATAGTTATTTTGGCCGGGTTTAGTCATAGGGAAGTAGATTTTGGCTGGATCACCAAAATAACTTTCAGGGAGTGTGTCCCATGATGCCCTATTGATAGGTCAATAAGGCACAAACATAAGAAATGCCAGTTTGAATGGCACTCGCTGGCAGCAATGGTAAACGTCGGACACAACTTTTTCCTAATATTTTGACAAATATCAGAAATGGAAAGGTTTCGGGGGGGGATTTCAAGTAGTTATGAAAAAGTGCCCCTGATGCCTATGATTACCTCCACTTTTAGTGTCCCACTTTCTCCCAAAGTGGTGGTGGCTTCTGAGAGGGGTGAAATCAAGACAGGTGGCTGGGAAAGCTACAGTTCTCCTGTGCAGGGGGCAATGGAGCAGGAATCTCTTCATAGATAGAGCCATTGAAGATTCCATGGCTGCTTACTAGCTCACCTAGGTGGGAACTTCCAGGTTCAGTTCCAGTGCTACCTCATAAACAAAGGACCTCAAATCATCACACTGACTCATGTCAGTCTCCTAAAGACCTGCCTGGAGAAGAACCCGAGTGTATGTTTCTCAGAGACCCCCTCACAGCTTCCTGATGAGCTGAGAGGATATGTATGCCCTATGACCCACATCAACAAAATGATCAAAATAGAAATGTTCCCCCCATCTGAAGCCCTCCCCTGAAATTCTATCTATAATGGGATGAGGAATAAGCTGGGTTTCTCCCAGGTCACAATTCCAGTTGTTTGGCCTCTTGATGCTACAGTGGTGCCTATCATGTGACTTAAAAAACAAAACAAAACAGAAAAAAACACTTGACTGTGCCAAAAATATGAACCAAGGCTTAATATCATTATTGTCTTTGTTAAAAAACAAAAAACACGGCACATGGCTGTAATCTCAGCATTCTGGAGGCAAAGACTCAGGCAGATGGTTCTCTATGAGTTCTAATACAGACTGGTTTACATAGTTCTAGGCCAGCCAGGACTGCACAGTGAGATTCTGTCTCAAATCAAACAAACAAACTAACTAAAACAAATAAACCCCAAAGCTTTTTATATAGGATAGGATGCCTTCCAGAATTCATACTGTTTCTTCTTCTTCCTGTAACATTTTAGTGGTGTGTGTGATGTCAGAAGACATTCTCAAACTGACTGGACAGACAACCACCATTTACGATGTTATGGCTATGAGACCAGTTGCTGATAACGAGAGGGCTTTTCCAGAATATGTTCAGTTGAAAGAAAATATCCAAAGCACTACATAGTACATGGCAGGAAAACATACCTCCTACCAGGCAAGCCCAGCAGTCACATGGGAAAGCCCACACCCAACTATGGGAGCTGCCAGGTCTCACCTGCTGTGGCTCTGGTTCCCTGGGTCTCCTTATTCTCTGTTGGAGTTGTAGCCTCTGAAGGAGGAAAACGAAGAATGTGAGGTTCAAGGATTTGGTGGAGGAAGTGAAGAATTGTGTTGATATGTCATCAGAGTTGACAGTCTAAATATATTATGATCTTAAGTAACTATTAACTCTTTGCTTGTAACATATTTGTGTGCAAATTTATAGGCATAATGGTTGCTTCCCTGGGCGGTTGACAGAACATAAGCTTCTCGACAATAGTGGAAAAGCTATGTGTATCTAATTCATCAGAGGACCTGATGGTTCACTCCTTTCCATCAGTCACTGAGGTTCCCTCTCCATCGAGCCCACTGATGGTAAGAGAGCTGCTTTCTCCTTCGCATGATAAAACAAGAATGCCTGCTGTGACAAAGGTGTCTAAAGAAGAAAAGGAGCCTCTTTCTGAATTGTATGGATCAATTACATAAATGTTTTGACTTCAGCTGTTTAAAATAGAATTCCTTTATTCTAAAACTCTCAAATGATATTTAATCCATCTTGCCCAACTTCAAACTCTGTGAGCTGCAGCTTCTCCAGGTGAAACCACCATGATACCTCTTAGATAAGGAGAAGACGGCAAAATGATACATTATTTCATCCCCCTAATGTTTTTGAGCATCTCCTTTGTGTGATTCTGTGGTTCATCCTTGGGCTGTACTAGTGAACAAAATACCCAAGATCTTGCTCCTGGGACAGCCCTCATTCCAGCGTCTGGTAACCAGAAGGGGATGAAAAACACACACACAAAAAAAAAAACTAGGATGTTCACTGTTAGCAAGCAGTTTTTGAGAAAAACAAGTAAATTGTGTGTAATAATTATGGTCCTGATGTGAAGACACTGGCCAATAGTGCGGTGCTCTTGACTCTGTACATCTCAGTCCCTACAAATCTATGGTGGGAATGGAATTCCTAGGCAAGCCTGCAGGTTGTATCCACAGGAACAATGCCACCTCTTTCTTCAACCTACCTCCTCACTCATGCTTACTACAGCCATCTAAAGAGAGACTTGATAAAATAAAAAACAGACAAACAAACAACAAAAAAAGAAACGCCCACAACTTCACAGAATAATGGCTCACCTGCTCGAACTTCTGCACGGGTAGTTTCACTGCCTCCTGTGGAAGTTGTGACCTCTGAAAGAGAAAACAAAGAAAGGAGGAAAGACTGGTCTAGAAAAGTATACACAGTCCTGCTATAAAAATTAAATGTCCACATCTGAGCTGTATTTCCATCACTACCTGTATGAGATCTCACTGGTTCTTTAGTTTCCCCAGAGACTGCAACAGTGGTACCTAAAACAAGAACACAACTGTGCTCAGGAGCTCACTTATGTGCTTAGCAGTTGATTCAGATAGGGATCAGAGTTCTACAAAGCCACTGCTGAAACCTGCCAGGGCAGAAACCATCCCATACAATGATCCTACATCAAGTCTACTGACACACTTCTCAACCATAATTCCACTTGCTTTGAATGTGGGTAGGAAATGTCCTCCCATATCATTTACTGGTCATTAGTTTAGATTCAGGATCAACTAACACAGTGGTTCCCAACCTTCCTAATGCTGTGACCCTTTAATACAGTTCCTCGTGTTGTGACAACCCCAACCATAAAATTATTCTCGATGATACTTCATAACTCTAATTTTTCTACTGTTATGAATCATAATGTAAACAATTTTGGAGATGGGGGTTTTTCAAAGGGGTTGAAACCCACAGGTTAAAAACCACAGACAGAAGTCCTTGTTGCACTTGGGGAGATAAAGAAGACAATATAACATTTTTTTTTGGCTTTTTTCCCATCATTTTCTTATCAATAAAGCTTATTGAGTAGCTATTTTCAGAAGATTTGAAGGAGCTACCAGGAGGGAGGGTATAAGCCTCTCAGTGCTCACCTGTGACTGCTTCACTTTTTACTGTTTCGTTTACTCGTAGGGAAGTCGTGGCCTCTGAGGGAACGAGAGAAGAAATAGATTGTTGGCAAATATTTAAGGATGACAGAAAACACACCGTGATCCCCTTTCAATGAATCAGAGGAAACACTCAGTGATGAGAGGACACACAGAACACTCACATTGCATCACTAACCTGTGTTGGAACTGTGTGGAGCAACAGTTGTGGAAGGGATGAGACCCGTGGTGACTGAAACACAGAAGGGACTGGAATCACCACACTGGCTTTTGTTGGTTTCCCCAAGACTTAGTCTTTGGAAGTCTACAGATTCTTATTTAGTCTCCTTTCTCTGGTACAACCATGATGCTGAGAATACTCCACTAATTGCTCCACTTCAAAAGCAATCGGAGGGCTCAGCTTCTCAACTTGAGGCAACATTCCTAACAGTCTACAGGATGGGGAGGGGCAGGTGACTTTCCCCCATAGACACTGGTTTACTACCCAGAAGTAGAAGACAATGTATTAGTAGGTTTGATGAAAATTTTAAATATCAAGAAAACACTAATTAGTATTGCTTTGGGGACAGAGAAACCTGTGTATAGGAATGTTTCTAAGGTTAATTTATGCTATCTCTACTTTTCAGGCTAGAGATCTCATGAATATCTTAATGTAGCTTTTATGTACAGGAAAAATGCTGCAGAACAATTAGATCATCTATCCTATTTTAATAGAGACTCTTGGTAGATTCTTTAAAAAATATTTAATGTCAATTTTTTTTTTCCTCAGATGCAGAGTCTCTGAGTAAGTACAATATGCTTCAGGAAAGCCCACGTCCTGATAAGTCATTGGAGTGGTCCAGATAAGTCATAGGAATGGCAGCCAGCTCTCATGCTCACACCCACATCCCAGGTCGCTCTTCCCCACCTGCCATGAATTTAGTTCCAGTGTTGCCCCTGATATCTGTGAAAGCTGTAGCTCCTAAGACAATAGAAAGAGCAGAGGCATGAACTCTGGGGTATTTCAGGTAAGGATAAACATACTGGTACGCCATTTCAGCAGTGCAGTTGTACAAAAGTCATCGTGTCTAGTCAGGTGGTGGTGGTCGTCTTATATTTGAGAACCATAGCTTTGCTTTTTTTTTTTTTATAAGAGAGATGTTTTGTGTTACTTGTGTCTGTTTGTTCACTTGTACAGAGCCAGCTCTATAAAATCTGAAGGAAATCAATACACCGTTGTTACAGTTTGGGAAGGCACAAGAAGAGAGGAAGCCAAAGCAGAGTCATCAAAATCTAACTTGAAGTCCATGATCAGAAAGACTTCATTCTGATAGAGACATCTCTTGCAACGTTTCCTAGTTAAGACAACATTATTTTTTTTTAAATGTGAATTTATAATCTCATCTTGTCTTACCTGTTACTTCAGGCTGTTTTGATGGCACTAAAATAAAAAAAGTAAAATATTTTTAAGTGTACAACTTAATCCCTAAAATTTAATTTATGTATGGGATTATAAATTTTGGAAGGCAGTCACATTCTTTGGGATTCTCTCTCTCCTTCCCCTTCTGTGTGTATGTGTGTGTGTGTATGTGTGTGAGTGTGTGGTGTGTGTGTGTATGTATATATGTGTGTGAATGAGCATATATGTGTGCATGTATGTGTATCTGTGTGTATGTGTGTGTGTATCTGTGTGTATGTGTGTATATATGTGTCTGTGTATGTTTGTGTATGTGTACATGTATGCATGTGTGTGAGTGTGTGTGTGTTCGTATGACTTGTATGCATGTCAAGCACTCTCACTGAATCTGAACCCCAAACTTCTCTTTATTTGATATTTTTTCAGACATGTTTCCTTAAGCCACCTGACCAGATCTTGACCTTGGGATCCTCCTGTCTCAGCATCCCAGTTAGCTGAGATGACAAGCTTGTGCCACCCTCCCTGTTCCAGCTAATATTTTGAACTTTCAAGTGGGAAAGACAAGAAAGGTATGCTGATATACATTACGCAACCACATATTTTGTGCAACTTACCTTCAATTAATATGTCTGTAATTCTGTTAAATGATTCTAGGAAAGGAAATATAAAGGAGGAATGAAATATTTGGGAGGTATGTTGTAACACACTCCTTTAGGAAATCATCTAAGTTACAAGTCATCAAACTAAAAGCAAGCTGTTGCCTTTCTCCCAGATAAATGTCTGCACACCTCTAGTTCTTCCTTGATTCTGATTAATTATTGTCTTGAAAATGGAAGACACATTTTAAAAAGGCAATAGACCCCATCAGTTTCTTGCAGCCATTGCATTACTTTATAATGGCGATGTTCTACATTTAAAATAAACCATCTAATTAATTTTTGTTTGAGTTACCATAGCTTTAATGAAGAATATATAAATTTATTGGAGTTTGAGTTAAGTATTCAATTTTTTCCTAACTCCCACTTAGAATAAACGAAGCATAAATCCTTGCCAGAGAAGAGTGAGCAATATAGTCCTTAAGTCTACATATTTATTCATAAATTCTATTCCTTTAGTCTATTCATTTGTGTGTGTGTGTGTGTGTGTGTGTGTGTGTGTGTGTGTGTGTATGTGTTTGTGTGTGTGTGTGTGTATGTGGTTTTTTGAGGCAGAGTTTCTCTGTGTAACAACCTTAACTGTCCTGGAACTCATTTTGTAGACCAGGTTGGCCTCAAACTCACAGAGATCCACCTGCCTCTGTCTCCTAAGTGCTGGGATTAAAAGTGTGCACCACCACTGCCCAGACTAGTCTATTCATTAAAGCCTCCATTCTGTGTGACACTCCACAAACTAAGAAATGACATTATTGTTGTTGATCTTATTTATGTGTCTGTGTGTTTTACTTGCATTCATATATGTGCACTATGTGTGTGCCTGTTGCCTGCAGAGGCAAGAAGCAGGTGTCACATTGCCTAGAAGTTGAATTACAGTCAGTTGTAAACTACCATGGAAGTGATGGAAATTGAACCCTGGTCCACTATAAGAGCAACAAACGATCTTAAGGGCTGAGCCATCTCCCCAGTCTCTGCTGTTGTCGCTGCTATTGTTATTGGTGGTGGTGTCTATGTCTGTGTGTGTGTGAGTGTGTGCACGCTAGGGTGGGGCAGGTTCCATGGTTCACAGGTGGAGGAGGTCAACTGGCAACTTTTCGAGTTCTATCCTTCCACCTTTATGTGGGTTCTGGCAACCAAACCCAGTCTCCAGACCTATGTGGCAAGCCCCTTCACTGACTGAGCCATCTTGCTGGCCCAGAAATGAAATTTTTCTCCAGCACTATGACTTTGGGTGCCTTTCTACTGTATACATTTAATGCACAGTAACCTCGAAAAAAATTAGTAGCTCTGAAAAAAATAGATCACCACATAGGCATTTGTGAATTTGATGTCAAGTTGGAATGATATAAAAAGGATGATAAAATATCTAATTCATAAAACAATAATATTATAATTTTGTCCACTAAAGCTCTCTGAAGCCTTTTTCGGAATGATAGATGGAGCAGGGAGTCAGTATAGTAAAAATTTAAGGCTCTTTCATGACTTGTGTCTTCAGTTTGTGTTAGAGATAGGAGACAAACTACTCCTTCAGAAGTAAGTTCTCCTGCTGGATTACTGCAGATTGTGATGCATTTTGCTCTAAAGAGGATTGTATCACTGAAAAACAGAGACTCCAGATTCAGTAGAGAGAGGGAGACACAGCAATTCACCACTTGACACTGTAAAAGTGTTGGCAAGTTAGATAATGTCTTTGGATACGTTTTTTTTTTTTTTTTTTGAGTAACATGGGAAAATAACCTCCCCATAATTAAATGAGATGATGTCTTTAAACAAACAATTACATTCCTAATTGCTCAGTATGAAAAATGTGTCAAAATTCCATCAGACAACTCTGTTCCAGTGGTACTACTGATGCAAATGCTGGGTTAGGGCCATGTGGGACCCGATATCAAATGGAAAGCCCGGAGCAGTGACCTGGGTTTGAGGGAACAACGATCTGGGTAGATGTCACTCCTCTGCTCAGAGCTTGTGGGACAGCCCTGCCTCAACCTGGCCCTCCTATGGATCACAAGGGCACTACTGGGCTAGTCAAAATGAAAACAAGTGGAATGGGTTCTAAAAACATGGGTAACTGTCATCTGGACTTCCTGGTCTCTGGCTTTGTTTACTCAGGTTGAACCTCTGATTTTCTTTAGTCACAAGGGAAGATGTCTCTTTAACATGCCTACCTTCTAACACTTTGCATAATTGTCATATTAATATTATTGTAGTGTTCAGTTTCTTATTACCTAGTAACTCCCCCCACAATGTTTAAATCTTTTCTCATAGCGTTCTCATAGCACATGACACACAGTTCACAGACAATAAAAGTTAATCAAATGTAACAAAATTACAGAAACTTCTGTTACAGAATATTTTAAACATTGTCCTGATATGTAGGTGTAGTGTTGGCCGCTTCTGCACTGACTCAGTTTTCTTATATTGTTCTTTTGTTTTTTTTGTTGATTTGTTTTTAGTTCAATTTCTAATATCTGAAGCTTCAATTCACTGGCATTTCCCTTTAAGAATAATATCCTTTCTGCCCAGTTTATAGCCATTACCACAGAAAGGAGAGTGGTGTTGAAAGTTAGGAACCCAATCTGTCTCCTGAGTGTAATGCCTTACCTATATCTGCTAACTGAAATGCTCCTTGACGTCCTTGTTTAAAAATGTTAACAAAATGCATTTTTTGAAAATGTTGGTTGCTGTGAAAATTAATACATGCTACACAACCCAGATTAGTGTCTTGTTGCCCCATAGAACACACCTCTGATTCTTTGGCTTTGTTATAAAATTTATTTTTCAATTAAGCTCTTGAAGACAATTGCCTATTCTTTCATGAAAGTCCTACATTACCTAGCAAGATATGAAACATAAAATACTAGATAATTTTGATCTGATCTTTAATTATATAAATTATCCCCATGACCATTATTTATTAGATTTATCAGGCAGCCTTATGCTAAACGGCAGTATGAGTGATACCCTTACTCTCCCTTGCCTGACTTTTCAGATGTGGTGGATTTGGTCATGCCTTCACCTGTAAGAGTGGTGGATTTATGGTTCTTTTTCTATTCCTGGTTAAAAAGTAATAATAATATTGTATGTGGTTATAGTATAAATAGTGGATATTTTATCATGTATCTCAAATCCATATATTGATAAAATGGATCATCTCTAATAATTTCTCCTAGAACTCAGGTCCTTGGTTATATTATTTAACTTGATCATAAGTTGGGTCTTAGATGTGCTTGGGAAGAATCACCAGCAGAGCACACAGATGAGCCTTGATTGCATTATTATCAGAAGTACTGATCAGAGGCTAGGCTTCCTATGTGCCTGCTTCAATCATCACACTATACCAGGATTTGTTATTTTGTATGAGAAAGATAGCAAACTTCTCCTGAAGTCAGAAAATTCACATTAGAATAAAGATGCTTGGTAAACATGAGTATTCACCAATTTCAGGACTTATTATCATATTTAATTATTATAACATCTTATAATACCCTAGTGGGAATTAGGGCAACCATTGCATTGGCACATGAACACCCTACATTCAGCTAATCATACTTGCCTTCATTTGTCGTAGGCTCAGCTCCTGGTCCACTAGTACTATTCCTTCGGCTTGTGGTTCCTTCATCAACTTGGACAGTTCTTCCAGGAACATCAGTGGATAAACTGGATGTCCATGTGTTTCCAGGTGAGGGCTCAAATGTTACAGTCACTCGGGGTGATGGTTCTAATGTTGAAGTCCAAACACTAAATGTGCTTATAGATTGTGATACTGAAGATGAAGGTCTAGGCACACTAGTAGTTGCAGGTGTTTGTCCAGAAGAAAGTGAAATGCCACGTGGTAATGCAGTTGAAGATGATGTTCCAATGGAAGACAGAGTTGTGTCTGTAACTGCAGTGGACGCACCAGTGGTCACTGAACCAGTGACTGTTACCCTAGTAGTTAAGAGTACTTTAGCTGAGGATAGTGTTGTTGCTGATTCTGCAACTGATGATGTATTTCTCAAGGTGACTGCAGTTGACAAGCCAGCTTCATGTGAGTCGGTAACTGATACTTTAGTTGTTTCCAGTGTACTAGATGATGGTCCAGTTGTTACTGATTGTGCGAGAGATTGTGCAGATCTCACTGTAACTACAGTAGGCAAACCAGTTGTTCCTGTTCCAGTAAGAGTTTCTGTACTTGTTTGTTGTCCTTCTGCTGATGATGTTCCAGTTGTTGTTGTGGGGTGAGAGGCTATTCTAGTTGAATTTGAAACTACAGTAGATAGCACTGTGCTCCCAGCTGATTGTGTGGATGTTTTACTCACTTCAGGTGATTGCCTAGAAGTTACAGTCACACTAGTTGTCTGGCCAGATGTCACAGCCAATTTATCATTTGTCACCATACTTTGTGACACTGAAACTGATGGATTACTTGCTGCTGTGGGCCCAACTGTTTGTCCAGATGTCACTGCCTCTCTAGGTGGTGACAGACTTGTTGTTTCTTCAACTGATGTTGCCTTTGTCATGGTGCTTCCAGTAGTTGGGGCAGTTGACTCTGTGCCAGTGATTGATACCTTAGTAGTTTCTGGTGCTTGAGATGATGGTCCAGGTGTTGCTGATTGTGCAAGAGATTGTGCAGATCTCTCTGTAACTATAGTAGACACACCAGTTATTCCTGTTCCAGTAACAGTTTCTGTACTTGTATGTAGTCCTTGTGCTGATGAAGGTCCAGTTGTTGTTGTAGAGTGAGAGGCTATTCTAGTTGGATTTGAAACTACAGTAGATAGCACTGTGCTCCCAGCTGGTTGTGTGGATGTCTTACTCACTTCAGTTGATTGCCTAGAAGTTACAGTCACACTGGTTGTCTGGCCAGATGTCACAGCCAATTTACCATTTGACACTGTGCTGTCTGACACTGAAACTGATGGACTAGTTGCTGCTGTGGGCCCAGCTGTTTGTCCAGATGTCACTGCCTCTCTAGGTGGTGATGTAGTTGTTGTTTCTGGAACTGATGTTGCCTTTGACATGGTGCCTCCAGTTGATGGGGCAGTCAACTCTGTGCCAGTGACTGATACCTTAGTGGTTTCTGGTGCTTGAGATGATGATCCAGATGTTGGTGATTGTGCAAGAGATTGTACAGATCTCTCTGTTATTGTAGTTGACACACCAGTTGTTCCTGTTCCAGTAAGAGTTTCTGTACTTGTTTGTTGTCCTTCTGCTGATGATGTTCCAATTGTTGTTGTAGAGTGAGAGGCTATTCTAGTTGGATTTGAAACTACAGTAGATAGCACTGTGCTCCCAGCTGATTGTGTGGATGTCTTACTCACTTCAGGTGATTCCTTAGAAGTTACAGTCACACTGGTTGTCTGGCCAGATGTCACAGTCACAGGAACGTTTGTCACAGTACTGCTTGACACTGAAACTGATGGGCTATTTGCTGCTGTGGGTCCAGCTGTTTGTCCAGATGTCACTGCCTCTCTAGGTGATGATGTGGTTATTGTTGTTTCTCCAACTGATATTGCCTTTGTCGTCGTGCCTCCAGTTGATGGGCCAGTTGACTCTGTGGCCGTTGTTGATACCTTAGTTGTTTCTGGTGCTTGAGATGATGTCCCAGATGTTGGTGACTGTGCAAGAGTTTGTGTAGGTCTCTCTGTAATTGTAGTTGACACACCAGTTGTTCCTGTTCCAGTAACAGTTTCTGTACTTGTTTGTTGTCCTTCTGCTGATGATGTTCCAGTTGTTGTTGTGGGGTGAGAGGCTATTCTGGTTGGATTTGAAACTACAGTAGATAGCTCTGTGCTCCCAGCTGATTGTGTGGATGTCTTACTCACTTCAGGTGATTGCTTAGAAGTTACAGTCACACTGGTTGTCTGGTCAGATGTCACAGGCAATTTATCATTTGACACCATAGTTTGTGACACTGAAATTGATGGACTATTTGCTACCGTGGGTCCAGCTGTTTGTCCAGATGTCACTGCCTCTCTAGGTAGTGATGTGGTTATTGTTGTTTCTCCAACTGATATTGCCTTTGTCGTCGTGCCTCCAGTTGATGGGCCAGTTGACTCTGTGGCTGTTGCTGATACCGTAGTTGTTTCTGGTGCTTGAGATGATGGTCCAGTTGTTGCTGACTGTGCAAGAGATTGTGCAGATCTCTCTGTAACTACAGTAGACACACCAGTTGTTCCTGTTCCAGTAACAGTTTCTGTACTTGTATGTTGTCCTTCTGCTGATGAAGGTCCAGTTGTTGTTGTAGAGTGAGAGGCTATTCTAGTTGGATTTGAAACGACAGTAGATAGCACTGTGCTCCCAACTGATTGTGTGGATGTCTTACTTAATTCAGGTGATTGCTTAGAAGTTGCAGTCACACTGGTTGTCTGGACAGATGTAACAGCCAATTTATCATTTGATACTGTGTTGTCTGACACTGAAACTGATGGACTAGTTGCTGCTGTGGGGCCAGTTGTTTGTCCAGATGTCACTGCCTCTCTAGATGGTGATGTAGTTGTTGTTTCTACAACTGATCTTGCGGTTGACATGGTGCCTCCAGTTGATGGGGCAGTCAACTCTGTGCCAGGGACTGATACCTTAGTTGTTTCTGGTGCTTGAGATGATGATCCAGATGTTGGTGATTGTGCAAGAGATTGTGTAGGTCTCTCTGTAATTGTAGTTGACACACCAGTTGTTCCTGTTCCAGTAACAGTCTCTGAACTTGTTTGTTGTCCTGCTGATGAAGGTCCAGTTGTTGTTGTAGGGTGAGAGGCTATTCTAGTTGGATTTGAAACTACAGTAGATAGCACTGTGCTCCCAGCTGATTGTGTGGATGTCTTACTCACTTCAGGTGATTGCTTAGAAGTTACAGTCACACTGGTTGTCTGGCCAGATGTCACAGTCACAGGAACGTTTGTCACAGTACTGCTTGACACTGAAACTGATGGGCTATTTGCTGCTGTGGGTCCAGCTGTTTGTCCAGATATCACTACCTCTCTAGGTGGTGATGTGGTTATTGTTGTTTCTCCAACTGATATTGCCTTTGTCGTCGTGCCTCCAGTTGATGGGCCAGTTGACTCTGTGGCCGTTGTTGATACCTTAGTTGTTTCTGGTACATGAGAAGATGATCCAGTTGTTGCTGACTGTGCAAGAGATTGTGCAGATCTCTCTGTAACTACAGTAGACACACCAGTTGTTTCTGTTCCAGTAACAGTTTCTGTACTTGTTTGTTGTCCTGCTGATGAAGGTCCAGTTGTTGTTGTAGGGTGAGAGGCTATTCTAGTTGGATTTGAAACTACAGTAGATAACACTGTGCTCCCAGCTGATTGTGTGGATGTCTTACTCACTTCAGGTGATTCCTTAGAAGTTACAGTCACACTGGTTGTCTGGCCAGATGTCACAGTCACAGGAACGTTTGTCACAGTACTGCTTGACACTGAAACTGATGGGCTATTTGCTGCTGTGGGTCCAGCTGTTTGTCCAGATGTCACTGCCTCTCTAGGTGGTGATGTGGTTATTGTTGTTTCTCCAACTGATATTGCCTTTGTCGTCGTACCTCCAGTTGATGGGCCAGTTGACTCTGTGGCCGTTGTTGATACCTTAGTTGTTTCTGGTACTTGAGAAGATGATTCAGTTGTTGCTGACTGTGCAAGAGATTGTGCAGATCTCTTTGTAACTACAGTAGACACACCAGTTGTTTCTGTTCCAGTAACAGTTTCTGTACTTGTTTGTTGTCCTGCTGATGAAGGTCCAGTTGTTGTTGTAGGGTGAGAGGCTATTCTAGTTGGATTTGAAACTACAGTAGATAGCACTGTGCTCCCAGCTGATTGTGTGGATGTCTTACTCACTTCAGGTGATTCCTTAGAAGTTACAGTCACACTGGTTGTCTGGCCAGATGTCACAGTCACAGGAACGTTTGTCACAGTACTGCTTGACACTGAAACTGATGGGCTATTTGCTGCTGTGGGTCCAGCTGTTTGTCCAGATGTCACTGCCTCTCTAGGTGGTGATGTGGTTATTGTTGTTTCTCCAACTGATATTGCCTTTGTCGTCGTGCCTCCAGTTGATGGGCCAGTTGACTCTGTGGCCATTGTTGATACCTTAGTTGTTTCTGGTACTTGAGATGATGATCCAGTTGTTGCTGACTGTGCAAGAGATTGTGCAGATCTCTCTGTAACTACAGTAGACAGACCAGTTTTTTCTGTTCCAGTAACAGTTTCTGTACTTGTTTGTTGTCCTGCTGATGAAGGTCCAGTTGTTGTTGTAGGGTGAGAGGCTATTCTAGTTGGATTTGAAACTACAGTAGATAACACTGTGCTCCCAGCTGATTGTGTGGATGTCTTACTCACTTCAGGTGATTGCTTAGAAGTTACAGTCACACTGGTTGTCTGGCCAGATGTCACAGTCACAGGACCGTTAGTCACCGTACTGCTTGACACTGAAACTGATGGGCTATTTGCTGCTGTGGGTCCAGCTGTTTGTCCAGATGTCACTGCCTCTCTAGGTGGTGATGTGGTTATTGTTGTTTCTCCAACTGATATTGCCTTTGTTGTTGTGCCTCCAGTTGATGGGCCAGTTGACTCTGTGGCCGTTGTTGATACCTTAGTTGTTTCTGGTACATGAGAAGATGATTCAGTTGTTGCTGACTGTGCAAGAGATTGTGCAGATCTCTCTGTAACTACAGTAGACACACCAGTTGTTTCTGTTCCAGTAACAGTTTCTGTACTTGTTTGTTGTCCTTCTGATGAAGGTCCAGTTGTTGTAGGGTGAGAGGCTATTCTAGTTGGATTTGAAACTACAGTAGATAGCACTGTGCTCCCAGCTGATTGTGTGGATGTCTTACTCACTTCAGGTGATTCCTTAGAAGTTACAGTCACACTGGTTGTCTGGCCAGATGTCACAGTCACAGGAACGTTTGTCACAGTACTGCTTGACACTGAAACTGATGGGCTATTTGCTGCTGTGGGTCCAGCTGTTTGTCCAGATGTCACTGCCTCTCTAGGTGATGATGTGGTTATTGTTGTTTCTCCAACTGATATTGCCTTTGTTGTCGTGCCTCCAGTTGATGGGCCAGTTGACTCTGTGGCCGTTGTTGATACCTTAGTTGTTTCTGGTTCTTGAGAAGATGATCCAGTTGTTGCTGACTGTGCAAGAGATTGTGCAGATCTCTCTGTAACTACAGTAGACACACCAGTTGTTTCTGTTCCAGTAACAGTTTCTGTACTTGTTTGTTGTCCTGCTGATGAAGGTCCAGTTGTTGTCTTAGGGAGAGAGGCTATTCTAGTTGGATATGAAACTACAGTAGATAGCACAGTGCTCCCAACTGATTGTGTGGATGTCTCCCTCACTTCAGTTGATTGCCTAGAAGTTACAGTCACACTGGTTGTCTGACCAGATATCACAGTCACAGGACCACTTGCCACTGTACTGCCTGACACTGAAACTGATGGACTACTTGCTGCTGTGGGTCCAGCTGTTTGTCCAGATTTCACTGCCTCTCTAGGTGGTGATGTGGTTATTGTTGTTTCTCCAACTGATATTGCCTTTGTCGTCGTGCCTCCAGTTGATGGGCCAGTTGACTCTGTGGCCGTTGTTGATACCTTAGTTGTTTCTGGTGCTTGAGATGATGGTCCAGTTGTTGGTGACTGTGCAAGAGTTTGTGTAGGTCTCTCTGTAATTGTAGTTGACACACCATTTGTTCCCGTTCCAGTAACAGTTTCTGTATTTGTTTGTTGTCCTTCTGCTGATGATGTTCCAGTTGTTGTTGTAGGTTGAGAGGATATTCTGGTTGGATTTGAAACTACAGTAGATAGCTCTGTGCTCCCAGCTGATTGTGTGGATGTCTTACTCACTTCAGGTGATTGCTTAGAAGTTACAGTCACACTGGTTGTCTGGCCAGATGTCACAGTCACAGGACCATTAATCACCGTACTGCTTGACACTGAAACTGATGGGCTATTTGCTGCTGTGGATCCAGCTGTTTGTCCAGATGTCACTGCCTCTCTAGGTGGTGACACAGTTGTTGTTTTTTCAACTGATGTTGCCTTTGACATCATGCGTCCAGTTGATGGGGCAGTTGACTCTATGCCGGTGACTGAAACCTTAGTTGTTTCTGGTGCTTGATATGATGATCCAGATGTTGGTGATTGTGTAAGAGTTTGTGTAGGTCTCTCTGTAATTGTAGTTGACACACCAGTTGTTCCCGTTCCAGTAACAGTTTCTGTACTTGTTTGTTGTCCTTCTGCTGATGATGTTCCAGTTGTTGTTGTAGAGTGAGAGGCTATTCTAGTTGGATTTGAAACTACAGTAGATAGCTCTGTGCTCCCAGGTGATTGTGTGGATGTCTTACTCACTTCAGGTGATTGCTTAGAAGTTACAGTCACACTGGTTGTCTGGCTAGATGTCACAGCCAAATTATCATTTGACACCATAGTTTGTGACACTGAAACTGATGGACTATTTGCTGCTGTGGGTCCAACTGTTTGTCCAGATGTCACTGCCTCTCTAGGTGGTGATGTGGTTATTGTTGTTTCTCCAACTGATATTGCCTTTGTCGTTGTGCCTCCAGTTGATGGGCCAGTTGACTCTGTGGCCGTTGTTGATACCTTAGTTGTTTCTGATACTTGAGAAGATGATCCAGTTGTTGCTGACTGTGCAAGAGATTGTGCAGATCTCTCTGTAACTACAGTAGACACACCAGTTGTTTCTGTTCCAGTAACAGTTTCTGTACTTGTTTGTTGTCCTGCTGATGAAGGTCCAGTTGTTGTTGTAGGGTGAGAGGCTATTCTAGTTGGATTTGAAACTACAGTAGATAACACTGTGCTCCCAGCTGATTGTGTGGATGTCTTACTCACTTCAGGTGATTCCTTAGAAGTTACAGTCACACTGGTTGTCTGGCCAGATGTCACAGTCACAGGACCGTTAGTCACCGTACTGCTTGACACTGAAACTGATGGGCTATTTGCTGCTGTGGGTCCAGCTGTTTGTCCAGATGTCACTGCCTCTCTAGGTGATGATGTGGTTATTGTTGTTTCTCCAACTGATATTGCCTTTGTTGTCGTGCCTCCAGTTGATAGGCCAGTTGACTCTGTGGCTGTTGTTGATACCTTAGTTGTTTCTGGTGCTTGAGATGATGGTCCATTTGTTGCTGACTGTGGAAGAGATTGTGCAGGTCTCTCTGTAACTACAGTAAACACACCAGTTGTTTTTGTTCCAGTAACAGTTTCTGTACTTGTTTGTTGTCCTTCTGCTGATGAAGGTCCAGTTGTTGTTGTAGAGTGAGAGGCTATTCTAGTTGGATTTGAAACTACAGTAGATAGCTCTGTGCTCCCAGCTGATTGTGTGGATATCTTACTCACTTCAGGTGATTGCTTAGAAGTTACAGTCACACTGGTTGTCTGTCTAGATGTCACAGACAATTTATTATTTGACACAGTGCTGTCTGACACTGAAACTGATGGACTAGTTGCTGCTGTGGGCCCAGCTGTTTGTCCAGATGTCTCTGCCTCTCTAGATGGTGATGTAGTTGTTGTTTCTTCAACTGATCTTGCCGTTGACATGGTGCCTCCAGTTGATGGGGCAGTCAACTCTGTGCCAGTGACTGATACCTTAGTGGTTTCTGGTGCTTGAGATGATGATCCAGATGTCGGTGATTGTGCTAGAGATTGTGTAGATCTCTCTGTAATTGTAGTTGACACACCAGTTGTTCCCGTTCCAGTAGCAGTTTCTGTACTTGTTTGTTGTCCTTCTGCTGATGATGTTCCAGTTGTTGTAGGGTGAGAGGATATTCTGGTTGGATTTGAAACTACAGTAGATAGCACTGTGCTCCCAGCTGATTGTGTGGATGTCTTACTCACTTCAGGTGATTGCTTGGAAGTTGCAGTCACACTAGTTTTCTGGCCAGATGTCACAGCCAATTTATCATTTGTCACTGTGTTTCCTAACACGGAGACTGATGGACTAGTTGCTGTTGTAGGCCCAGCTGTTTTTCCAGATGTCACTGCCTCTTTAGGTGGTGATGTTATTATTATTGTTTCTCCAACTGATATTGCCTTTGTCAATGTTCCTCCAGTTGATGGGCCAGTCGACTCTGTGCCAGTTACTGATAATTTAGTCATTTCTGGTGCTTGAGATGATGATCCAGTTGTTGCTGATTGTGCAGATCTCTCTGTATTTGTCATTGACACACTAGTTGTTCTTGTTCCAGTAACAGTTTCTCTACTTGTTTGTTCTCCTTGAGGTGATGAAGGTCCAGTTGTCATTGGAGGGCTAGAGGACATTCTAGTTGGATCTGAAACTATGGTAGATAGCACTGTGGTCATTTGTGTCTCTCCTAATGTTTGTCCAGAACTTACTGTCAAGCTGGTAGCTCCTGGTAAAAAGAAATAAGAAAAATGAAATGAACACCTTTGGGTCTTCTGGTAGTCTGAATCAATGCTATTTTCTTTTTCTTTTTGTATATCTTTTTCACTTCTCAAGACATCGCATTTTTTTCTTTTTGATACTGTGGAAATTCTGATACTTTATTTCTTTAACAAAGTGTTTTTCAATCTTCCTAATGCTGTGATCCTTTAATACACCTCTTGTGGTGACCTTCAACTATAAAATTATTTTCTTGCTATTTCATAACTGCAAATTTACTGTTATTTATGATAATGCAAATATCTGATGTGCAGGATATCTGATATGAGACCCTCAAGGGGGCTGTGACCCACAGGTTGGGAATGGATGATTTAACCAGAAGTTACTCAGTCTGTCCTACCAGAATATAATGCATTCTTCATTTAGCAGGATATTTAATTAATTAATTATGTGGGTACTGAAGATGTAACATGGAACCTTGTGTAGGCTTGGCGAATATATATACATATATATATATATATATATATATGTATATATGTATACACACACACTCTCTCTACCCCTACACACACTCTCTCTCTCTCTCTCTCTCTCTCTCTCTCTCTCTCTCTCTCTCTCTCTCTCCCTACACCATCCCTGGGAGACATTCTATTTAAAAGCCCTTGTTCACAAGTACTCTAAGAGGCATTTCTTTTAAAATCTGATGGAAAAGGAAATGTCATAATAGACAAAGGGAAGGGCTTGTGTGGGTGCTACCCATGCTAGAAATGTGGAAGTAGACATTAAGCCAAACCATGGAAAGTGAGGATAAGAACATTAGCGTATGATTCCAGAAATACAAGATAGGGCAGAGTCTTATGAATCATCCGAGATATACTGAAGATTTTTCTATAATGTAGTGGGATGTGATTTTAAGCATCTGATTTATATACCTTCAAAATTCCCGTCTCCACTGTGTGGAAAACACATGATGAGTGATGTAGATAGCAGCAGGAGGAACGATTCTGAGATGAGTTTAGAAGATCCGAGAACAAATGAACAGATTTGGCTAGGGTGGGGAAAGAGGAAGCTGAGAGCAGTGGATGAGTGCAGCATGCCCTTTGGAAGTAATGGGACTAGATCATGCTGAAATGTGAGAATTACAGAGAAAAGGAAATGAGGCATCAAGTTGAGCTGAGAATTTTGCCCAAAACTGTGTCAGAAATGGACCTCTGACTAACACGTGAAACACTGGGAGAAAAACAGCATAGGTATGCAGAGAAATCAATTCTGTTTGGGTCATGGTAAGTCTGAGATGCCTATTAGACAGTCAAATAGAGACATCAAGGCAACAGTGGTTTATGAATCCCACGTTACTGACAAGTCAAGGCTGGGGACATGTATGGGAAGTTTCCACTTAAAATGTCTTCAGATGTTTCCTAGTCTTGATGTAGTTTCCATAGACCATGCAACCACCTCAACCAGGCCTCAGCTGACTGCCAGAGGAAAATCTCTCAGCTCAATATGTGGAAGCCTGCCCATCAGCCTAACCAACACCTACATTTCCTGCAGACATATTTGGTAACCACCCACTATTCAGCACTACCTCTGGTACTTTGACCCTTTTCTGTGGGATGGGGGAGCTACAAGGGTTTATATGCCATCTCTCTGGCCATCTCAAAATTGGATATGTAGACCAGGCTGTACTGACAGACATCTGCCTTCCTATCCCTCCCAAATTCTGGCACTCAAGGCGTGTGCTTGGAACATCCACTTTAGAGCCTTGCTTTTATTTTTTGCTGAAGAAATTTGAAATAGAATCCTGATTAAGGTGCCACTCTAGCTCCAGCTGCATTGTCCTTTGACACAGAGTGAATTCCAAGGTTCAGTTCCCCCCATCATCTGTGGCTCACATCCTCATCCCTATCAAAATTATTTCTACCTTTGTCCTCTGGCTCTTCTCTTCTATATGATCACCTGCTGCCTGCAATGTCCCCACCTCCCTCTGGCCTGTGTCTAATGGAATTCAATTTCTAACAACCCTGGCATCACCTGGAATCCTGTAGTGTTGTAGTCCTAACATCAAGAATCCCACGGAAAGAGCAGACAAGAACAGAAATTTAGCGTTTTCAGAAACATTAATTCAAAGCCTGGCATGTACAGACTTGTAGAGATCTTCAGCAGAATTCTACTGGATATAACAGAAAGTAGCCTACTCTTTCCCCACATTTCTAGCTCTCCAGAAGGGTTTTTTTTTTTTTAAATCACATAGTCTGTTATTTTGCTTCACACATCAGAATATAGCATTTATCCTTAAACAAACTGGAAGTCCATAGTCATTTACCGAATCACTACTGGTCCACCAGGCATTCAAGTGCCTATAGTAAAAACTAACCTAGGATTTGGAAACACTATTATAAGAAAAGAAAGAGAGAGGGAGAGAGAGAGAGGGAGGAAGGGAGAGAAAGAGAGGGAGGGAGGGAAGCAAAGAAGGGAGGAAGGAAGGGAGGAAGGAAGGAAGGAAGGAAGGAAGAACGGAAGGAAGCCAGAAGACAAATCATCTTTTGCTAGTTTTGACAGAAATCTACAATATTGGTATCCTATCTAGTAATAGATGAGTCAATAAAGAGTCAAACCTCATCCCACCTGGACCCCTACCATAATTCTTCAGTTTTTGGAGTAAACACTTTCATTTTACACACATAAAATATAATAGCTACTAATATAATTAAAATTTCATAGGATAGGTGATTCAGGCAAGTTAATATGTAGGAAAATATTTGTGCATTTTATACTTTGTATATCCTTTATAATTCTCATTTGTGTTAATTGGATTTAGATGATTCACAAACGCTTAATCCAAAAGTTAACGATTTTTATGTTTTTATTCTGTCGATTAAGTTCTATTCACTCTATCTAGTAAAAAACAAAGACAAGTGAACACTAGTCTACTAGTCATTTTTTTAAAGTTTTTCTTACCTGTTAAAAAACATTGACCAATCAATTCATTTATTTTTAGACTATTTCCTCAGCTCCAGAAACACAAGTATTATATCATGTAAGCCCTGCTTAGTAAGAGGTAACAATAACCCTTGCATGGTTTATATATATTTCTTCTAAAAAGGTCCATATTTCTCCAAAAATAAATACAATAGCAATTTCTCAATAAATAAAATGCTTCCAACATTGAGTTGGCTGTTTGAGTAATTTATAATTGAATTATTTGCAAAGTCCTTCTTATATCCAATTTTGGCCTAAGATCTCCGATGTCCACCAGTTAGGCATGCTTTTAGAGATAAACAATGCTTCACTTGCAGCTTCACTGAAGGTGAAGTAGTTGCCAGCCCTGATGCTCCAGTCAGAGCCAATTTGACAGTAACAAGGGTCTGCCTAGAGACCTCTGCTTTCTTACAAATGCTCTGTAGGCCAAAATTCCCAGTGAAACTAAAATGGCAATATTATAAGTTTTAAATTTACCTCAATCGTTCTCTTTCAGTCGGATCCTTTAAAAATAATCTCAGACGTAAATACCTGAGGGTCTTTCTGTGTGTTGGACGTTGTTGGGACAGCTTGATATGCTGTGCCTACCTGTTGGGTGTTCGGAGCTGGTGGCCTCAGTTACGGAAGCTCCGCCTGTGTTGTCTTGTCCCTTGGTAGCTCCACCTGACCAACATTCAAAAAACTGGGATTAGATCAACTTCTACAGTTTCTGGGAAATGAAGACAATTGCTCAATATTCTTTTCTGTTCCCACCTGGTACCCACCCCCTTTCCAAATAGTCCAATGGTTTTGCTTGTGATCAATACAACTGATTGGAATGGATAGACTGCTGAGATTATCAGACCCTTTACTGAATCCCAATGCAAACTCACTACCTGGCAGGGTGGCGGTTCTTCCTGTTGCTACACTTGATTTGCCTGAGATTCCAGTGGTCCCTGCTAAAAGAAGAGAGAGCAGGCTAAAGTAATATAATCATGCTCAATTAAAATAAGCTGTCGGACTCACGATGCCCCCATGACCAGTTTTGCCACCTAAGTCCCATTTCCTTTTGTTTTAACTGGAATACTGCAGTTTTTCTTAACTTCACCCAACCACCAGGCCAGTATTCTTCATCCAAAGTCCTGACTGTATTCTCTGCTCCAGAATGGTGTGTGGTAATAATTCCTAATCATCAGCCATTAGCCTTAATCCCAAATGTGTCTAAGAGTCACTAGCTAAGCCTATTAAAATGCAAATCCCCCCCTTTCTTAGTCGAAACCCCAGGGCTGTTTGAAACACTGAAAGGCTGGGGTTTAGGCTGCAAATAGGCTTGTGTACAATTTCAATCTGTGGGACAACTGTGGGGGTGTGGATAAAAAAGAATAACTTGTCATGACAAGCAACTTCACGGAACACTAAGAGAATTCAGAGCCTCCTATTCCCTTCCTGTTATCTTCTGGTTTCTGTAAGCACATTTGCGCACAGGAGGCTATCATGCCACTGCATGAATAACATATATACACATGCACCCCCACCCATCTTTTTAAAATGAGGCTGTAGAGTACATGGGAGCTCTGTTTCTGCTTTCTCCCTGATGAGATTCGGAAACAGATCTTTACATTAATGCCTCCTGCCTCCTTCACCACCTTGGCATGGTGAAATTTTGCAGCAGATTTCACCCCCACCCGGCCCCATCCTCTTTTACTGAAGACAAGCTTTTATTTTCTGATCTGCTTCTATTTAAAAACAAAAACAAATAAAAAACAAACAAACAAACAAAAACCACCAGCACAAGCAGCGTATGTATATGTCGTATGTATATGTCATCTCCTACTGCATCCCAGAGTAGGAACGCAAGGCTTCTGGGCCAAAGGGTAAATGATTGTAGTTCTGTTCCCTTTGTCTGGCTGGCCTCGGTGGGGTGTCTCATGGTGAGCGCCCACCTGCCAGACACAAAGCACCAACTGTTTCTTCCCTGACCTGTCAACAGCACTGTTGTCAAACTTTTGGATTTCTGCCAATTCCAAAAAGTGAAAAATGACAATTCAGTCTGGTTTGAACTTACGTTTTGGAGGTATGTGAATCTGATCATCTCTTTCAAACCTCACGCTTCCAATTCTTACCTATTCCAGCTTATTACAGATTGTAGAAGTGTTGAATGGTTGTGTGATATGCCTGACATTGTCACCTCCCTGCCTTCAACCAGGGAGTGCACCTGGTGATTCTGTACTAAGCTGTTGAGTGGATGGCTGTGGAATCTACGTAATGTTAAGGAAGGACTCATTCATTCCTCCTATCTTTGGTATTTTTGTTCTCTGTGAGACAGTGGTAATCCAATGCCTTTTGAGCCTCTCTGGGGAAAACTGCTGTTTCTGTTGGTCTCAGGCCAATTACTGTTATAAATTTTATCACTGAGCTCCCTAATATTGAGAACACCTTCACGTAATTAATAGAAATTATCAAGCATCTTCTTCCTGAAGGCTCATTTTTCATCCTTAGCAGAGTTACTTTCTTTTATTTCATTCCTGAACTCTTAATGACTCATTTGGCCACTTACCGCCCATAACCTAGCAACATTTATCTAATTTTCATCTTTTTTATTTTGGCTGTAATCTATCAACGTATTTTTCTTTTATTTTTGATACTTTATCATTTCCTTGTTCCTTTTCCTCCATCCAAACATTCCCATATGTCCCTCCCTGTTCTTTCAAATTCATGACTTCTTTTTTTCATTAATTGTTGTTATGTGTATGAGACACTGAAAAAATTAAATTCAGTTAACAGTACTGCAGTGTTTGGGTGGGAGGCCTCTTTTCACTCAGTCCTATCCCCTCCCCCAAATCCCTTTTCTATATTTTTAGTCTTTTTTATTTCTTGTTGGACAACTTGTTATTTATCCTTCAAATCTGAAATAATTTTTGTTTCTCTCGATCTGCCTCCTTACTTTTCATCAATTGCTTTTTGATATTTCTGTTATTCATATATTTTTAATGTAAGTTTCCAAATTTACATTTTACATCTCTTCATAGCCTTACTTATTTTTGATTTAAAATCACTGCTAATGGTGCATTTTTGTATTGTTTGATGATTATTTTTAAAACGTGCTTGCTAGTGCTAAAATTTTTAATTTACAGAAAGGAATAGCTGTACAAAGATTATGTGCAGACACTGGAGCTCTCTTTTCCCTTTTTGGGATCGGGTTTTTGTGGTGGCACAGTAACAGGAGATCTATGCTGCAGCAGATGGGCTTCTGCCCCGCCCCGTGTTTCCCAGACCAAGAGCTCCCTCTTACGTTCTTACAGAAAAGGGATTTAGTTTAAAAGTGGGCCTTCTCTTTCATCTGACTTCTGACTGTTAACTGCTGACCTCCAAGAATACAACCTTGCTTTCCCATGCTTCTTTATACCCAGGATGCACAGGGATTCTTCCACATTCCAAAATACCTCCCTCTTCTCTAGACAAGGCCAGTCAGGATTCTTGATAGCTGCTCAGTTACCTTTCTGTGAGCCCTCCCACCCTCATTCTTCCAGCTCCATGAGTGCTCTCACCTGATGGTCTCTGATAGTCTCCTAGTATTTTTCTTCTGAGAAGGGACTGTTTCCTCCTGGCTCTGAACTCTACTTGATGCTCTGCCAGGGATGGGATCTCCTGATCTGTCTGTCCCTCTTTGGATGCCCTTGCTGGCATCTCACCTCTATTGTGAGGAATCTTTGTACTGTTTCCTGGGGGCATCCTTCCCAGTCTCTGGAATCTACTCTTTCCTTTCTAAGTTCTCCAGGTATGGACTAAGCATCCCTCTCTGTGACTAATAGAAATACCTGCATATTCTAGTTCCTGTATCCATCAATATCCCATCTTTATGAAATAAAGCCCCATTAGTGCCTTGAGCCTTTGTGCTGCTCTTCTGTGAGCACAAATACACATTCAGGCTTAAGCTGATGGTGTCACCAAATTACTTTATACTTTTGGGAAAAGGATTTCTGGCATAAGAAAATATTTAGCCAGCTAATTAAACATTGAAATGGAAATGCAGTATTTAAGAGACGCGATAAGAAAAGTTTTCCACAGAGTCATTTATGAACACTTCATCCACATGCATTCTTTCCAAAGGTGAATTTAGCATGGCCTGTTTTTAAACAAATGATGCTGTTAAGATCTTTCACTTGAGGGCTGTTATGGATTATACTGGGAACATGAATGCAATGGATTGTACCTGCTTGGCTGCAGGTTCTTGAGCAGACTGATATGCATCTTACCCTGCTTTAATATTCAACAGGCTAGTTTTTATTGTTTTCCACTTTGCAGAAACAGATTATAAGTTTAGAGACTATTTTCACTTCTGCTTTCCCAACACCACATATATATATATATATATATATATATATATATATATATATATATATATATATATATATATATATATATAACTTTGAGGTCTCTGAAATTGGACATAACCCTAAAACTACATGGCACTTTCCTGGGTGCTGAGATGTTATTTAAGATGTATAGACTAGCCTTGTAATATACTGGTAATATGATCTTTTCAAAAATATGATAAATCTATTACTTTTAAATTCAACTAATAACACCCCTTATCTAAAAGTGAGCTCTGGGCCGATACCCAAAGGACTGTATATCCTACTACAGAGGCATATGTACATCTGTGTAATATTGCTCCTTTTTACAATAGCAAGGAAAAAGAATCAGTGTAGATGTCTATCAACAGAAGAGTTGATAATAAAAATACGATACATTTGAAAAACAGGATTATGAAATATGCCAGAATATGGACGACATGAAAGCATATAAAGTGAGGTAACCTAGACTCAGAAAGACAAACCTGTGACTCTCATGTGTGGCTCTTAGCCTCCAGCTGTTAAATAAATGTATCCAGATGGGAGCAAATGTGAGTAAAGGCCAAAAAACAAGACTAGGAAAAGGTGTCTTTAAGGAAAGGGATGGGGAAAACAATGGAATAAAGCAGAAAAGGGGTGAATGGAGAAAAAGAGGCAGAGAAAGGAAGGGGTAGCAGAGCTGGGAGAGAACCAACCCCTTCTCTGACCTGATGGTGTAACAGAGTTGGAGGCCGCAGTGCCTGGTGTTCCAGTGGAGCTTCCTTTGCCTGCTACTGTGGAGGTTCCCACAGATCCCCCTGTTGAACCTGGCAAGGAAGAACACTGGATTCTAATGCACTGCTTCGTTGATGAGGATTCTGGGAAACGCAATCACACTTTCAATGATCTGCACTTGCACCATGTTCACAACAGCCTTCATGTTTTCCTGGTTGGGCATATCTTAGACACTTGAGTGCATGTTTGAAATTACCTGAGGTTCCTAGGGTGGTAGCTGCAGTGCCTTGTTCCCTGGGTGTGCTGGCTGCTCCTCTTGTAGGCATTAACATAGTGGGCCCTCCTTTACCTACTAATGAGAAAACAGCAACTGAAAATGCCCTGGTTTTATCCATGCTGTTTAGATCTACTCCAACTGCACTTATTATTCCTTGCATGTGTTTGGATGTGATTCAGGGGCATACTCCAGGTCACTGAACTGGTTAAGAACACATTCACAAGTCAAGCTCTGGCATCTAGATCCAGCTGAACGCATTACATACATGAGACAATAACTAATATAACAATCTCAAGTTATGATTTACGTTTTAAAATTGTGGTCAATGTAAGTAGAAAAGAAAAATATTTAAAGAAAATTAATAAAAGCCTAAGCCTTTTTTCAACAAAGAAATATCACCCCACTGTGTCAGTCAAATGTTTTCCCAAGAGTATGACCTCAGTTTCAGGCCTTAGTAGATCACTCCTGTAAGCAGCAGTGCGGAATTGCTGTCAGTAGAGAAGCAAATCTCTCATCTGCTCCTCATCACCAGTGACAGTGTGTGATACACAAAGGGCGTAAGGGACTGGGTTTTCCATAAGGTCCTCGCATCCTGATTCAGACTTCAGGAAATGTGGGTTTATGGATATCATTTGGAAATTACAATCAGTTGCTGGGCGGTAGGGGCACAGCACACAGGAGGCTGAGGCAGACAGATCTCTGTGAGATCCAGGGTAGTCTGGTCTACAGAGGGAGTCCAGGACAGCCAGGGCTACACAGAGAAACCCTGTCTTGTAAAAAAAAAAAAAAAAAAAAAAAAAAAAAAAAAGTAAAAGGATACTGAATTATTTATTCATTTGAACTGTGTTCCTGTGTGTAATAGTTTAAATGAGAATGGGCCCCACAGCCTCAAAATTTGTATGCTTGTTACCCTGTTCATAGAACCGCTTTGAAAGGATTAGGAGGTATGGCCTTGTTGGAAGATTTGTGGGCTTAATAGGAGATGTGGCTTTGTTGGAGGATGTGTGTCACTGGGGTTGGGCTTTCAGGTTTGCAAAGCCCAAGTCAGGCCCAATCTAGCTCTTTCTCTACTTTCTGACCAAAGAGCAGGACAGAAGCTCTCACTTACTGCTCCAGAGCTATGACTTCATGACTGCTGTTGTGGTCCCTGCCATGGTGGTCATAGACTAACACTCGGAAACTGTAAGCAAGGCTCCAACTAGATGTTTCATTTTAGAAGTTGCCTTGGCCATGGTACTTCATCACAGCAATAGTAAATCCTAATTAAGACACTCTGTAAGTTCTATTTTCAACAAATCATCTCATTAATGAATACTGTCCTGCAAATTCTCTAAGTCATAACTTTTAGTTAAAGACTCTTGATAGACTACATTCACAAAGATAAACACATTTTCTTTATCTTTTGTTGGTTTCACCTTTTACCTACAGATCAAAGAATGGGGAAGTTCTAATGCACTTTTGCATCTTGTACATTTAATAATATCTCAATTCACAGAAATGTCATTACCTAGCCACTAATGTTTACTAACTTACAAGGTACATGTGTGAGGTTAACAGGGAAACCTTGAAGTGTCAAGTAACAATATCATCATTTTAACATATTTTTACACTATTCCTATTGACTGATTATGTGGTCTTACCGTCTCTGAATGGTAGGCCATTGGTATTTCCTTTATCTTTGTCTGTTGTTATGGTTACACCTGTAGAAACTAGAGTTGTTGCTGGTAAGATACAGACAAAATAATAAGCTGCCTAAAAATCTGTGTCAGCATTATCAACACTGAAGGAATGAGGAACATAAAATTGTAACTGGATATGATAAAGCAACTATGAAAGATTAAAGATACTATGACTCATTTAAATACAAGGAATAATTAAGTCTGGATCGTATTATAGAAAAAACAAGAAGTCTGTTAAGAATTCCTTTAAAAACACTTGGGCCAGAATTCTCATTCACAACTGTTTACCATCTGCGAGCCCAGGACTTGTGAAGTTAGGGTTTAGGTTTGCTCTGGTTCCTGCACTTTCAGCTGAGGAGCTGATGGGAGCTGAGGTTTCAATAGAGCCCGAGAAAAAATCAAGGGAATACTCATTTAAAGTTTGGATGGGCCTGGTTAACAATGAAGTTTTCTTATTATTAATCCTTGAGAGAATATAATAGATGAATGCAGTAAATGTCAGACCTGAGTTCCCTAAACTTATATTCTACTATGGTAGTCTCAAATACGTTAGTTTTTTTTTGTTCTGGCTCTGTTTTCACACAGACACAATTAGGAACCTGGGATTGGTTAACCAGATAACCATACACTTGATGCAGCTACTGTGCTTCAAGTAAGTTCACAATTCTGAACACCATCTGCTCACCTGATTCTTCTCCAGGCTGGGCTGAGGCTCCGGTTGCTTCACCAGCTGATGGTGCAGTGGTCCCTTTCAGAGGAAACAGTACATGGACATTAGGACCATTGATAAAGTTCATCATGCCATGCTGCTCTCTGATCTCACATCTCTTTCATATATTCTCTTTCACTTCCTCATTTCCAATTCAGCATTTCCAACATTTGATCATAAAATATATACAGTTTTTTTAGAATAATTGTGTATGATCTATTATTTATGGGATGCACTTAATTTTGCCATTTATTTTTGTATTTAATGTCCCTAAGACAAACTCACTGCTAATGAAGTGAGGATGTACACTGGAATGTATTGACACTTTAAAACACTTTCTAATACAGATACAAGCTCAATGAGTCTGAAGGCCCCTCTATTTATATTCCAAAACAATCACTAGTGATTCTCCTATCAAGTCATATTCCCTTTACAATAGCCAAAACCTTACAAGTTGTAAGGGATTTTCAAAACACTGTGGCTAGTTACGGAAATATGATCTATTCCACATCTGTCATTACAGCTTTTCATGCAGTAGCCCCTACAGAGTCAATTTCCTACTACTCCTTTCTATTGTGCACCAGTAACCACATACAGAAAATGGTCTCCAGGCACACACTCAACTCAGACATCTCTCTCTGTCTCACTTACCTGGACTGCTCCTAGCAGAGGTCATCGCTGGTCTAGTTGATATTTCAGGATTCACAGTGGTGGAGTCTTCAGAAATGTTTGTGGTTTCTAGAAGGAAGAACAAATTGGAAGTTGAGGACCTGATTGTTTTGTGTGTGTGTGTGTGTGTGTGTGTGTGTGTGTGTGTGTGTGTGTGTGTGTGGTTTTGCTGGGAATATTTTAGAAGTTCATGAAATTAAAATGGAAATTTATGATCCCTCTCAGCACTTATCAGCACTGCATTATCATTAAGTTAAATCCCAGGAAGACAGAGGAAGAAGAATGGAAGTTAATATGTACATATAGCTACACTAATCTTTAAACACATTTTATAATTCCATACATGTGCTTAGATTCCACAGCTGTTTCAGTCCTCTCTCAATCCCATGGCCACACCAAGTGCTGTCCCCTCCACAGCCCTAAAGAGGCCTTGTTTGACCTGATGGTGTCACAGTGCTGGAGGATCCAGTGCCTGGGGTTCCAGGTGAGCTTCCTTTGCCTGCTGCTGTGGTGGTTTCCACAGATCCCTCTGTTGAACCTGGCAAGCAAGAGCAGTGCTATGTCACCTGAAGGGCCCTTAGCAAATGCAGCCAAACTGTCAGTGATCTGTATTTTTATCACCTTTACCACAACCTTCAAGTTTTCTTAGAGGTCTACACTTTAGATACTCAGGTCTATGTCTGGAATTACCTGAGGTTCCTGGGCTTGTGGCTCCAGTTCCTTGTTCTCTGGGTGTGCTGCCTTTTCCATCAGTGGATATTTGTCTCGTGGTAACTCCTAGGCCAATTGATGAGGAAATAAGAATTTTAAATGTGTTGGACAAACATATATAGTATACTGGCAAAAATCCCCTGATCATTCAAATTGTTCATGTGAATGGATATAATTCAGTGACTTAAAGAATGTCATTTTACTAATATACAACACATCCAACACCAACCTCAAGCATCTAGCTCTAGTTGAACTCAAAGACATATGCCAAAGAAATCTCACATTCCCATGTTGTCATTGACTGATGACTAAAAATGCATTACATATAATGAGAGAGGGGAACAATGTTCTGCTACAACACAGAGCTATGGACAAGAGAAAGATAACAGGTCTTCGTGTGTCAATGTGTCTTTAAAAGGTCATAAGATCTGTCTGTATCTCAGCACATCATGAGCCAGCAGTTAAGAACCTGGGATTGGTTATCCAGATGTCCACACACTTGATTCAGCTACTGTGCCTTTCATAAGAAACAGGGTGAAGACTCCACAATTCTGAACACCACCTGCTCACCTGGTTCTTCTGCAGGCTGGGTGGAGGCTATAGATGTTTCACTAGCTGATGATGCAGGGGTCCCTTTCAAAGGAAACGGTACATGGACATTAGGACCCCTAACAAAGTTCATCATTCCATGTTGCTCTCTGATTTCACATCTCTATCATATATTCTTTTTCACTTCTTCCTTCCAATTCAGCATTTCCAACATTTGATGACACAATATATATAATTTCAGATTCATTGTGTATGATACATTGTATATGGCATGCATTTTAGCTTGCCATTCATACTTGTATTTAATGTCTCTAAGCTGAGCCCAGTGCGTGTGAAGTGAGGTTGTACACTAGAAAGTGTTCACTCATTTAAAACCCTTCTCACACAGTTTCAAGGTCAATGAATCTGAAGGTCCTTCCATTCACATTGCAAAAGTATCTCCAGTGATCATCCTATCTAAGGCCCATTACAAGTCACATTCAAATTTCAGTAACCAAAATCTAACAAGCTGCAAGGGGTTATCAAAAAAAACTGTGGCCATGTGAAAACTCAGACTAATTATAGAAATATGATGTATCCCACATCTGTCACTACAGCCTTTCATGCAGTAGTCCTTATAGCAAAAATTTCCTATTAGTCCTTTCTATTATGCACCAATAATCACATATAGAAATTGGACTCTGTATACACACTCAGGTCAGATATCTTTCTCTTTCTTATTTACCTGGACTGCTTCTAGCAGAGGTCATCACTGGTCTAGTTGATGTTTCAGGACTGACAGTGGTGGAGCCTCCAGAAATATTTGTGGTTTCTAGAAGGAAGAACAAATTGGAAGTTGAAGACCTGATTGTTTTTGTGGTTTTGCTGGGAATATTTTAGAAGTTCAGGAAATGAAAATGAAAAGTTATGATCCTCCATCAGCAATATGCAGCACTGTAGTATCATTCAGTTAGAACCCAGGAGGACCAGGGTACTCCCTATTCAGCGGGACATGGGAAGGAGCAGCTGGACCATCACTCAGGCTATTGTGTCTCACCTGAACCCGTGGCTCCAGAGCTTGCTTCTCCAGGAGTGCTGACACCTGCTGTTCCAGGGCTTGAGCCAGATGATGCCCCCGGTGAGCCTTATGTTGATCAAGTGGGAAAATGTTAGAATGAGATTGTCTGAAGTTATACACATTCAAGAAAGGACTCTTAAGCCTGCTTGCGTTTGTTTTAGAAAAGATATGTGTACACAAAAACGTAACTGGATTGTGAGACTCCAGCCTTGGTAAACCATTCCATTCTTAGTTTTCTTTGATTAGAGAACAGCTAATCCATCCCTCCACCCCTCAGTTACAGGACAGCTGTTGATCAGCAGATGAGCTTCCTCTCCTCAGTCTCTTAGATTCCTTTCTATTCTTCAGCATGGTAGAGTGCCAGGGAATGAGAATAAATACAAGAATTTCATGTGTGAACAATCAGTGAACTTTCCCATTTGCTTACCTGTTTCTGTGCTGGCAGAGGTGGATGGTTTAACTGGGGCCACTGAACCAGCAGTGGTGGTCCTGGCAGATGCTAAAAAGAAGAAACCAAAAAAAAAAAAATTCGTTGTTTTGAACATTTGTTTTGTCCTTACTGTTAACCCTGAGTAGTAGGGAGTTTACAAGAAAACATATATCCACATGACTTTCTTGAATCCTCATTCTATCCCAACTAGAGTCTGAATTAATCTCTCAGCACTTCCTATAACTTTTCATGTCTACTGGCTTCTAAGTTACCAGGGCCATCTGTGGACCTACCAGAATCCTGGGTTCCAGTGCCTCCTGTTCCAGGAGTGCTGCTGACAGCTGCTTCAGAAGTTGTTCCAGAGGATGCTTTGGCTGTGCCTATCATTGAAAAATGTTAGTTTAAGAACACACAGAGGTAATTCAACTTGTGGATGTAACTTGAAATAAACTTTGTATTCACACCTCCAAAGGCTGTAACTGTCTCATTAGGTAAATAGAAACATAGCGATGATACTCACACAGTCACTAGCATCGAGAGCTATTTTTTAAGATAAAAGAAGTATAACAGGTAGCCCTGATATTCTAATAAATCAGTAACGCATGTGTCAAAATTACAATACTTCTACACACGTAATTCAGGCTTCAATTATAAATGCCGTTGATTTGTCATTCTAGAACAGTCTTCACATGATAAGTATGGTACCCTACACCACTTCATTTCTGTACTAACTTTGTTCTTGTACCAGTGTACATATTTTAGTTTTTCTCTTTCCAACTTGTACTTGACTGAGATATGCATACCTATATGTTACTTTTTTTTTGCCAAATTGATATTTGACCTGCTTTTAAGATGTAGAAGAAAGTTTTGGGGTACATTTGTGATCTCCTATACACTTGATTCCATAGGAACAATGTTCTTATTTACTGTCTGTGTGAAAATCTTAAGCACTATTAAAGATCACGTCTACCATTGGATGTGCCTCTGTTGGCTCTCACCTTACCTGTTCCTCCAGATGTGCTCTTTCCAGGAGCTACAGTGGTGCCCACATCTGTTCCTCCTCTTGCTGCTATGGGAAGAAGAATGGAAGTTAATATGCACATATAGCTACACTAATCTTTAAACACATTTTGTAATTCCATTCATGTGCTTAGATTCCACAGCTGTTTCAGTCCTCTCTCAATCCCATGGCCACACCATGTGCTGTTCCCTCCACAGCCCCTAAAGAGGCCTTGTCTGACCTGATGGTGTCACAGTGCTGGAGGATCCAGTGCCTGGGGTTCCAGGTGAGCTTCCTTTGCCTGCTACTGTGGTGGTTTCCACAGATCCCTCTGTTGAGCCTGGCAAGCAAGAGCAGTGCTATGTCACCTGAAGGGCCCTTAGCAAATGCAGCCAAACAGTCAGTGATCTGTATTTTTAGCATCTTTACCACAACCTTCAAGTTTTCTTAGAGGACTATACTTTAAATACTCAGGTTTATGTTTGGAATTACCTGAGGTTCCTGGGCTTGTGGCTCCAGTTCCTTGTTCCCTGGATGTGCTGCCTTTTCCGTCAGTGGATATTTGTCTAGTGGTAACTCTTATGTCAACTGATGAGGAAATAACAACTTTAAATGTGTTGGAGAAACATACATAGTATATTAGCAGAAATCCCTTATATCATTCAAATGGTTTGTATGAATGGATATAATTCAGTGATGTAGAGAAGGTCACTTTACTAATATACAACACATCCAAGAGCCAAACTCAAGCATCTAGCCCCAGAAGAAATCAAACACATATGCCAAAGTAATCTAACATTTTCAAGTTGTCATTGACCGAGGACTTAAAATGCATTAAATGTAAGGAGTGAAGGGAACACTGTTCTGCTACAACACAAAGCTACAGACAAGAGAAAGTAACAGGTCTTCATGTGAAGATGTGTCTTTCAAAGATAATAAGATCTGTTTGTATCTCAGCACATCATGAGTCGGCACTTAAGGACCTGGGATGGTGTTAGCCAGATGTCCACACACTTGATGCAGCTATGGTGCTTTTAGTAAGAAACAGGCTGAAGACTCCACAATTCAGAACACCACCTGCTCACCTGGTTCTTCCGCAGGCTGGGTTGAGGCTCTAGATGTTTCACCAGCTGGTGGTGCAGTGGTCCCTTTCAGAGGAAACAGTACATGGACATTAGGATCTCTGAAAAAGTTCATCATGCTATGTTGCTCTCTGATTTCACATCTCTTTCATATATTCTCTTTCACTTCCTCATTTCCAATTCAGCATTTCCAACATTTGATCATACAATATAATTTTAAATTAATTATGTATGATACATTATAGATGTGATGCATTTTAGCTTGCCATTCACTTATGTATTTAATGTCTCTAGCTGAGCTCAGTGCATATGAAGAGAGGTTACACATTAGAAAGTATTCACTCAAAAAAAAAAATTAAAAATTAAAAAATAAAAAGCCGGGCAGTGGTGGTGCACGCCTTTAATCCCAGCACTTGGGAGGCAGAGGCAGGCGGATCTTTGTGAGTTCGAGGCCAGCCTGGTCTACAGAGCGAGATCCAGGAAAGGCGCAAAGCTACACAGAGAAACCCTGTCTCGAAAAACAAACAAACAAAAAAAAGAAAGTATTCACTCATTTAAAACCCTCTCACACAGTTTCAAGGTCAGTGACTCTGAAGATCACTCCATTCACATTGCAAAAAATATCTCTAGTGATTATCCTATCTAAGCCCCATTTTAAGTCACATTCCAATTTCAATAACAAAAACCCAAAAAGCTGCAAGGGGTTATCAAAAAACTGTGGTCGTGTGCAAACTTAGACTAATTACAGAAATATGATGTATCCCACATCTGTCACTACAGCCTTTCATGCAGTAGTCCCTATAGCAAAAATTTCCTATTAATCCTTTCTATTGTGCACCAATCACCACATACAAAAAATGGTCTCCGTGCATACACTCAAGTCAGACATCTCTCTCTGTCTCATTTACCTGGACTGCTCCTAGCAGAGGTCATCACTGGTCTAGTTGATGTTTCAGGACTCACAGTGGTGGAGTCTTCAGAAATTTTCGTGATTTCTAGAAGGAAGAACAAATTGGAAGTTGAGGACCTGATTGTTTTTTGTGGTTTTGCTGGGAATATTTTAGAAGTTCAGAAATTGAAAGTGAAAACTTATGGTCGCTTCTTATTTCTTTGCAGCACTGTAGTATCATTCGGTTAAAACCCAGGAGGACCATGGTACTCCCTATTCAATGGGACATGGGCAGGAGCTGCTGACCATCACCCAGGCTATTGTGTCTCACCTGAACCTGTGGCTCCAGAGCTTGCTTCTCCATGAGTGCTGACACCTGCTGTTCCAGGGCTTGAGCCAGATGATGCCCCCGGTGAGCCTTATGTTGATCAAGTGGAAAAATGTTAGACCGAGATTCTGTGAAGTTATACTCTTTCATGAAAGGACTATTAAGCCTGTTTGCTTTTGTCTTAAAAAGGATATGAATACACACAAATGTAACTGGATTGTGAGACTCTAGATCTTGTAAACCATTCCATTCTCAGTTTTCTCTGATTAGAGAACAGCTAATCCATCCCTCCCTCAGTTACAGGCTAGCTGTTGATCAGCAGATGAGCTTCTTCTCAGTCTCTTAGATTTCTTTCTATTCTTCAGCATGGTAGAGTCCCAAGTTAGGATAACAACCAGGAGAATGTGACAATGAATACTCAGTGAATTTTTCCCTTTACTTACCTGGTTCTGTGCTGGCAGAGGTGGATGGTTTGGCTGGGGCCACTGAACCAGCAGTGGTGGTCCTTGCAGATGCTAAAAGAAAAGAAAAAAAAGCAATTGTTTGTGTTGAACATGTGTTTTTTCCTTCCTGTTAATCTTGACTAGTAGGGAGTTTTCAAAAAAAAAAAGGTATATCCATATTATTTTCTATAATCCTCAATCTATCCCAACTAGTGTCTCATTTAATATCTCAGCACTTTCTAGTTACCAGGTACATATGTGGACCTACCAGAAACCGTGGCTCCAGTGCCTCCTGTCGCAGGGGTACTGCTGACAGCTGCTTCAGAGGTTGTTCCAGACGATGCTTTGGGTGTGCCTACCATGGAAAAATGTTAGCTTAAGAACACATGCAGGTAATTCTGCTTGTGGATGTAACTTGAAATAAGCTTGCTTTTTCACACCTAGAAAGGCTATAGCTGTCTCCTCAGCTAGTGATGATATTCAGCCAGTCCCTAGCACAGAGAGCTATTTTTCAAGATAAAAGAAGCATACCAGGTAGACCTGATATTCTACTAATTTAGCAATATATGTGTTAGAAATAAAACACTTCACGACACACCCAATTCAATTTGAACTATAAATGGCTTTGATTTATTTTTCTAGAACAGTCTTTCCATAATAAGTTTGGCATCACACACCACTTTATTTCTGTACTAATTATTATTCTTCTTCTATATATCTTAGTTTTTTCTCATTCCAACTTGTAGTTCAGACAGACAGACTTACTTATACATTACTTCCTTTGCCAAATTAAAATCTTACCTACTTAAGATGGACAACAAAGACTTGGGGTGCATTTCTAACCTCTTAGATACTTGACACCACATGAACAAAGGTCATATTTTCCAGGGAACTGTTTATCAGGAAATTGTAGGCACTATTTAAGATCACATGTCTACTGCTGGATGTCCCTCTGTTGGCTCTCACAGTACCTGTTCCTCCAGATGTGCTCTTTCCAGGAGCTACAGTGGTGCCCGCATCTGATCCTCCTCTTGTTCCTACAGGAAGAAGAATGCAAATTAATATGGCCAGATAGCTACACTAATCTTTAAACATATTTTGTAATTCCATTCATGTGCTTAGATTCCACAGCTGTTTCAGTCCTCTCTCAATCCCATGGCCACACCATGTGCTGTCCCCTCCACAGCCCTAAAGAGGCCTTGTCTGACCTGATGGTGTCACAGTGCTGGAGGATCCAGTGCCTGGGGTTCCAGGTGAGCTTCCTTTGCCTGCTACTGTGGTGGTTTCCACAGATCCCTCTGCTGAACCTGGTAAGCAAGAGCAGTGCTATGTCACCTGAAGGGCCCTTAGCAAATGCAGCCAAACTGTCAGTGATCTGTATTTTTATCAACTTTACCACAACCTTCAAGTTTTCTTAGAGGTCTACACTTTAAATACTCAGGTCCATGTATGGAATTACCTGAGGTTCCTGGGCTTGTGGCTCCAGTTCCTTGTTCCCTGGGTGTGCTGCCTTTTCCATCAGTGGATATTTGTCTAGTGGTAACTCCTAGGCCAATTGATGAGGAAATAACAACTTTAAATGTGTTGGGCAAATATATATATATTATATTGGTAAAAATCTCCTCTAAGTATCAAATTGTTTGTGAGATTCAATGTAATTCAGTGACCTAGTAAAGGTCACTTTACTAATATACATCCAAGAGTCCAACTCAAGCAAGAATCTCCAGTTGAACTCAAACACATGTCACGGAGACTAATCTCACATTCCCAAGTTGTCACCCATTGCTATCTTAAAGTTCCTTAAGAGTGATTAGAGAAGGGGACACTGCTTTGTTACAATACAAATCTATGTACAAAAAAGTGATAACAGGTCTTTATGTAAAGAAGTTTCTTTCAAAGTGCAAAAGGTCTGTTGTGTATTTCAGTACATTATGACCCAGCATAAGACCCAGACTGGACACCCTTGGGTTTGAAAAACAAAGACTACACAAAGTTATATGACTAGTGAAGAGGGGGTTCGATGTGGAAAGACCTGGGAGAAGGACAGAAACGTGATCAAAATACATTGTATGAAATTTACAAAAAGATAATAAATATTTTATAAATAAATAAGTACACTTATTGAGATTGAAGAGATATTAAAGTGGCTTAGAGCACATCCTGCCCTTTCAGAGGACCTTAGTTTGGTACCCAGCACCCATGTAGGGGTGTCTCACAACCATCTCTAACTTTAGTCACAAGAGAATCCCACATATCTGACCTGTATGGCCAATGAACTAACAATCATTCACACACACACACACACACACACACACACACACACACACACACACATACACACACACACACACACACACACACACACAGTGGGTAGCCATTCCAGCTTTGGTCTGGAAGTTCCAACCCCCATTGAGGCTTCGGTAACTATCATGCCTACAAGGCGGGGCCAAGGGAAGGCCCTGAAGACCCGAGATCAGAATGTGCTGTGCTCTCTTTCTAGAGGTAGACCAAAGAGAGTTCTCCAGAGAACACCACTGGACTGCGCTGAGTCTTTCCCAGAACCTGCCACCTATCTATCCCTTCATTTGTAAGTTACGCCATTAAATTAATCCCCCTTTTAACTGTATCTGGGCTGGTCAGCAAGTGGCCTGCATGATGAAACAGGCAAATGGGACGTAAAAGAAAGGAAGGCAATTTATCGCAAGAAAAATTTTTGTGGTCTTGATGTAGTTTGTCTTTGATCAAATTATTTATTCTTGAATAATGTCAGTGATACTCTATTCCTAGCAATGGTTAAGTTAGTCAGTAATATAGAATCTGAGGCATACTCTCTTGACTTGAGCCAGATAAGAACTCCTACAGGCTCAGAGCAGTAGAACATGGTGCAGCCCCTAAGGCTGAAGAGGCCATGTTCTGGTCCTATCATTACCAGCATGAAGACTTTTATTTTTATTATTTTCTTATCTCATGGTAAATAAATCTCATAGCACATATTGGAGTGGTGATAATGTTGACTGACTTGTAAAGAACTTATTTCAAAAGAAATTAGAAATTGCAATGGGTTGTAATCCTACCATTGAATTATAAATAGTTCTTATTGAATATTTCCCAACTCTCCTATTAGTAACCTCTTTCTGTACTTTAATCTACTTATGGCTCTACTTAGACTAAAATTACTGCCGAGTTGAAATACAAGATTTCTGCTTACAGAAATACCCTGAGGGGCACAGCAATTGCCTCATATCTTTGTATCACTTGCTTTGAAGGTTGTGGTAGATGTAATCCTGTTGACAGTTTCTAGTGTTATACTTGGCAATATTCTGAAGAAATGAACAAATCAGTCTTTAAGATAAGCATGTATAGGGCTAGAGTAATAAGTCACTGGTCCCCATCACCCATTTCATATAGCTCACAACCACTTATAACTCCAGATCCTGGATATCCGTTGTCCTGCTTTGGATTCCTAGGGCACATTATGCACATGCTTACATATATATGTATATATATATATGTATATATACACATATATGTGTGTGTATGTATATTTAAATAAATGAGCATTATGCTGACTATGTATACGTGGGATCTTGTAAGTCCAGTGTGGTACACTTTCAAAGGCAGCTACTGGGCAGGCTATAATAAATACATTTTGACTGTTTTAGTTGGATAATCACATAAGGCTGATAACAGTGAAAAATATCTGGAGAGAATTGTGACACCAGTTCCTTGACTGGAGTAAGGATTCTTTTCCCTTCATTTAATTTACCTGCTGTGAGTACAGGATTGAAGATGCTGAGGTTCAGTATAGGCATTGTATCTACACTACCAAACAGGAAGGTGAAGTTTCCATAGATTATGAGAAAACAACAAAGGGGCCACATATCTAAAGTCTTCTACTAGAAGACCTAATCCTCCAATCACTCTTTCCATGAAAATTTTTTTGTTTGTTTTGTTTTGTTTTGTTTGAGACAGGGTTTCTCTGTGTAGCTTTAGAGCCTTTCCTGGAACTCACTCTGTAGCCCAGGCTGGCCTCGAACTTACAGAGATCCACCTGCGTCTGCCTCCCCAGTGCCGGGACTAAAGGCATGCGCCACCACTGCCCAGCTCCATGAAAATTTGAGTAAACAAATTCTCTGATTTTTATGCCCAGAACTCCCTATATATTTTAATAAAAATTTCTAGCAGATTTCTTTTAGTTTCATTTTTATTCAAAAATCCATCTCTTTGCATCGTGAATTGGGTCAACTATATCTGTGTATTCATGTCCATACATTTTTATCAACTGCAGCTCAATAAAATGCACAAGGTATGGACAAACCACTCTCCAGTTTTCAGACAGCCTCTGCCTCTCCAAGACACAGCTTCAACTCACCTGTGTTGCCTTCGGTTGAGGTCAGCTCACTGCTTGGGGATCTAGTTGTTCCAGCAGATGGTCCAGTCGTTCCTTTCAAAACACACAGTGTTATGACAGTGACAACGTAGCAGGCCAAGGTGCTCTCTGCTGCCTAGCATTTTATTCATTTGTGGGTACTTCCTACTTCTGCTTCAGTCTTCCCAAATCATGAACCTCACATCTCATAAGAGTCTTTGAATCCTTTGCTGGACTTTTTTTTTTAATTTTCATAAAAATAAGATTAGCATTTGATCCCTGGGACAAGTTGCCTGTCAGAAACAACTGGATGTTTCAAATATATTCCCACTTAGGCCCCTTTTCCATGGCTCCACAATTAATGGTATTATAAAGAACACAGATCTGAACTTTTCTCATTGGTGCTAACTTGTAGCTGGCAGAAAAAGCCATGACCTCCAAACTCAGAGTCCCTAAATTCAGGGCAGGACTCTCAGGATCATCATGACCTGTAAGCACACACAAGAACCTAATGCTGACATAAGGTTCTAATGCAGTTCTCCTGCTGCTGACTGATGTATAGAGCAGAAACTGGGCTTCCTGTCCCTGAGACAGACATGGCCTTCCTACCGTCCATGGATATGAGTGAAAACATATGCATTTTTGATTTCTGAAGACTCGGAGCCTTCTCTCTTTTATTTACCTGATTTGTTGTTGGCAGAGGTTGAGGGCAGGTTGGAGGAGACTCCAAGGGTGGTAGTGTGTCCTGAAGACACAACTGTGCTCCCTAAGTCCAGGAAAACATGGATAGTACTAGTGTTATTCATGACATTATTAGGTGTTCATAGATTTTTAGAATAAGGTACAAAGTGGCAGTTCTACATACCCCTCCCAAGCCCTTTATTCGACTGCTCTTTCAATTTGACTATGGGCCATCATCTGTTGCATCAGGAAATAAGGAAACAGTCCGGTCTATCGTCTCTTACCAGAACCTGGGGTTGCTGTACTTGCAGCTGCAGGGGTACTGCCACCTGCCACACCAGTGGTTGTTCCAGATGATCCCTTGGATGTGCCTGATATTTATTGTGGTTAAAAAGAAGGCCAAGAGTATGTTATTCCATTGTCTAAATATACCACATTTTTATTATCCACTCATCTGTAGACAGACATCTAGGCTGTTTCCATTCCCTGGCTAATATGAATAGAGCAGCAATGAACATGGATGAGCAAGTACCTCTGTATTAGGATGTGAGTCCTTTGGAAAAAATGTCTAAGAATCAAGCTCGATCATGTGGTTTTGGAGGAACCTCCACATTGATTTCCCTAGTGGCTAAACCAGTTTGCTGTCCCAGCAATAAATACATGTTCCCCTTCCCACTATCCCTAACAACACTTGTTCTCATTTTTTATATCTTAGCCATTCTGAACAGGGTTAGACAGAATCTCAATGCAGTTTTCATTTGCATTTTTTTAAGGATGCTGAATAAATGTAAAAATATCCTTCAAGCATTTGCATTGTACATTTTGAAAACTCTCTGTTTAACTGGGTTGCTTGTTTCTTGGTGTTTAGTTTTGTGATTTCTGGGTATAGTCTCCTTACAAAACCTCTGTTAGACATATACAGCAGGTGGAGATTTAAACTTAAAGAAATATGTTATGGTTGTGAACAGAAATATACTACATTTTCCCTCTCAAAAGTAAATGTATCAAAATCAATGTCATCTTAAGTTTATATATTGATTTTATTATATATATGTATGAATGCATGTATACATATTCTATATACTAATTCCTTTAAAATCATATTCATTAACTATAAATCATATCAAACTAGTTGCTGTCCATTGAGAATGGATATTGAAAATCTGGTATATATACAAAATGGAATAGTGCTCACCTCTCATGAAAAATGAAGGGAAAACTAAAAAACCAATTAAATGAGAATATATAATATTAAACTAGGTCACACAGTTTCAGAAAGCAAAAAAACCTGCATGTTTTTCTCTCATAATTGGGATCTGGCCAATGAAATGTGCATGCATAAATATAAACAAATGTTCATGTGAGTACAGTATGACATGAAGGAAAAAGAACAGGGATTTCTGGATTAAAGAGGATGAGAAAGGACAGAAGCCAAGTAATGGAGGTTTTAGGAAAGAGGACATAAAGCAAACCATTTTGATAGTTCTAATTCTCCACAAACTTTTGTTTTAGGTGATAGATAAGTGAACATATTATATTTGATGCTGAAATTGTAAAATTTATGATGAAACACTACAGCTTCCAGTGGAATGTCTGTTCGAACTATATAGAGGTTCATTGAGTTGTATAGACTTTGGTCAGGTTACTTTTGGTGTCTTGATATTTTGATTTATTAGCAAAAGGTTTTAGTAATAATATTTATATGACTTAAAAATTAAAACATAGTAAGTGAGTAATACTCATTACTGACAGAAGCTTATGATGGAGGAGGGTGGTAGTGAGCATTTCTGCATACATGACTGTTTGCACCCTTATACATTAGATTCTGACTCTGCAACTGATAATTTTTTTTAAGTAAAAATGATTATCTTTTATGACAGACTTGACCCTAAAACTGTGAACAACAACAACAAAAAACCCCTTTCTACCTTCCTTGATCAGAAATTTATTCACAGAAAGAAAGGTGAATAATAATGTATGACATCTGTGACAGTGGTCAGCTTCCCCACAGAAACTCATCCTACCTCATAAGTGAAATGCTCACTTATCAGCTGCCTGTGTGAGCCCTGCTCACATCACTCTGTACCTGCAATTCCAGATGTGTTTTCACCAGTAGCTCCAGTGCTGGCTGCCTGTGTTCCTCTACTTGTCCCTAAAGGGATAAATATGGTTTTAAGGTCACAATGATGGCTACAAGTCTCCCAAGGCAATAAGTTCTACAGTGTGGTCCTTGGTCACCTTTCCTGAAATTCATTATCACACACATTTCTGGGAAACACCTGTGTTAGACCTTGCCAGAAATTTCTGTCTTGCCTGGTAGGTTTCCAGTGGTGACTCCTGTGTCAGGACCCTCAGGCGTGGTCTCCCCCTCTGCTCCTTTGGTAACTCCCACAGACTGTCCTGTTGTGACTGAAAAGCAAACGATCCATGCTAGAAACATGTACTAGTTCTCAGAAGGGAGACACAGAGAGTTCAAGACCAAATCTCATGATGTGAACATGTCTATCTTTCATTTAATATGGAGGAATCATGGCTAGGGTTTTGATTCTGCATGAAAATATGATGCTCTACCTCCTTTTTATTCATCTATTTGAACTCAGTACTCATATGCTTATTGAAACCAACTGGGACTTTCAGATGTATTTCTGCCTGGGTAGTTCATATAAGAAAACACATTTATGGCTGGAGAGGTGGCTCAGAGGTTAAGAACACTGGCTATTCTTCCAGAGGTCTAGGTTTAATTCCCAGCAACCACATGGTTACTCACAACCATCTATAATGAGATCTGGTGCCCTCTTCTGGCCTGCAGGCATACATGCAGGCAGAATACTGTATACATAATAAATACATAAATCTTGAAAAAAAAAAGAAAGAAAAAGAAAACACATTTAATAACCATGATAAAGAAGACATTTAGAATGTTTCTACTTGATATTAAGTAAATTAGAGTCAGGATAGTAAGTAATCCTTAGCTCTCATGACTCATTGTCCTTAAGCTCCAAGAAAGGAATCAGGGCCATCATTGCCCCAAAGTACACATTAGCAACCTAATTATGGGATAATAGAAACATCAACTAATGCAAGTATCTTTTTGATGCTAGTTCCCTTTCTATAAATATACAAGGAATTCCTGCATTCTCTAATGAATAAATGTGATATCACTAGCCCCTCATTTGTCACCAGAGGACTCATAGTCTTGTGATATACATGCCATTCTTACATTCTTACATTCTATATAAATAAACAGAGAGCTCAGAGCCTGCTCTCTTTACTTACCTGGTTTGCTGCTGGCAGAGGCTGTAGATTCACTGGAGGCCTGAGGGACAGTAGTGTGTCCTGTGGATGTCACTGTGCTCTCTAGGACAGGAAAACATGCATGTTGGAGAATCATGTGATTCCAGTCATCCTTATTTATATGAATGAACTTGCAGGATAAAACATGAGAAGACAGAGAAGACACATACTACACCACATCCAATGCCATGAATTTCAGTCACACATACAGTGCAATTTTCCAGACTATCACCTGAGGCCGCCTGGGAATTGATGAGCAACTGAGGCATCTCCAAAGGCTAAAGAGTCTTACCTGATGCTGGGGCTCCAGTACTTGCAGGTAGAGCGGTGCTGCCCCCTGCTCCTCCAGAGGTGGATGCAGAAGTTGTCCCAGGTGTGCCTGTTGATTATCATGGTTAAAAAATGAGTAAGAAAAATTAAAGGGAGGTTTTTCTTTAAAATAAGAATTGAAATGGTCATTTTTTTCCTCTTGCAAAACGAAAGTCTCTACTCTTGTAAAAAGTTCAAGGCCAACTTCTTTCTAAAGAGAAATCCATTAATTTGACAACATGCTGATTTGGTGAAATAGTCATCAATTAGAACACATAATAATGTTATTTTAACGTGAGACTCCTTGCAGTTGGTCTTAGATTTATCCCTGGTGCATGAACTGGCTTTTTGGAGTCCACTCCCTAGAGTGGAATACCTTGCTCAGCCTTGATACAGGGGGAAGGGGCTAGGGCCTGCCTAAAATTGATGGGCCAGACCATGGGGGCCTTACCTACTCTGAGGAGTGAATGGGGGTAGGGTAGGGAGTTCAGGGGGATTGGGAGGAGGAGAGGGAGGGGGAAACGCAGTTGTTATATGAAATGAAAAAAGAAAATATAAAATATAAAAAAGGGAAAAAATATAATAACTATGAAGGTAAGTGAAATTCTGCATGGAGGAATGCTAATGATTTTAGAACTGACTTAAGACCTTGTGAGGATCTTTGTCAACCTGACTGCTCTCTACCATACTTTTAGGCTCACATGTCTCTTGATTGTTAATTTTATAAAAAAATAATATGAAGATGCAGGTCATCTTGGAGTCCCTATTATTTAGTAAATAATGTATGCTTAAAATGATATGAGACACAAAATTAAGTACTTGGCAATAAATATAAAAACTTCTGCATACTTAGGTGTGGGAATTTTTATCACTTGGCACACATTTCCTGGGCATATATCTGAGAAAATTAACAGAGAAGGAAAGCCCAATCTACAGATAGGTGACAATCAACAGTTTGTGCTAGCTACATGTTTCTATGGGAACAGCAATGTTTCTAATGGTCACAGATAACAATGGCCTCAGAAGCCTCCCAAAGCATTTCAGAGTTAACCTCATGTCATGAAGATCTACACACTGCTCCTTCATCACCTTTCCTTGAACTAATGATCACAAACAGTTCTGGACAACACTGGCATGGGTCCCTGACACAGGCCACCATTGAGATCTTATCTTGCCTGCTGGACTTCCAGTGGTAACTTCTGTGCCTTGGGTTACAGGTGTGGCCTCCCTGTCTGCTCTTGTGGTAACTCCCACAGACTGTCCTGTTGTGCCTGCAAAGCAAAGGAGCCATGCTGGAAACACTTCCTAGTCCTCAGAAGGGAGACATGGAGAGGTTCAATTCTATACCTCACTCAGTCAATAAGTCTGTACTTTGCCCAGTAGCCTGGCTGTTTCACCTCTACCTGAAGTTCCTGTTCTAACTGACCCAAGTCTCCTTGGATTTTAGCACTGCTGCTGGATTGATTCCCTGGGTGTGCTGCCTCCCCTGTCGCCTGTGTGTTCTGCAGGGACTAAGGATCCTGGGACACGAATGATATTTTTATTTTCCTTAGGAATAATGACATAAGCAAAATGTCTGGCCAGGAAATCTTATCTTTCCCAACTGTTGGATATGTTCTCATGAGTTGTTATGTTGTCCTTGTGGCTGACAGCAGACCCAGAGTCCAACCTGAGCCTTTGCATCCCCAGAGACTAACCTCTCATTTGCTCTCAAGGATCTCCGGCAAAACAGTAACATGACAAAATTCCAAAGTATGTTAGACAAATACTTTCCCAAATCTGGAGCTATCTCAATCTCCTAGGACAATACCTACTGTCCAGGCATTCCTTTAGAGACTGAATACTCTGGAAATGTGCCTGGGCATAAGGATTTTGATATATCTCTACCTCCCCTCTTAAGCCTGTCTGTCCTTCTACTTAAAATGTGGAACATCAGCCAGTTTCATATGATGAGAAGGAAAAAGTCCAATGATTTTTCTGCTCAGTCATGTCTACCCTTTGAACCCAGTGTCATGTTATCAATAGCCTTGGCTTACTGCCCCAGGGAGAAGAAAGACTCTTAAAAATGTGATGTTCTCTCTTTTACTTTAGTCCTTGTATGTCAATCTAAACTTTGTACTTTGATTTAAATGAGCTGAGTAATGGTAAGGCGATCCACTTTGTCAAAACCCATGCCACCCTCACATCAGCCAGTACTCACTTGACTTGTCTGAAGCCTGGGGCGATTCACTGCTTGGGGCTCCAGATGTTTCCCCAGCTGATGGCGTAGTAGTTCCTTTCAGTGAACAATAATTGATTATCAGGATGTTTGATATAGGGGTACAATTCAGGATGCTAATGCTTTCAATTATCTTCCTTATATTCCTTCATTCTCTTTTATTTCCATTTTTTCAACAAGTGAACACAAGTGCTCAGATGACCCAGACCATCCTTCAGAGAACTCACTGACTTGTTGGATATGAGGGAACTTGTACATATTGACTTGTTTGACATTAAGACACTGTAGTTCTATGTCAAAGCTCATCATTCTCATCAGAGCCTGTAGTAGGGACTTTAAGGATCTCTCCAGACTCCCATTTTCAGTTTATTTCTTAAAAATCTCTCTCTGTATCTTTGGCCACAACATGAGCTTTTCCAGGTAACAGCCTCAACTCACCTGCACTGACTTCAGATGGGGTCTGCTCACTGCTTGAGGATCTAGTTGTTCCTGATGATGATCCAGTGGTTACTTTCAAAGAAACACAATGTCATGAATGTGAGCAGCAGTAGACCACATTACTCTGTGATGTTGATTGTCTTCCTTAATTAATGTATAGTTCCTATTGCTACTTCTATCTTTGTAAATTTCATAGGATATGGAGGAAGCTTGCTAGGCTTTTTGAGCCTGCATGGAATTATGATGGTCTACCTCCTTTTTATTCATCTACTTGAATCCAGTACTCATATGCTTATTGAAACAAACTGAATCTTTCAGATATATTTCTGCCTTGGTACTTCATATAAGAAAAAACATTAATAATCCTGATAAAGGACACATTCAGAATGTTTCTACTTGTTACTAACTAACTTAGAGTAGGGTAATAAGCATTAGTCTTCATGACTCAGTGCCCTTAAGCTCCAAGGACCATCGCTGTCCCAAAGTACACATTAGCAACCTAACTATGGGATGAGATAATAAAAACATAAACTAATGCAGTCCTCTTTCTGATGTTAGCTCCCTTTCTCTAAATATACAAGGAATTCTTGTATTCCTTTATAAATAAATGATGATATAGCTAGACTCTCATTTCTCACCAGGGGCTTCATACCCTTATAATATACTCGTTATTTCTGCATTTCCATATCAGTAAATGGAGATATATTAAGTTCCCCATTTGACACATGACAACTCAGAGCCTTCTCTCTTTTACTTACCTGGTTTGCTGCTGGCAGAGACTGGAGATAGACTGGAGGACTGAAGGGTGGTTGTGTGGCCTGAAGATGACACTGTGCTCTCTACAACATGAAAATATGCATGTTGGGGACTCATATGATTCCAGACATTCTTATCTATATGAATGGACTTGATGGATAAAACATGAGAAGACACATTCTTCTACCACATTCAGTGTCATGAATTTTACTCACATGTACAGGGCAATTTTCCAGTCTTACCTGAACTTGGGGCTCCAGTACTTGTAGGTAGAGGGGTGCTGCTCCCAGTCCCTCCCAAAGTGGTTCCAGAAGTTACCCCTTGTGTGCCTAATATTTATTGTGGTTAAAAAAGATAAAGAAGAAAATTGATAGGGAGATTTTCTTAGGAATAAGAATTAAAATAGTTTTTTCCCCTCTTATGAAGTGAAAGTGTCTACCCTTATCAACTTTAATGACAAATTCTTTCTCAAGGGAAATCAAATAATTTGACAACGTTCTGATTTCTCAAAGGAAATGAAATAATTTGGATGTTGAAACTAAGAGGAATCCAGACATCCCCATTTGTATGAATGGACCTGAATAATAAAACATGAGAAGATACATTCTTGCATTGCCTGCTCTGTCCTGAGTTATACTCACACATACAGATCAAATTTCCAGACCATCACCTGAGGCATCATGGGAACGGATGAGCAGCTAAGACATCTCCAAAGGTAAAGGATTCATACCTGATGCTGGGGCTCCAGTACTTGCAGGTAGAGCAGTGCTGCCCCCTGCTCCTCCAGAGGTGGATGCAGAAGTTGCTCCAGGTGTGCCTGTTGATTATCATGGTTAAAAAATGAGTAAGAAAAATTAAAGGGAGGTTTTTTCTGAAAAATAAGAATTGAAATAGTCATTTGTTTCCTGTTATAAAATGAAAATCTCAATAGCAACTTGTTTCTGAAGGGATATCAATTTAATAAGTTACTGATCTGGTTAAATATTCATTAATTAGAAAACAAAATAATTATGTATGTAAGTCAAATTTTCATGGAAGAATGTTGATGATTTTAGAACTGATTTAAGATCCTGTGAGCACCATTGCCTACCAGACAATTCTCCCACATAATTTTAGGCTCACATGTCTCATGACTGTTAATTTTATTATGATTAAGAAAATGCAGGAAATCATGGAGTCCCCCTATTATTTAATAAATAATATATGCTTAAAATGATACTAGACATAAAATAAATTCTTATTAATATACATCGAATCTTCTGCAAACTTGGCATGGAACACATTATCATTTGGACCACATCTCTGGGCATATCTCTGGGGATACTAATGGAGAAGGAAAGTCCAATGTATAGGAAGGTGACTACCAATGAGTTGTGATATCTCCATGTGCTCCTCCTCTTGTTTCTATGGTTACAGATAACAACAGCTTCAAAATCACCAGCCCCTCATTTGTTACCTGAGGACTCACAGTCTTGTAATATACATACCATTCCTGCATTTCCATAAAAGGAAATGGAGATTGACAGCCCTCCATTTGACACCTGTAAACTCATAGCCTCCTCTCTTTTACTTACTTGGCTCTCTGCTAGCAGAGGCAGGAGATAGACTGGAGGATTGAAGGATGGTTGTGTGGCCTGAGGATGTCACTGTGCTCCCTACAACAGGAAAGCATGCATGTTGGAGACTCATATGATTCCAGACATCCTTATTTACAGGAATGGACTTGAAGGATAAAACACGAGAAGACACATTCTTCACCACATCCTGTGCCATGAATTTCACTCACATAAACAGGTCAATTTTCCAGATCATCACCCAAGGCAGCATGGGAATGGATGAGCTGCTGAGATGTCTCCAAAGGAAAAAGAGTCTTACCTGAACCTGGGGCTCCAGTATTTGCAGGTAGAGGGGTGGTGCTTTCTGCCCTTCCTGAGGTGGATCCAGATGATGCGCCAGGTGTGCCTGAATTTTATTGTGGAAAAAAGGTAAATAAGAAAATTGATAGGGAGATTATCTTAAGAAGAAGAACAAAAATAGCTTTTTATCCCTCTTACGATGTGAAAGTGTTTACCCTTATGAACTTTAATGTCAAATAATTCTTTCTCAGGAAAACAAATATTTTGACAACATACTGATTTCTCAAAGGAAATCAAATAATCTGGATGTTGAGATTTAAATAACTCCAGACATCCCTATTTATATGAATGGACTTGAGTAATAAAACATTAGAAAATATATTCTTGCATTGCCTGCTCTGCCCTGAATTTTACTCATGCAAACATATCAAATTTCCAGACCATCACCTGAAGAGGCCTGGGAATGGATGAGCAGCTGAGACATCTCAAAGGCTAAAGAGTCTTACCTGAACCCGGGGCTCCAGTACTTGCAGGTAGAGAGGAGCTGCTCACGGCTACACTAGAGGTGGATGTAGAAGTCGTCTCAGGGGTTACTGTTGATTATCATAATTTAAAAAAAATAGTAAGAAAAATTAGAGTTTTTTCTTAAAAATAAGAATTGAAATAGCCATTTTTCTCCTTAAAAATAAATGTGTCTGCTCTTACAAAAAAAAAAGTTCACTGTCAACTTCTTTCTCAAGGGATTCCATCAATTTGACAACATGCTGATTTGGTGAAATATTCATTGATTAGAAAACATAATAATTATGGAGGTAAGCCAAATTCCTCATGAAGAATTGCTGATGATTTTAGAAATGACTTAAGACTCTGTAAATATCTTATTCAACTGACTGCTCTCCACCATACCTTTAGGCTCACATGTCTCATAACTGTTAATTTTATAAAACATATGAAAGTGTAGGACACCTTGGAGTCTTCCTATTATTTAGCAAATAATATGGGGCTAAAACGAAACTAGACACAAAATAAATTCTTGCAAATATACATTGAATCTTCTGCAAATGTGGCATGCGACTGGTTATCATTTGTAATACGTATCTGGGCCTATCAATGAGTATATTAACAGAGAAGGAAAGACCAATGTATAGGTAGGTGACAATCAATGAGTTGTCATATCTCCATGTGCCCCTCCTCTTGTTTCTATGGGAACAGAAATGTTTCTTAAGGTCACAGATAATAAGGGTCTCAGAAGCCTTCCTAAGCATTTCAGAGTTAACCTAATGTCATCAAGTTCTAAACTCTGCTCCTTCATCACCTTTCCTTGAACTAATGATCACAAACAGTTCTGGACAACACTGGCATGGGTCCCTGACACAGACCACCATTGAGGTCTTATCTTGCCTGCTGAGCTTCCAGAGGTTATTTCTTTGCCTTGGGTTACAGGTGTGGCCTCCCTGTCTGCTCTTGTGGTAACTTCCACAGACTGTCCTGTTGTGCCTGCAAAGCGAAGGAGCCATGCTGGAAAAACCAACTAGTCCTCAGAAGGTAGACATGGAGAGGTTCAATTCTATACCTCACTAGGTGAACAAGTCTGTGCTTTGCCCATCAGCCTACCCCTTTCATCTCTACCCACCAAATTGCTACTATTGAAGTTCCTGCACTAACTGATCCGAGTGTCATTGAATTTTAACACGGCTAGTGGGTGCCCTGGGTGGGCTGCCTACTTTGTCACTTGTGGGTTCAGCAGGGAACAAGGTTCCCAGACACAAATGACATTTATATTTATCTTGGAAAAAAATGACACAACAAAAACTCTGGCCAGGAATTCTTATCCTGTCCAACTATTGGATAAGTTTCCATGAGTTGTTATATTTTACTTTTAACCGAGAGCAGACCCTGAACACAATATCTGCCTCCCCAAACCCTGAGTCTAACCTCTCCTTGGCTCTCAATGTTCTGTGGCAAAACAGTATTTGACAAATTTCAGAAGTGTTCTAGAAAGCTAGTCTCTAAAACATGAGAGTTTTCACCTCCTCCTAGTAAAGACCCAGTGTTGATATGTTCCTTTAGAGACTAGATACTCTGGAAATGTGCCTGGGCATGAGGCTTTTGCTGCATCTCTGCAGCCTCTGTTAAATCTGTCTATCCTTCTACTTGGAAGGTAGAATAGCATCCCAGTTTTATATGATGAGAAGGAATAATCCAGTGCTTTTTCTATTCAATCAGGTCTACCCTTTGAACCCAGTATCACATTAACAAAAGCATTGGCTTACTGCTCTAGTGAGGAGAAAGACTGAAAATGATACTGTTCTCCATTTCACTTTAGTCCTCAAATGTCCATCTAAAGTTTGCACTTTGATTAAAAATAATCATGGGTCATGGTAAGGCGATCCATTTTGTAAAAACCCATGACATCCTCACATCAGACTGTACTTACTTGACTTGTCTGAAGGCTGGGTCGATTCGCTGCTTGGGGCTCCAGATGTTTCCCCAGCTGATGGTACAGTAGGCCCTTTCAAAATGAACAATAATTTACTATCAGGATGTTTGATTAAGATGTATAGATCTGAATGCTAACACTTTCAATTATTTTTCTTAAATTCGATCATTCTCTATCTCCCTATTTTAATTAAGCAATCACAAAATCTGTCATGAACTAACTGACTTATTGGTTGTGAATGAACTTGTACACATTGACTAGTATGACATTAAGACACTGGAGTTCTATGTCATAGCTCTGCAACTTCATGAGAGCCCAGTGTAGGACCTTTATGAGATGGATCTCTTCAGACTCCTAATTTCAGTTTATTTCTTAAAAACCTCTCTCGCCGGGCGGTGGTGGCGCAGCCAGGCGGTGGTGGCGCACGCCTTTAATCCCAGCACTCGGGAGGCAGAGCCAGGCGGTTCTCTGTGAGTTCGAGGCCAGCCTGGTATCCAAAGTGAGTTCCAGGAAAGGCCCTAAGCTACACAGAGAAACCCTGTCTCAAAAAACCAAAAAAAAAAAAAAAAAATCTCTCTCTGCATCTTTGTCAAAAGCATGAGCCTGTCCTGGACACAGCCTCCACTTACCTGTACTGACTTCAGATGGGGTCTGCTCACTGCTTGGGGATCTAGTTGTTCCCGCTGATGATCCAGTGGTTACTTTCAAAGAAACACAATGTTAAAATGTGAGCAGCTCTAGACAACACTGCTCTGTGATGCTGAAAGTCATCAATAATTTATGAGTAGTTCCTATTGCTGCTTCAATCTTTGTAAATCACATGATATGGAGGTAGCTTTGCTAGGGTTTTTGATTCTATATAGAAATATGATTCTGTACTTTCTTTTTATTCATCCATTTGAATTCAGTACTCATATGCTTATAGAAACCAACTGACTCTTTCAGATATATTTCTGCTTGTGTGCTGATTCATATATGAAAACACATTTAATAATAATGAAAACGAAGTCATTTAGAATGTTTCTACTTGACACTAACTTAGAGTCAGGATAGAAATCCTTAGCCCTCATGACTCAGTGTCCAAAAGTACCAAGGAAGGAATCAGGGCCATCACTGTCCCAAAGAACAAACTAGCAACCTAATTACAGAACAATATAAGAGAAACATCACCTAATGCAGTCTTCTTTCTGATGCTAGCTCATTTCTCTAAATATACAAGGAATTTTTGCATTCCCCTTTAAATAAATGGTGATATAACCAGCCTCTCATTTGTCACTTGAAGACCTACAATCTTGTAATACACATGCCATTCTTACATTTCCATATAAATAAAAGGAAATTAACAACTCTCCATTTGATGCCTGAGAGCTCATAGCCTTCTCTCTTTACTTACCTGCTTGGCTGCTGGCAGAGGCTGTAGATTGACTGGAGGTCTGTGGGACAGTAGTGTGTTCTGAGGATGTCACTGTGCTCTCTAGGACAGGAAAACATACATGTTGGAGACTCATATGATTCCAGACATCCTTATTTATATGAATGGATTTGTGGGATAAAACATGAAAGACACATTCTTCTACCACATCCAGTGGCATAAATTTTACTCACACATGCAGGTCAATTTTCCACACCATCTCTTGAGGCTGCACAGGAGTGGATGAACAGCTAAGATATCTCCAAAGGCTAAAGAGTCGTACCTGATGCTGGGACTCCAGTACTTGCAGGTAGAGCAGTGCTGCTCCCTGCTCCTCCAGAGGTGGATGCAGAAGTTGCCCCAGGTGTGCCTGTTGATTATCATGGTTAAAAAAACGTGAGTAAGAAAAAATAAAGTGAGGTTTTTCTTAAAATAAAGAATTGAAACAATATTTTTTCCCTCTTACAAAATGAATGTCTATACTCTTACAAAAAGTTCATTATCAACTTCTTTCTCAAGGGAATCCATTACCTGACAACATACAGATTTAGTGAAATATTCATTAATTAGAAAACATAATTTGTCAAGTAGTAATGATGATGATTTTAGAACTTACTTAAAACCATGTAAGCATTTTTGCCCACCTGACTGCTCTCTACCACACTTTTAGGCTCACATGTCTCATGACTGTTAATTTCATTAAAATTAAGAAAATGAATGAGATCATGGAACCTCTTATTATTTAGCAAATAATGTATGCTTAAAATGATACTAGAAATAAAATAAATTCTTGGAAATTTACATTGAATCTTCTGCAAACATGGCCTGGGACTGCTTATTATATGGACGACATCTCTGGGCATATCACAGGGAATACCAATAAAGAAGGAAAGCCCAATGTATAGGTAGGTGACAATCAATGAGTTATGCTAGCTCCATGTGCTTCTCCTCTTATTTCTATGGGAACAGGATATTTCTTAAGGTCACAGAAAACAACAGCCTAAGTATTGTCCCAAAGCATTTCAGGGTTGACCTCATCACATTCAGTTGTGTACTCCAGTCCTTCATTGTCTTTCCTTGAACTAATGATCACAAACAGTTCTGGACAACACTAGCAGGAGTCCCTGACATAGACCATCATTGAGATCTTATCTTGCCTGCTGGACTTCCAGTGGTGACTTCTGTGCCTTGGGTGACAGGTGTGGCCTCCCTGTCTGGTCTTGTGGTAACTCCCACAGATTGTCCTGCAAAGCAGAGGAGCCATGCTGAAAATATTTACTAGTCCTCAGAAGGGAGACATGGAGAGGTTGAATTCTATACCTGACTAGGTGAACAGGTCTGTACTTTGCCCAGCATCCTACATGTTTCCTCTCTACCTACCTAATTGCTACTAATGAAGGTCCTGCCCTAATTGACCTGAGTTCCTTGGAATTTAGCACTGTTGCTGGGTCCCCTGGGTGTGCTGCCTCCTGTGTCACTTGTGGACTCAGCAGGGACTAAGGATCCTGAGACACAAATGACATTATTATTTTTCTTAGGAATAATGACACAAGAAAACAGTCTGGCCAGGAAATCTTATCCTGCCCAACTTTTGGATATGTTCTCATGAGTAGTTATGTTGTCCTTGTAGCTTAGAGCAGACCAAGGCTCCATCATGAGCCTCTGCCTCCTCAGGATCTAACCTCTATTTGCTCTAATGGGTCTTTTGCAAAACAGTAGTATGACAAATGTCCAAAGTGTGTTAGATGAATACTTTCCCAAAACCAGAGCTTTATCTGTCTCTTAGGACAAGACCCACTGTCCAGGCATTCCTTTAGAGATTAATTACTTTGGAAATGTGTCTGTACATGAGTCTTTTCATTCATCTCTGCATCTTATCTGAAGTCTGTCTGTCCTTCTACTTGGAAGGTAGAACATCATCATTTCATTTGGTGAAAAGGAATGAGTTCAGTGACTTTTTTTCTGTTCAATCATGTCTACCATTTGATCCTAATGTAATGTTATAAAGAGCTTTGTCTTACTGCCTCAGGGAGGAGAAAGCCTCTTAAAAATGATATTGCTCTCTCTTTTACTTTAGTTCTCAAATGTGAATCTAAACTTTCTAATTTGATTTATGTGAGCTGAGTAATAGTAAGGTGATCCTTTGTCAAAACCCATGACTTCCTCACATCAGCCCATACTCAATTGACTTGTCTTAATACAGGCTCAATTCTCTGCTTGAGGATCCAGATGTTTCCCCAGCTGATAGTGTAGAAGGTACTTCAAGTGTGAACAATAATTGATTATCAGGATGTATGATATATATATATATATATATATATATATATATATGTATGTATGTATATATCAAGATGCTAATGCTTTCAATTATCTTCCTTATATTTCTTCTTCCTCTTTCATTTCCATCTTTTCAACTAGATATTACAAGTATTTAGATGATCCAGACCATCCTTCAGAGAACTCACTGACTTGTTGGATATGAGGGAACTTGTACATATTGACTTGTTTGATACTAAGACACTGGAGTTCTATGTCATAGCTCAGCATACTCATCACAGCTTATAGTAGAGTCTTTATGCAATGTTTCTCCCTTGAGTACTATATTCAATTCATTTCTTAAAAATCTCTCCCTGCATCTTCAGCCACTACAAGACCCTCTCCAGGAAACAGCCTCAACTCACCTGCACTGACTTCAGATGGGGTCTGCTCACTCCTGGGGGATCCAGTTGTTCCTGCTGATGATACAGTCACTGCTTTCAAAGAAACACAATGTCATGACTATGAAGCAGCAGTAGACCACACTGATCTATGATGACCAGTGTCTTCACTAGTTTATATACAGTTCCTATTGTTGCTTCAATCTTTGTAAATTTCATATGATATGGAGGAAGCTTTGCTGGACTTGGTTGATTCTGAATGAAAATATGATTGTCTACCTCCTTTTTATTCATCTGTTTGATTCCATTACTCATATGCTTATTGAAACCAACTGGGTCTTTCAGATATATTACTGCCTATATGAGCTTCCTATATGAAAACACATTTAATGACCATAATAAAGAGGATATTAAGAATGTTTCTACTTCAACCTAACTTAGAGTCAGGATAGTAAGCCTTAGCTCTCATGACTCAATGTCCAAAATTACCAAGGAAGAAATCAGGGCCACTATTGCCCCCCTGCAAAAAAACACATTAGCAATGTAATTTAGGATAAGAGAAACATCAACTAATGCAGTCCTCTTTCTGATGCTAGCTCATTTTTCTAAATTTACAGGGAATTCCTGCATTCCCCTTTGAATAAATGGTGATATAACCAGCCCCTCACTTGTCACATGAAGACTCATAGCCTTGTAACATACATGACATTCTTACATTTCTATATAAATGAAGGGAAACTAACAACTCTCCATTTGACCTCTGAGAACTCATAGCCTCCTCTCTTCCCTTACCTGCTTGGCTGCTGGCAGAAGCCGGGGATTGACTGGAGGCCTGAGGGACAGTAGTGTCTCCTGAGGATGTGACTGTGCTCTCTAGGACAGGAAAACATGCATATTGGAGACTCATATGATCCCAGACATGCTTATTTATATGAATGGATTTGAAGGATAAAACACAGGAAGACATATTCTTCCACCACATCACACATAAAGTTCAATTTCCCAGATCATCTCCTGAGGCTCCATGGGAATGGATGAGCAGCTAAGACATCTCCAAAGGCTAAAGAGTCTTACCTGATGCTGGGGCTCCAGTACTTGCAGGTAGAGCAGTGCTGCTCCCTGTTCCTCCAGAGGTGGATGCAGAAGTTGTCCCAGGTGTGCCTGTTGTTTATCATGGTTAAAAAATGAGTAAGAAAAATGAAAGGGAGGTTTTGCTGAAAACAATGAATTGAAACATGCATTTTTTCCTCTTACAAAATGAATGTCTCTCCTCTCATAAAAAGTTCATTGTCAACTTCTCAAGGGAATCCATTACCTGACAACATACTGATTTGGTGAAATATTCATTAATTTGAAAACATAATAATTATAGAGGTAAGTCAAATTTGTCATGGAGGAATGTTGATGATTTTAGAACTGACCTAAGACCCTGTGAGCATCATTGCCCACCTGACTGCTCTCTACCATACTTTTAGCCTCATATGTCTCATGATGGTCAATTTTACTAAAAATATGAAAATGTATGAGATCATGGGGTCCTCCTTTTATTTAGCAAATAATGTATGCTTAAAATAATAGACATAATATTAATTATTGTCAATATACATTGAATCTTCTGCAAACGTGGCATGGGGCTGGTTATCATTTGGACATTATCTCTGGGCATATCTCAGGGGATACTCCCAGAGAAGAAAAGCCCAATGTAAAGGCAGGTGACAAACAATAAGTTGTCATATCTCCATGTGTCCCTCCTCTTGTTTCTATGGGAACAGGAATGTTTCTTAAAGTCACAGATAATAAGAGCCTCAGAAGCCTCAAAGCATTTCAGAGTTAACCTCATGTCATGAAGTTCTACATTATGCTCCTTCATCACCTTTCCTTGAACTAATGATCACAAACTATTATGGACAGTGCTAGCATGAGTCCCTAACACAGACCACCATTGAGATCTTATCTTGCCTGCTGGGCTTCCAGTGGTGACTTCTGTGCCTTGGGTTACAGGTGTGACCTCCCTGTCTGGTCTTGTGGTAACTCCCACAGACTGTCCTGTTGTGCCTGCAAAGCAAAGGAGCCATGCTGGAAACACTTCCTAGTCCTCAGAAGGGAGACATGGAGAGGTTCAATTCTATACCTCACTAGGTGAACAAGTTGCTTTGTTCTGTGCTTTGCCCAGCAGCCTACCCCTTTCATCTCTACCCAGCAAATTGCTACTATTGAAGTTCCTGTTCTTACTGACTTGAGTTTCATTGAATTTTACATGGCTGCTGGGTATTCTGGGTGTTCTGATTCCTCTGTCACTTGTGGGTTCAGCAGGGACTAAGGTTCCCAGACACAAATGACATTTATATATTTCTTAGAAAAAAAAATGACACAACAAAAATCTGCCCTGGAATTCTTATCCAGTCCAACTATTCGATAAGTTCCCGTGAGTTGCTATATTTTCCTTTTAGCCTCAAGCAGACCCTGGACCCAATAACTACCTCCCCTACCCCAGAGTCTAACCTCTCATTACCTCTCAATGTTCTGTGGCAAACTGTAATTTGTCAAATTTAAGAAATGTGTTAGAAAGCTACTCTCTAAAACACCAGAGCTTTTTCCCCCTCCTAGAAAAACATCCAGTGTTGATATGTTCCTTTAGAGAATGGATACTCTGGAAATGTGCCTGGGTATGATGCTTTTGCTGCATCTCTGCTGTCTCTGCTAAGTCTGTCAGTCCTTCTACTTGGAAGGCAGAACACCATCTCGGTTTTATACGATGAGAATGAATAAATCCAGTGATTTTTCTATTCAATCATGTCTACCCTTTGAACCCAGTGTCATGTAATCAAATACCTTGGCTTACTCCCCTAAGGAGGAGAAAGACTGAAAATGATATTGTTCTCCATTTCACTTTAGTCCTCAAATGTACATCTAAAGTTTGCACTTTGATTTAAAATAAGCTGGGTCGTGGTAAGGCGATCCATTTTGTTAAAACCCATGGCATCCTCACATTATCGTGTACTTACTTGACTTATCTGAAGGCTGGGTCGATTCACTGATTGGGGCTCCAGATGTTTTCCCAGCTGATGGTGCAGTAGGCCCTTTCAAAATGAACAATAATTTACTATCGGGATGTTTGATTCTGATGTATAGATCTGAAGGCTAATGCTTTCAATTACTGTTCTTAATTTCTATCATTCTCTATCTCCTTAATTTCATTAAACAATCACAAAATCTGTCAGAAACTAATATATCCTCAGAGAACTCACTGACTTATTGGTTGTGAATGAACTTGTACATTTTGACTTGTTTGACATTAAAACACTGGAGTTCTACATCATAGCTCAGCAACTTCATGGGAGCCAAGTGTAAGACCTTTATGAGATGGATCTCTTCAGACTCCTATTTTCAGTTTATTTCTTAAAAATCTCTCTCTGCATCTTTGTCAAAAGCATGAGCCTGTCCTGGTCACAGCCTCCACTCACCTGTATTGACTTCAGATGAGGTCTGCCCACTGCTTGGGGATCTAGCTGTTCCTGCTGATGATCCAGTGGTTACTTTCAAAGAAACACAATATCATGAATGTGAGCAGCAGTAGACCACACTGCTCTATGGTGTTGAAAGTCATCATTAATTTATGAGTAGTTCCTATTGCTGCTTCAATCTTTGTAAATTTTATTTGATATGGAGGAAGCTTTGCTAGGGTTTTTGATTTGCTTGAAAATATGATTGTCTACCTTCTTCTTATTTATCTATTTGAATCCAGTTCTCACATGATTATTGAAACCAACTGGGTCTTTCAGATATATTTCTGCCTGTGTGCTGATTCATATATGAAAACACATTTAATAACTATGAAAAAGATGATATTTAGAATGTTTCTACTTGATGCTAACTTAGAGTCAGGGTAGTAATCCTTAGCCCTCATGACTCAGTGTCCAAATGTGCCAAGGAAAGAATCAGGGCCATCATTGCCCCAAAGTACACATTAGCAACCTAATTACAGAACAAGATAAGAGAAACATCAGATAATGCTGTCCTCTTTCTGGTGCTAACTTTCTTCCTCTAAATATATAAAAGAAATTTCTGTATTCTCTTTTGAATAAATTGTGATATCTCCAGCCCATCATTTGAAACTAGAGAACACATAGCCTCCTCTCAATCTTTACCTGCTTGGCTGCTGGTAGAAGCTGTGGATTGACTGGAGGCCTGAGTAACAGTAGTGTGTCCTGAGGATGTCACTGTGCTCTCTAGGACAGGAAAACATGCATTTTTGGAGACTAATATGTTTCCAGACATCCTTATTTATATGAATGGACTTGTGGGATAAAATATGAAAGACACATTCTTCCATCCAGTGTCATGAAATTCATTCACACGTACAGGTCATTTTTCCAGACCATTTCTTGAGGATGCATGGGAAAGGATGAGCAGCTAAGCTATCTCCAAGGGCTAAAGAGTCTTACCTGATCCTGGGGCTCCAGTACTTGCAGGTAGAGCAGTGCTTCTCCCTGCCCCTCCAGAGATGGATGCAGAAGTTGTCCCAGGTGTGACTGTTGTTTATCATAGTTATAAAAATGAGTAAGAAAAATTAAAGGGAGGTTTTTCTTAAAAATAAGAATTGAAATAGCCATTTTTTTCCTCTTAGAAAATGAATGTCTCGGGCTGGAGAGATGGCTCAACGGTTAAGAGCACTGGCTGCTCTTCCAGAGGTCCTGAGTTCAATTCCCAGCAACCACATGGTGGCTCTCAACAATGAGATCTGGCACCCTCTTCTGGCCATGCAGGCAGAGCACTGTATACATAATAAATAAACCTTATAAAAAAATGAATGTCTCTAATCTTATGAAGAGTTCAGTGTCAACTTCTTTTTCAAGGGAAATCCATTAATTGACAACATACTGATTTGGTGAAATATTCATTAATTAGAAAACATAATAATTATGGAGGTAAGTCAGATTTCTCATGGAGTAATGTTGATGATTTTAGAACTGATTTAAGATCCTATGAGTATATTTGGATACCTGATTGCTCCCTACCACACTTTTACCATTAATTTGAAAACATAATAATTATGGAGGTAAGTCAGTATCTTTACCCACATGACTACTCTCTCACACTTCTAGGTTCACATGTCTCATGACTGTTAATTTTGTTAAAATTAAGAAAAGCATGAGATCATTAAGTACCCCTATTGTTTAGCAAATAAGGTATGCTTAAAATGATACTAGAAATAAAAAAATTTCTTGGCAAAATACATGGAATCTTCTGCAATCATGGCATGGACTGGTTATTAAATGGACCTCATCTCTGGGCATATCTCAGGGAATACTAACAGAGAAAAAAAGACCAATGAATAGGTAGGTAGCAACCAATGAGCTGTGCTAGCTGAATATGCTCGTCCTCTTGTTTCTATGGGAACAGGATATTTCTTAAGGTCACAGAAAGCAATAGCCTCAGTATCGACCCAAAGCATTTCAGGGTTGATGTCATTCATGCAGTCCTATATTTCAGTCCTTCCTTGCCTTTCCTTGAACTAATGATCACAAACTGTTCTGGACAACACTAACATGAGTCCCTGACACAGACCACCATTGAGTTCTTATCTTGCCTGCTGGGCTTCCAGTGGTGACTTCTGTGCCTTGGGTGACAGGTGTGGCTTCCCTGTCTGGTCTTGTGGTAACTCCCACAGACTGTTCTGTTGTGCCTGCAAAGCAAAGGAGCCATGCTGGAAACACTTACTAGTCCTCAGAAGGGAGACATGGAGAGGTTCAATTCTATACCTACTACATGAAAAAGTCTTAACATTCCTGGCAGCCTACCTGTTTCCTCTCTACCCACTGAGCTGCTACTAATGAAGTTCCTGCTCTAACTGACTCGAGTTTCCTTGGATTTTAGCACTGCTGCTGGGTCCCCTTGGTGTTCTGCCTGCCCCGTCACTCCTGGGTTCAGGAGGGACTAAGGATCCTGAGAAACGAATGACATTTTGATTTTCCATAGGAATAATGACACAAGAAAAATGTCTGGTCAGGAAATCTTATCCTGCCCAGTTGTTGGATATGTTCCCATTAGTTGTTATGTTGTCCTCATAGTCTAGAGCAGACCCATACCCGACAACAACCTCTCAAATCTCAGAGTTTAAACTCTCATTTGTTCTCAATGATTTGTGGCAAAACAGTAATATGACAAATTTCCAAAGTGTGTTAAACAAATACTTTCCCAAAACCAATGCTTTCTCTCTCTGCTAGGACAACACCCACTGTCCAGGCAATCCTTTATAGACTGGATACTCTGGAAATGTGCCTGGCATGAGGCTTTTCTACATCTCTGCCTCCTTTCTTAACTCTGCCTGTTTTTCTACTTGGGTGCTGTAATATCATCCAGTTTAATGTGATGAGAAGGAATTAGTTCAGGGTTTTTTATGTTTAATCATTTCTACCCTATGAACCTAGAGTTATGTTATCAAAAGCCTTGTCTTACTGCCAAAGGAAGGAGAAAAATTCTTAATATGAACCTGTTCTCCATTTTGCATTAGTCCTAACATGTCAATCTTAATATTGTACTTTGATTCACAATGAGCTGCTTCGTGGTAAGGTGATCCAGTTTGATAAAGCCCATGACTTCCTCACATTGGCTTATACTCACTGGACTTGTCTGAAGGCTGGGTTGATTCATTGCTTGGGGCTACAGATGTTTCCACAGCTGATGGTGTAGTAGTTCCTTTCAATGTGAACAATAATTGATTATCAGGATGTTTGATAAGGGATATAGATCAAGATCTAATACTTTCAATCATCTTCCTTATATTTCTTCTTTCTCTTTTATTTACATCTTTTCAACAAGCTATCACAAATACTTAGATGACCCAGACCATCCTTCAGAGAACTCACTGACTTGTTGGATATGAGGGAACTTGTACGTATTGACTCATTTGACATTAAGACACTGGAGTCCTATGTCATAGCTCAGCATCCAGGTCACTGCTCACAGTAGAATCTTTATGCACTGTTTCTCCCTAGAGTGCTATTTTCAACTCATTTCTTAAAAATCTCTCCCTGCATCTTCCGCCACAGCATGACCCTCTCCAGGAAACAGCCTCAACTCACCTGCACTGACTTCAGATGGGGTCTGCTCACTGCTGGGGGATCCAGTTGTTCCTGCTGATGATACAGTCACTGCTTTCAAAGAAACACAATGTCATGTCTATGAAGCAGCAGTAGACCACACTGATCTATGATGACCAGTGTCTTCACTAATTTATATACAGTTCCTATTGCTGCTTCAATCTTTGGAAATTTCATAGGATATAGAAGAATCTTTACTAGACCTTTTTGATTCTGCATGGAAATATGATTGTCTACCTCCTTTTTATTATTCTATTTTGAGTCATCTAATACTCATATGCTTATTGAAACCAACTGGGTCTTTCAGATATATTTCTGCCTGTGTGCTTCATATATGAATACAAATTTAATACCCATGATAAAGAAGACATTATGAATTTTTCTACTTCATGCTATGTTAGAGTCAGGATAGTGAGACTTAACCCTCATGAGACTTAACCCTGCCAAGAAGGAATCAGGGCCACTATTCCCCCCCAAAAAACACATTATCAACCTAATTTTGGGATAATAGAAACATCAACTAATACAGTCCTCAATCTCATGCTAGCTCATTTTTGTAAATATACAAGGAATTCCTGCATTTCCTTTTGAATAAATAGTGATATAACCAGACCCTTACTTGTCACTTGCAGACTCATAGCCTTGTAATACACATGCCATTCTTACACTTCCGTATAAATAAATGGAAATTAACAACTCTCCATTTGACACCTTCTCATAACCTCTTCTTTTCCTTACCTGCTTGGCTGTTGGCAGTAGCTGTGGATTGACTGGAGGCCCGAGGGACAGTAGTGTGTCCTGAGGATGTCACTGTGCTCTCTAAGACAGGAAAACATACATGTTGCAGACTCATATGATTTTGAACATCCTTATTTATATGAATGGACTTGCATGAAAAAAATGAGACGACCCATTCTTCCACCACATCCAGTGTCCTGAATTTCACTCACACATACAGGTCAATTTTCCAGACCATCTCCTGAGGCTGCATGGGAATGGACGAGCAGCTAAGACATCTCCAAAGGCTAAAGAGTCTTACCTGATGCTGGGGCTCCAGTACTTGCAGGTAGAGCGGTGCTGCTCCCTGCTCCTCCAGAGGTGGATGCAGAAGTTGTTGCCCCAGGTGTGCCTGTTGATTATCATGGTCAAAAAATGAGTAAGAAAAATTAAAGGGAGACTTGTCTGAAAACAAAGAGTTGAAATAGCCCATTTTTTTCCTCTTACAAAATGAAACTCTCTACTCTTATAAAAAAAATCAGTGCCAAATTCATTCTCAGGGGAATCCATTACCTGACAACGTACTGATTTGGGGAATTATTCAGTAATTTGAAAGCATATTATGGAGGTAAGGCAGCATCTTTGCCCACATGACTGCTCTCTCACACTTCTAGGCTCACATGTCTCATGACTGTTAATTTTGTTAAAATTAAGAAAATGCATAAGATCATTGAGTACCCCTATTGTTTAGCAAATAAGGTATGCTTAAAATGATACTAGAAATAAAAAAATTTCTTGGCAAAATACATGGAATCTTCTGCAATCATGGCATGGACTGGTTATTAAATGGACCTCATCTCTGGGCATATCTCAGGGAATACTAACAGAGAAAAAAAGACCAATGAATAGGTAGGTAGCAACCAATGATCTGTGCTAGCTGAATATGCTCGTCCTCTTGTTTCTATGGGAACAGGATATTTCTTAAGGTCACAGAAAGCAATAGCCTCAGTATTGACCCAAAGCATTTCAGGGTTGATGTCATTTCATGCAGTTCTATATTTCAGTCCTTCATTGCCTTTCCTTGAACTAATGATCACAAACTGTTCTGGACAACACTAGCATGTTTCCCTGACACAGACCACCATTGAGTTCTTATCTTGCCTGCTGGACTTCCAGTGGTGACTTCTGTGCCTTGGGTGACAGGTGTGGCTTCCCTGTCTGGTCTTGTGGTAATTCCCACAGACTGTCCTGTTGTGCCTGCAAAGCAGAGGAGCCATGCTGGAAACACTTACTAATTCTCAGAAGGGAGACAGAGAGAGGTTCAATTCTAAACCTCACTAGGTGAACAAGTCTGTACTTTCTCCAGCATCCTACATGTTTCACCTCTACCCACCTAATTGCTACAAATGAAGTTCCTGCTCTACCCGACCTGAGGTTCCTTGGATTTTAACACTGCTGCTGGGTCCCCTGGGTATGCTGCTTCCCCTGTCGCTTGTCAATTCAGCAGGGACTAAGGATCCTGAGACATAAATGACATTTTATTTTCCTAAGGAATAATGACACATGAAAAAGACTGGCCAGGAAATCTTACGCTGCCCAACTGTTGGATATGTTCCCATGAGTTGTTATGTTGTCCTTGTAGCTTAGAGCAGACCCAGGGTCCAACCTGAGCCTCCGCATCCCCAGAGTCTAACCTCCCATTTTCTCGCAAGGATCTTTTGCATCATAGTAAAATAACAAATTTCCAAAGTGTGTAGACTTTCCCATAACCAGAGTTTTCTCTCTCTTCTAGGACAACACCCACCTCCAGGCATTTCTTTAGAGACTGATTACTTTGGAAGTGTGCCTGGGCATGAGTCTTTTCATTTTCTCTGCCTCTTATCTTAAGTCTGTCTGTCCTTCTGCTTGGAAGGTGGAACATCTTCCACTTTCATATGATGACAAGGAATGAGTTCAGTGATTTTTATGTTCAATCATGTCTACCCTATGAACTCAGTATCATGTTATCAAAAGCCTTGGCTACCTCCCTAGGGAGGAGAAAGCCTTTTAAAAATGACATTGCTCTCTCTTTTATTTTAGTCCTCAAAAGTCAATCTAAATTTTCGAATTTGATTTAAATGAGCTGGGAAATGGTAAGGCAATCCACTTTGTCAAAACCCATGACTTCCTCACATCAGCCTATACTTAATTGACTTCTCTTAATACAGGCTCAATTCACTGCTTGAGGATCCAGATGTTTCCCCAGCTGATAGTGTAGTAGTTCCTTTCAGGATGTTTGATATAGGGATATAGATCAAGATGCTAATGCTTTCAATTATCTTCCTTATATTCCTTCATTCTCTTTTATTTCCATCTTTTTCAATAAGCTATCACAAATACTTAGATGACCCAGACCATCCTTCAGAGAACTCACTGACTTGTGGGATATGAGGGAACTTAACATATTGACTTGTTTGACATTAGGACACTGGATTTCTGTGTCATAGCTCAGCATCCTCATCACAACCCACAGTGGAATCTTTATGCAATGTTTCTCCGTAGAGTGCTACTTTCAACTCATTTCTTAAAAATCTCGCCTGCATCTTCCGCCACAGCATGACCCTCTCCAGGAAACAACCTCAACTCACCTGCACTGACTTCAGATCGGGTCTGCTCACTGCTGGGGGATCCAGTTGTTCCTGCTGATGATGCAATCGTTGCTTTCAAAGAAACACAATGTCATGACTATGAAGCAGCAGTAGACCTGACTGATCTATGATGACCAGTGTCTTCACTAGTTTATATACAGTTCCTATTGCTGCTCCAGTGTTTGAAAATTTCATATGATATGGAGGAAGCTATGCTAGGCTTTTCTATTCTGCATGGGGAAATATGGTTGTCTACCTCCTTTTGAGTCATCTATTTGAATCTAGTACTCATAGGCTTATCGAACCCCAATGGGTCTTTTAGATTATATTTCTGCCTGGGCACTTCATATAAGAAAAATCAGTTAATAACCCTGATAAATAAAACATTCAGAATATTTCTACTTGATATTAACTAACTTAGAATCAGGTTAAGCATTAATCTTCATGACTCAGTACCCTTAGACTCCAAGGAAAGAATCAGGGCCATCATATTCCAAAGTACACATTAGCAACCTATCAATGGGATGAGATAAGAGATACATCAACTAATTCAGTCCTCTTTCTCATGCTAGCTCCCTTTCTCTAAATATACTTGGAATTCATGCATTTTGTTATGAATAAATGGTAATATAACCAGCCCCTAATTTGTCAACTGAGGACTCATAGCCTTGTAATATACATGCCATTCCTGCATTTCCATAAAAGTAAGTGGAGATTGACAGTCTCCATTTGACAACTGAGAACTCATAGCCTCCTCTCTTTTACTTACCTGGTTTACTGCTGGCAGAGGCTGGGGATAGACTGGAGGCTTGAGTGATGGTTGTGTGTCCTGGGGATGTCACTGTACTCCCTAGGACAGGGAAACATGCATGTGGGTGACTCCTATTATTCTAGACCTCCTTACTTATATGAATGGACTTGCAGGATAAAACACAAGAAGACACATTCTTCTATCATATCCTGTGCCATGAATTTCACTCACACATATACGTCAATTTTCCAGATCATCATCTGAGGCAGGAGGTTATAGATGAGCTGCTGAGACATCTCCAAAGGCTGAAGAGTCTTACCTGAACCTGGGGCTCCAGTACTTGCGCTGCTTCCTGCCCCCTCTGAGGTGGTTCCAGATGATGTACCCGGTGTGCCTGATTTTTAGGGTGGTTACAAAGATAAATAAGAAAATTGATAGGGAGATTTTCTTAAGAATTAGAATTAAAATGTTTTTTTTTCCTCTCCTATGAAGTGAAAGTGTCTACCCGTGTGAACTTTAATGACCAATTCTTTCTCAAGGTAAATCCACTAATTTGAACATATTCAGACTTCTCAAAGGAAATCAAATAATTTGGATGTTGAGACTAAAATGGATACAGACATCCCCATTTATATGAACGGACATGAATAATAAAACATGAGAAGACACATTCTTGCATTGCATGATCTGCCCTGAATTTTACTCATGAAAACGTATCAAATTTCCAGACGACCATATGAGACATGGTAGGAATAGCTGAGCTGCTAACATCTCCAGAGGTAAAGGATTCGTACCTGAACCTGGGGCTCCAGTACTTGCAGGTAGAGCTGTGCTGCTCCCTGGTACTCCAGAGGTGAATGCAGAAGTTGCCCCAGTTGTGTCTGTTAATTATCACGGTTTAAAAAAGTGTAAGAAAAATTAAAGGGAGTTTTTTCTTTAAAATAAGAATTGAAAGATCCACTTTTTCCTCTAACCAAATGAATGTCTCTGCTCTTATAAAAATATGTCAACTTCTTTTTGAAGGAAAATACATGAACTTGACAACACACTGATTTGGTTAAATATTCATTGATTAGAAAACATAATAACTATGGAGGTAAGAAAATTCCTCATGGAGAAATGCTAATGGTTTTAAACTTATTTAAGACCCTGCAGCAAGTTTGTCCATCTGACACTCTCCAACGTATTTTAGGCTACATGTCTCATAACTGTTACATGTCTGCCCTTTGAACCTAGAGTCATGTTATCAAAAGCCTTGGCTTACTGCCGAAGGGAGGAGAAAAACTCTTAATATGAAACTGTTCTCCATTTTGCATTAGTCCTAATATGTCAATCTAAATATTGTACTTTGATTCACAATGAGCTACTTTGTAGTAAGGTGATCCAGTTTGATAAAGTCCATGACTTCCTCACATTGGCTTATACTCACTGGACTTGTCTGAAGACTGGGGCGATTCACTGCTTGGGGCTCTAGATGTTTCCACAGCTGATGGTGTAGTAGTTCCTTTCAATGTGAGCAATAATTGATTATCAGGATGTGTGATAAGGGATATGGATCAAGATGCTAATGCTTTCACTTATATTCCTTGTATTTCTTCTTTCTCTTTTATTTCCATATTTTCAACAAGCTATCACAAATACTTAGAAGACCCATACTATCCTTCAAAGAATTCACTGACTTGTTGCATATGAGGGAACATGTACATAGTGACTCATTTGACATGAAGACACTGGAGTTCTATGTCATAGTTCAGCATGCTATCATAACTCACAGTAGAGTCTTTAGGGAATGTTTCTCCCTAGAGTACTACATTGAACTCATTTCTTAAAAATCTCTCCCTGCTTCTTCAGCCACAGCATGACCCTCTCCAGGAAACAACCTCAACTCACCTGCACTGACTTCAGATGGGGTCTGCTCACTGCTGGGGGATCCAGTTGTTCCTGCTGATGATGCAGTCGTTGCTTTCAAAGAAACACAATGTCATGACTATGAAGCAGCAGTAGACCACACTGATCTATGATGACCAGTGTCTTCACTAGTTTATATACAGTTCCTATTGCTGCTCCAGTGTTTGAAAATTTCATATGATATGGAGAAAGCTATGCTAGGCTTTTCTATTCTGCATGGGGAAATATGGTTGTCTACCTCCTTTTGAGTCATCTATTTGAATCTAGTACTCATAGGCTTATTGAAACCAACTGGGTCTTTCAGATATATATCTGCCTGTGTGCTTCATATATGAAAATGCATTTAATACCCATGATAAAGAAGACATTATAAATTTTTCTACTTCATGCTAAGTTAGAGTCAGGATAGTGAGACTAAATTAACCTCATGACTCAGTGTCCAAAAGTGCCACGGAGGAATCAGGGCCACTACTGCCCCAAAAGACACATTATCAACCTAATTTTGGGATAATAGAATCATCAACTAATATAGTCCTCATTCTCATGCTAGCTCATTTTTGTAAATATACAAGGAATTCCTGCATTTCCTTTTGAATAAATGGTGTTATAACCAGACCCTTACTTGTCACTTGCAGACTCATAGCCTTGTAATACACATGCCATTCTTACACTTCTGTATAAATAAATGGAAATTAACAACTCTCCATTTGACACCTGAGAACTCATAACCTCCTCTTTTTCCTTACCTATTTGGCTGCTGGCAGTAGCTGTGGATTGACTGGAGTCCTGAGGGAGAGTAGTGTATCCTGAGGATGTGGCTGTGCTCTCTAGGACAGGAATACAAACATGTTGCAGACTCATATGTTTTTGAACATCCTTATTTATATGAATGGACTTGCATGATAAAACATGAGATGACACATTCTTCCACCACATCCAGTGTCATGAATTTCACTCACACATACAGGTCAATTTTCCAGACCATCTCCTTAGGCTGCATGGGAACGGATGAGCAGCTGAGATGCCTCCAAAGGCTAAAGAGTCTTACCTGATGCTGGGGCTCCAGTACTTGCAGGTAGAGCGGTGCTGCCCCCTGCTCCTCCAGAGGTGGATGCAGAAGTTACCCCAGGTGTGCCTGTTGATTATCATGGTTAAAAAAATGAGTAAGAACACTTAAAAGGAGACTTTTCTGAAAACAAAGAATTGAAATAGCCATTTTTTTATCTTACAAAATGAAACTCTCTACTCTTATAAAATGTTCAGTGCCACATTCATTCTCAAGAGAATCCAATAATTTGACAACATATTGATTTGGTGAAATATTCCTTAATTAGAAAACATAATAATTATAGAGGTAAGTCAAATTTGTCATGGAGCAATGTTGATGTCTTAAGACCCTGTGAGCATGTTTTCCCCAAAATTCCAATGCTCTCTACCATACTTTTAAGCCCACATGTCTCAAGAGGGTCAATTTTATTATAAATATGAAAAAGCATAAAAACATGGAGTACTTCTGTTATTTATCAAATAATGTATGCTTAAAATAATAGTACACATGAAATAAATTCTTGGTAATATCGAATCTTCTGCAAATGTGGCATGGGACTGGTTATCATATGGACCTCATCTCTGGGCATATCTCAGGGGATACTAACAAAGAAGGAAAGCCCAGTGGATAGGTAGGTTACAACCAATGAGTTGTGCTAGCTTCATGTACTCTTCCTCTTGTTTCTATGGGAACAGGAATATTTCTTAAGGTCACAGATAATAAGGGTCTCAGAAGCCTCCCAAAGCATTTCAGAGTTAACCTCATGTCATGAAGTTCTACACTCTGCTCCTTCATCACCTTTCCTTGAACTCATGATCACAAACAGTTCTGGACAACACTAGCATGGGTTCCTGACACAGACCACCATTGAGGTCTTATCTTGCCTGCTGGACTTCTAGTAGTGACTTCTTTGCCTTGGGTTACAGGTGTGGCCTCCCTATCTGGGCTTGTGGTAACTCCCACAGACTGTCCTGTTATGACTGAGAAGCAAAGGAGCCATGCTGGAAACACTTACTAGTACCCAGAAGGGAGACATGGAGAGATTCAATTCTACATCTTACTAGATGAACAAGTCTGTACTTTGCCCAGCAGCCTAGCCCTTGCATCTCTACCCACCGAATCGCCACTATTGAAGTTCCTCCTCTAATTGATATGACTTTTTTTGAATTTTAACACGGCTAGTGGGACCCCTGGGTGTGCTGCCTCCCCTGTCTCTTGTGGGTTTAGCACGGCCTAAGGTTCCCAGATATAAATAACATTCATAATTTTTTTAGAAAAAAAATGACACTACAAAAAGTCTAGCCAGGAGTTTTTATCCTGTCTAACATTTGGATAAGTTCCCATGAGTTGTTATGTTGTCCTTTTAGCCTAGAGCAGACCCTGGACCCAATATCTGCCTCCCCAAACCCAGAGTCTAACCTCTCATTGGCTCTCAATGATCTGTGGTAAAACAGTAATTTGACAAATTTCAGAAGTGTGTTAGAAAGCTACTTTCCAAACCACCAGAGTTTTCTTCTTCTTCCAGGAAAGTACCCAGTGTTGATATGGTCCTTTAGAGACTGGATACTCTGGAAATGTGCCTGGCCATGAGGCTTATGCTGCATCTGTGCCTCCTCTGTTAAGTCTGTCTGTCCTTCTACTCAGAAGGCAGAACACCATCTAGTTTTATATAATGAGAAGGAATAATCCAGTGATTTTTCTATTCAATCATGTCTACCACTTGAACCCAGTATCACTTGGCATACTGCTCGAGGGAAGAGAAAGACTGAAAATGATATTGTTCTCCATTTCACTTTAGTCCTCAAATGTCCATCTAAAGTTTGCACTTTGATTTAAAATGAGCTGGGCTGTGGAAAGGCGATCCATTTTATTAAAACCCATGACACCATCACATCAGACTGTACTTACTTGACTTGTCTGAAGGCTGGGGTGATTCACTGCTTGGGGCTCCAGATGTTTCCCCAGCTGATGGTGCAGTAGGCCCTTTCAAAATGAACAATAATTTACTATCATGATGTTTGATTCCGATGTATTGATCTGAATGCTAATGCTTTCAATTATTTTTCTTAAATTCCATCATTTTCTATCTCCCTATTTTTATTAAAAAATCACAAAATCTGTCATAAACTAATATATCCTCAGAGAATCACTGACTTGTTGGATGTGAATGAACTTGTACACATTGACTAGTTTGACATTAAGACACTGGAATACTACATCATAGCTCTGCAACCTCATGAGAGCCCAGTAGACCTTTATGAGATGGATCTCTTCAGCCTCCTATTTTCAGTTTATTTCCTTTTTTTTTCCGAGACAAGGTTTCTCTGTGTAGCTTTGTGCCTTTCCTGGAACTTGCTTTGTAGACCAGGCTGGCCTCAAACTCACAGAGATCTGCCTGCCTCTGCCTTCCGAGTACTGGAATTAAAGGAGTGCACCACCACTGGCAGGCCAGATTTTTATTTCTGAAAAATCTCTCTCTGCATCTTTGTCAAAAGCATGAGCCTGTCCTGGACACAGCCTCCACTCACCTGTACTGACTTCAGATGGGGTCTGCTCACTGCTTGGGGTTCTAGTGGTTCCCGCTGATGATCCAGTGGTTACTTTCAAAAAAACACAATGTCATGAAAGTGAGCAGCTCTAGAACACACTGCTCTGTGATGTTGAAAGTCATCAATAATTTATGAGTAGTTCCTATTGCTGCTTCAATCTTTGTAAATTTCATATGATATGGAGGAAGCTTTGCTAGCCTCTTTTAATTGCTTGGAAATATGATTCTCTACTTTCTTTTTATTCATCTATTTGAATCCAGTACTCATATGCTTATTGAACCCAACTAGTCTTTCAGATATATTTTTGTTTATGTGTTGATTCATATATGAAAACACATTTAATAAACATGAAAAAGAAGACATTTAGAATGTTTCTACTTGATGCTAACTTAGAGTCAGGATGGAAAACCTTAGCCCTAATGACTCAGCATCCAAAAGTACCAAGGAGGGAAACTGGGCCATCATTGTCCCAAATAAAAAATTAGCAACAAATTACAGAACAAGATAAGAGAAACATCACCTAATGCAGTCTTCTTTCAGATGCTACCTCATTTCTCTAAATATACAAGGAATTCCTGCATTCCCCTTTGAATAAATGGTGATATAACCAGCCTCTCACCAGTCACCTGAGGACTTATAGCCTTGTAAAACACATGCCATTCTTACATTTCTATACAAATAAATGGAAATTAACAACTCTCCATTTGACACATGAGAACTCATAACCTCCCCTCTTGGCTGCTGGCAGAAGCTGTAGATTGACTGGAGGCCTGAGGGACAGTAGTGTGTTCTGAAGATGTCACTGTGCCCTCTAGGACAGGAAAGCATGCATGTTGGAGACTCATATGATTCCAGATATCCTTATTTATATGAATGGACTTGCAGGACAAAACACGAGAAGACACATTCTTCCACCACATCCAGTGTCATGAATTTCACTCACACATACAGGTCAATTTTCCAGACCATCTCCTGAGGCTGCACAGGAATGGATGAGCAGCTAAGACATCTCTGAAGGCTAAAGAGTCTTACCTGATGCTGGGGCTCCAGTACTTGCAGGTAGAGCGGTGCTGCCCCCTGCTCCTCCAGAGGTGGATGCAGAAGCTGCCCCAGGTGTGCCTGTTATTTATCATGGTTAAAAATGAGTAAGAAAAATTGAAGGGAGGTTTTTTTGAAAACAAAGAATTGAAATACCCATTTTTTTCTCAAACAAAATGAATGTCTCTACTCTTATAAAAAGTTCATTGTCAACTTCATTCTCAAGGGATTCCATTACTGATTTGTTGAAATATTCATTAATTAGAAAACATAATAATTATGGAGGTAAGTCAAATTTGTAATGGAGTAATTCTGATGATTTTAGAACTGACTTAAAACCCTGTGAGCATCTTTGCCCACCTGACTGCTCTCTACCACACTCTAGGCTCACATGTCTCATGACTGTTAATTTTATTAAAATTAAGAACATGCATGAGATCATGGAACCCCTTATTATTTAGCAAATAATGTATGCTTAAAGTGATACTAGAAATAAAATAAATTCTTGGAAATATACATTGAATCTTCTTCAAGCATGGGCTAGGACTGGTTATCTTATGGACGACATCTCTGGGCATATCTCAGGAAATACTAACAGAGAAGGAAAGCCCAATGTATAGGTAGGTGACAACCACTGATTTGTGCTATATCCGTGTGCTCCTCCTCTTGTTTCTATGGGAACAGGATATTAAGGTCACAGAAAACAACAGCCTCAGTGTTGTCCCAAAGCATTTCAGGGTTGATGTCATTTCATGCAGTTCTATATTTCAGTCCTTCATTTCTTTTCCTTGAACTAATGATCACAAACAGTTCTGGACAACACTAGCAGGAGTCTCTGACATAGACCACCATTGAGATCTTATCTTGCCTGCTGGACTCCCAGTGGTGACTTCTGTGCCTTGGGTGACCTGTGTGGCCTTCCTGTCTGCTCTTGTGGTAACTCCCACAGACTGTCCTGTTGTACCTGCAAAGAAAAGGACCCATGCTGGGAACATTTACTAGTCCTCAGAAGGTAGACATGGAGAGGTTCAATTCTATACCTGACTAGGTGAACAAGTCTGTACTTTGCCCAGCAACCTACCTGTTTCAGCACTACCCACTGAGTTGCTACTAATGAAGTTCCTCTAGCTGACCAGAGTTTCTTGTATTGTATTGTAGCACTGCTGCAGGATCTCTTGGGTGTGCTGCCTGCCCTGTCACTTGTGGGTTCAGCAGGGACTCCCAGTGACATTTTTATTATCATTAGGAAAAATGATACAAGATTTCTGGCCAGGAAATCTTAAACTGCCCAACTGTTGAATATGTACCCATGAGTTGTTATGTTTTCCTTGTCACTTAGAGCAGACCCAGGCTCCAACCAGAGCCTCTGAGTCCCCAGAATCTAACCTACTCATTCGCTCTAATGGGTCTTTTGCAAAATAGTAATACGACAAATTTCCAAAGTGTGCTAGACAAATACTATCTCAAAACCAGAGCTTTCTCTCTCTCCTAGGCCAAGACCCACTGTCCAGGCATTCCTTTAGAGATTAATTACTTTGGAAATGTGCCTTCGCATGAGTCTTTTCATTCATCTCTGCATCTATCTGAAGTCTGTCTGTCCTTCTACTTGGAAGGTAGAAAATCATCCAGTTTCATTTGATGAGAAAGAATAAGTTCATTGACTTTTTTTTCTGTTCAATCATGTCTACCCTTTAATCCTAATTTCATGTTATCAAGAGCCTTGGCTTACTCTCCCAGGAAGGAGAAAGCCTCTTAAAAAATGACATTGTACTCTCTTTTACTTTAGTTCTCAAATGTCAATCTAAATTTCCTAATTTGATTTATGTGAGCTGGGTAATAGTAAGGTGATCCTTTGTCAAAACCCATGACTTCCTCACATCAGCCCATACTCAATTGACTTGTTTTATCACAGGCTCAATTCGCTGCCTGAGGATCCAGATATTTCCCCAACTGATAGTGTAGTAGTTCCTTTCAGTGTGAACAATAATTGATTATCAGAATGTATGATATATAGATCAAGATGCTAACCCTTTCAATTATCTTCCTTATATTCCTTTATTTTCTTTTATTTCCACCATTTCAACAAGCTATCACAAGTACTTAGATGACACAGACCATCCTTCAGAGAATTCTCTGATTTGTTGGATATGAGGGAAATAGTACATATTGACTTGTTTGATATTAAGACACTGGAGTTCTATGTTGTAGCTCTGCATCCTCATCACAGCTCACAGTAGAGTCTTTAGGCAATGTTTTTCCCTTGAGTGCTTTTTTCAACTCATTTCTTAAAAATCTCCCTGCATCTCAGCCACTACAAGACCCTCTCCAGGAAACAGAGTCATCTCACCTGCACTGACTTCAGATCGGGTCTGCTCACTGCTGGGGGATCCAGTTGTTCCTGCTGATGATGCAGTCGTTGCTTTCAAAGAAACACAATGTCATGACTATGAAGCAGCAGTAGACCACACTGATCAATGATGACCAGTGTCTTCACTAATTTATATACAGTTCCTATTGCTGCTTCAATCTTTGTAAATTTCATATGATATGAAGGAAGATTTGCTGTGCTTTTTGATTCTGCGTGGAAATATGATTGTCTACCTCCTTTTTAATCATCTATTTGAATCCAGTACTCATATGCTTATTGAAACCCACTGGGTCTTTGAGATATATTTCTGTCTGTGTGCTTCCTATAAAAAAACACATTTAATACCCATGAAAATGAAGATATTAAGAATTTTTCTACTTCATGCGAAGTTAGAGTCAGGATAGTAAGCCTTAGTCCTCAGTAAGCCAAAAGTACCAAGGGAAGATTCAGGGCCACTATTGCCCCAAAAAACACACTAGCAACCTAATTTGGGATAAGAGAAACATCAATGAATGCTGTCCTCTTTCTGATGCTAGCTCATTTCTCTAAATATACAGGGAATATATGCATTCCACTTTGAATAAATGGTGATATAACCAGCCCCTCACTTGTCATAGCCTTGTAACATACATACCATTCTTACATTTCTATACAAATAAAGGGAAATTAACAACTCTCCATTTGACACATGAGAGCTCATACCTCCTTTCTTCCCTTACCTGCTTTGCTGCTGACAGAAACTGTAGATTGACTGGAGGCCTGAGGGACAGTAGTGTGTTCTGAGGATGTCACTGTGCTCTCTAGGACAGGAAAACATGCATGTTGGAGACTCATATGATTCCAGACATCCTTATTTATATGAATGGACTTGCAGGATAAACGCGAGAAGACACATTCTTCCACCACATCCAGTGTCATGAATTTCACTCACACATATATGTCAATTTTCCAGACCATCTCCTGAAGCCACATGGGAATGGATGAGCAGCTAAGACATCTCCAAAGGCTAAAGAGTCTTACCTGATGCTGGGGCTCCAGTACTTGCAGGTAGAGCAGTGCTGCTCCCTGTTCCTCCAGAGGTGGATGCAGAAGTTGTCCCAGGTGTGCCTGTTGTTTATCATGGTTAAAAAATGAGTAAGAAAAATTAAAGGGAGGTTTTTCTTAACAGTAAGAATTGAAACACTCATTTTTTCATCTTATAAAATAAATGTCTCTACTCTTACGAAAAGTTCAGTGTCAACTTCATTCTCAAGGGAAATCCATTAATTTGACAACATATTGATTTGGTGAAATATTCATTAATTAGAAAACATAATAATTATAGAGGTAAGTCAAATTTGTCATGGAGGAATGTTGATGATTTTAGAACTGACCTAAGACCTTGTGAGCATGTTTACCCCAAACCCCCAATCCTCTCTACCATATTTTTGACCTCACAGTCAGTTTTATTAAAATATGAAAATGCATAAAAACATGGATTCCTTCTGTTATTTATCAAATAATGTATGCTTAAAATAATAGTACACATGAAATAAATTCTTGGTAATATACAATGAATCTTCTGCAAATGTGGCATGGAACTGGTTATCATATGGACCTCATCTCTGGGACTATCTCAGGGGATACTAACAGAGAAGGAAAGCCCAATGGATAGATAGGTGACAACCAATGAGTTGTGCTAGCTTCATATACTCTTCCTCTTGTTTCTATGGGAACAGGAATGTTTCTTAAGGTCACAGATAATAAGGGTCTCAGAAGCCTCCCAAAGCATTTCAGAGTTAACCTCATGTCATGCAGTTCTACACTCTGCTCCTTCATCACCTTTCCTTGAACTAATGACCACAAACAGTTTTGGACAACGCTAGCATGGGTCCCTAACACAGACCACCATAGAGATCTTATCTTGCCTGCTGGGCTTCCAGTGGTGAATTCTGTGCCTTGGGTTACAGGTGTGGCCTCCCTGTCTGGGCTTGTGGTAACTCCCACAGACTGTCCTGCTGTGACTGAGAAGCAAAGGAGCCATGCTGGAAAAACTTACAAGCCCTCAGAAGAGAGACATGGAGAGTTTCAATTCTACACCTACTAGGCGAACAAGTCTGTGCTTTGCCCAGCAGCCTACCCCTTTCATCTATACCCACCAAATTGCCACTATTGAAGTTCCTGCTCTAACTGACACGAGTTTTCTTGAATTTTAACACGGCGAGTGGGTTCCCTGGGTGGGCTGCCTCCCCTGTTACTTGTGGGTTCAGCAGGGACTAAAAATCCCAGATATAAATACCATTCATATTTTTTTAAGAAAAAAAATGACACAACAAATAGTCTGGCAAGGAATTTCTATCCTGTCCAACATTTGGATAAGTTCCCATGAGTTGTTATGTAATCCTTTTAGCCTAGAGCAGACCCTGGACCCAATATCTGCCTCCCCAACCCCAGAGTCTAACCTCTCATTGGCTCTCAATGATCTGTGGTAAAACAGTAATTTGTCAAATTTCAGAAGTGTGTTAGAAAGCTACTTTCCAAACCACCAGAGCTTTCTCCTTCTTCTAGGAAAACACCCAGTGTTGATATGGTCCTTTAGAGACTGGATACTCTGGAAATGTACCTGGGCATGAGGCTTTGCTGCATCTGTGCCTCCTCTGTTAAGTCTGTCTGTCCTTCAACTTGGAAGGCAGAACACCATTTAGTTTTACATGATGAGAAGGAATAATCCAGTGATTTTTCTATTCAATCATGTCTACCCTTTGAACCCAGTATCAAGTTATCAAAAGCCTTGGCATACTGCTCTAGGGAAGAGAAAGACTCAAAATGATACTGTTCTCCATTTCACTTTAGTCCTCAAATGTCCATCTAAAGTTTGCACTTTGATTTAAAATGAGCTGGGCTGTGGAAAGGCGATCCATTTTATAAAAACCCATGACACCATCACATCAGACTGTACTTACTTGACTTGTCTGAAGGCTGGGTTGATTCACTGCTTGGGGCTCCAGATGTTTCCCCAGCTGATGGTGCAGTAGGCCCTTTCAAAATGAACAATAATTTACTACCAGGATGTTTGATTCCGATGTATTGATCTGAATGCTAACGCTTTCAATTATTTTTCTCAAATTCCATCATTCTCTATCTCCCTATTTTCATTAAGCAATCACAAAATCTGTCATAAACTAATATATCCTCAGAGAATCACTGACTTGTTGGATGTGAATGAACTTGTACATATTGACTAGTTTGACATTAAGACACTGGAGTACTACATCATAGCTCTGCAACCTCATGAGAGCCCAGTGTAGGACCTTTAGGAGATGGATCTCTTCAGCTTCAGCCTCCTATTTTCAGTTTATTTCCTTTTTTTTTCCAGACAAGTTTTCTCTGTGTAGGTTTGTGCCAATCCTGGAACTTGCTTTGTAGACCAGGCTGGCCACAAACTCACAGAGATCCCTGTCTCTGCCTTCCAAGTACTGGGATTAAAGGCATGTGCCACCACTGCCAGGCCAGATTTTTCTTTCTGAAAAATCTCTCTCTGCATCTTTGTCAAAAGCATGAGCCTGTCCTTGACACGGCCTCCACTCACCTGTACTGACTTCAGATTGGTTCTGCTCACTGCTTGGGGATCTAGTTGTTCCCGCTGATGATCCAGTGGTTACTTTCAAAGAAACACAATATCAAGAATGTAAGCAGCTCTAGAACACACTGCTCTGTGATGTTGAAAGTCATCAATAATTTATGAGTAGTTCCTATTGCTGCTTCAATCTTTGTAAATTTCATATGATATGGAGGAAGCTTTGCTAGCCTCTTTTAATTGCTTGGAAATATGATTCTCTACTTTCTTTTTATTCATCTATTTGAATCCAGCACTCATATGCTTATTGAACCCAACTGAGTCTTTCAGATATATTTTTGCTTGTGCGCTGATTCATATATGAAAACACATTTAATAATCATGACGACGAAGACATTTAGAATGTTTCTACTTGATGCTAGCTTAGAGTCAGGATAGAAATCCTTAGCCCTAATGACTCAGTGTCCAAAAGTGCCAAGGAAAGAATCAGGGCCATCATTGTCCCAAATAAACAAATTAGCAACAAATTACAGAACAAGATAAGAGAAACATCACCTAATGCAGTCTTCTTTCAGATGCTAGCTCATTTCTCTAAATATACAAGGAATTCCTGCATTCCCCTTTGAATAAATGGTGATATAACCAGCCTCTCACTAGTCACCTGAGGACTTATAGCCTTGTAAAACACATGCCATTCTTACATTTCCATATAAATTAAGGGAAATTAAGAACTCTTCATTTGACACATGAGAACTCATAGCCTCCTCTCTTTCCTTACCTGCTTGGCTGCTGGCAGAAGCTGTGGATTGACTGGAGGCCTGAGGGACAGTAGTGTGTTCTGAGGATGTCACTGTGCTCTCTAGGACAGGAAAACATACATATTGGAGACTCATATGATTCCAGACATCCTTATTTATATGAATGGACTTGCACAATAAAACACGAGAAGACACATTCTTCTACCACATCCAGTGTCATGAATTTCACTCACACATACAGGTCAATTTTCCAGACCATCTCCTGAAGCCACATGGGAATGGATGAGCAACTACGATATCTCCAAAGGCTAAAGAGTCTTACCTGATGCTGGGGCTCTAGTACTTGCAGGTAGAGCGGTGCTGCTCCCTGCTCCTCCAGAGGTGGATGCAGAAGTTGCTCCAGGTGTGCCTGTTGTTTATCGTGGTTAAAAAAAAGTGAGGAAGAAAAATTAAAGGGTTTTTTTTTCTGAAAACAAAGAATTGAAATAACCATTTTTTCCTGTTACAATATGAATGTTTCTACTCTTATAAAAATTTCAGTAGCAACTTCTTTCTCAAGGGAATCCATTACCTGACAACACACAGATTTGGTGGAATATTCATTAATTAGAAAACATAATAATTATGGAGATGAATCATATTTGTCATGGAGGAATGTTGATGATTTTAAAACTGACTTAAGACCTTGTGAGCATCTTTGCCAATCAGACTGCTCTCTACCACACTTCTAGGCTCACATGTCTCATGACTGTTAATTTTATTAAAATTAAGAACATGCATGAGATCATTGAGTACCCCAATAATCTAGTAATAATGTATACTTAGAAATAAAATAAATTCTTGTCAATATACATCGAATCTTCTCTAAACATGGTGTGAGACTGGTTATTATATGGACCATACCTTTGGGCATATCTCAGGGGATACTAACAGATAAGAAAAGCCCAATGTATAGGTAGGTGACAACCAATGAGCTGTGCTAGCTCAATGTGCTCCTTCTCTTGTTTCTGTGGGGACAGGATATTTCTTAAGGTCACAGAAAACAACAGCCTCAGTATTGACCCAAAGAATTTCAGGGTTGACTTCATCACATGCAGTCCTATATTTTAGTCCTTCATTGCCTTTCCTTGAACTAAGGATCAAAAACAGTTCTGGACAACACTAGCATGAGTCCTTGACAAAACCACCATTGAGTTCTTATCTTGCCTGCTGGGTTTCCAGTGGTGACTTCTGTGCCTTGGGTTACAGGTGTAGCCTCCCTGTCTGCTCTTGTGGTAACTCCTACAGACTGTCCTGTTGTACCTGAGAAGCATAGGAGCCATGCTGGAAAAACTTACTAGTCCTCAGAAGGGAGACAGTGAGAGGTTCAATTCTACACGTTACTTGGTGAAAAAATTTGGACTATCCCTAGCATCCTACATGTTCCACCTCTACCCACCAAATTGCTACTAATGAAGTTCCTGCTCTAACTGACTCAAGTTTCCTTGGACTTTTGTACTGCTGCTGGGTCACGTGAGTGTGCTGCCTCCCCTCTCACTTGTGCATTCAGCAGGGACTAAGGATCCTGAGACATAAATGACATTTTATTTTCCATAGGGATAACGACACAAGAAAAAGTCTTGCCAGGAAATCTTATGCTGCCCAACTGTTGGATACGTTCCCATGAGTTTTTATGTTGTCCAAGGATCCAACCTGAGCCTCTGCATCACCAGATCTTCTCATTTGCTCTCAAGAATCTTTTGCAACACAGTAATATGACAAATGTCCAAAGTGTGATAGACAAATACTTTCCCAAAACCATAGCTTTCTCTCTTTCCTAGGACAACACCCACTGTCCCAACATTCCTTTAGAGATTGATTACTTTGGAAATTTGCCTGGCAATGAATCTTTTCATTCATCTCTGCCTCTTTTTCTAAGTCTGTCTGTCCTTCTACTTCGAACGTAGAACAACATCCAGTTTCATGTGATGAGAAGTAATAAGTCCAGTGATGTTTATGTTTATTCGTGTCTACACTTGAAACCCAGTGTCATGTTATCAAAAGCTTTGGCTTACTGCCTTAAGGAGGAGAAAGCCTCTTAAAAAGGACCTTTGGTTCTCTCTTTTATTTTAGTTCTCAAAGGCCTATCTAAATTTTGTAATTTGATTTAAATGAGCTGACTAGAGATAAGGTGATCCAATTTGTCAAAACCCATGACTTCCTCACATCAGCCTATACTCAATTGACTTGACTTAATGCAGGATCAATTCACTGCTTGAGGTTCCAGATTTCAGTGTGAACAATAATTGAATATCAGGATGTTTGATATAGCAATAGAAATCAAATGCTAATGCTTTCAATGATCTTCCTTATATTTCTTCTTTCTCTTTTATTTCCATCTTTTCAACAAGCTATCACAAATACTTAGATGACCCAGACCATCCTTCAGAGAACTCACTGACTTGTTGGATATGAGGGAACTTGTACCATATTGACTTGTTTGATATTAAGACACTGGAGTCCTATGTCGTAGCTCAGCATCCTCAACACAGCTCTAGGTAGAGTCTTTAGGCAATATTTCTCCCTAGAGTGCTATTTTCAACTCATTTCTTAAAAATCTCTCCCTGCATCTTCAGCCACAGCATGAGCCTCTCCAGAAAACAGCCTCAACTCACCTGCACTGACTTCAGATGGGGTCTGCTCACTGCTGGGGGATCCAGTTGTTCCTGCTGATGATGCAGTCACTGCTTTCAAAGAAACACAATGTCATGACTATGAAGCAGCAGTAGACCACACTGATCTATGATGACCAGTGTCTTCACTAGTTTATATATAGTTCCTATTGCTGCTTCAATCTTTGTAAATTTCATATGATATGGAGGAAGCTTTGCCGGGCCTTTTGATTCTGCATGGGAATACAATTGTCTGCCTCCTTTTTCTTCATCTATTTGAATCTAGTACTCATATGCTTATTGAAACCAACTTAGACTTGCAGATATATTTCTGGCTACATGCTTTCTATTGGAAAACACATTTAATACCCATGATAAAGATGACATTAAAAGTGTTTCTACTTCATGCCAAGTTAGAGTCAGGATAGTAAGCCTTAGTCCTCATGACTCAGTGCCCAAAATTAACAAGGGAGGAATCAGGGCCACTAATGCCCAAATTAAAAAAAAAAAAAACATATTAGCATCCTAATTTGGGATAAGAGAAACATCAGCTAATGCAGTCCTCTTTCTGATGCTAGCTCATTTTTCTAAATATACAGGGAATTCCTGCATTCCCCTTTGAATAAATGGTGATATAACCAGCCATTCCCTTGTCACCTGAGGACTCATAGCCTTGTAACATACATGCCATTCTTACATTTCTATACAAATAAATGGAAATTAACAACTCTCCATTTGACACATGAGAACTCATAACCTCCCCTCTTGGCTGCTGGCAGAAGCTGTAGATTGACTGGAGGCCTGAGGGACAGTAGTGTGTTCTGAAGATGTCACTGTGCCCTCTAGGACAGGAAAGCATGCATGTTGGAGACTCATATGATTCCAGATATCCTTATTTATATGAATGGACTTGCAGGACAAAACACGAGAAGACACATTCTTCCACCACATCCAGTGTCATGAATTTCACTCACACATACAGGTCAATTTTCCAGACCATCTCCTGAGGCTGCACAGGAATGGATGAGCAGCTAAGACATCTCTGAAGGCTAAAGAGTCTTACCTGATGCTGGGGCTCCAGTACTTGCAGGTAGAGCGGTGCTGCCCCCTGCTCCTCCAGAGGTGGATGCAGAAGTTGTCCCAGGTGTGCCTGTTGTTTATCATGGTTAAAAAATGAGTAAGAAAAATTAAAGGGACTTTTTTTCTGAAAACAAAAAAGAATTAAAATAACCATTTTTCCTCTTAAAAACTGAATGTCTCTACTCTTATAAAAAGCTCAGTATCAAATTCTTTTTCCAGGGAATCCATTACCTGACAACATACTGACTTGGTCAAATACTCATTAATTTGAAGACATAATAATTATGGAGGTAAGTAAGATTTGTCATGGAGGAATGTTGATGATTTTAGAACTGACTTAAGACCTGGTGAGCATCATTCCCCACCTGACTGCTCTCTACCATACTTTTAGGCTCACATGTCTCATGATGCTCATTTTATTAAAAATATGAAAATGCATGAGATCGTGGAGTCCTCCTTTTTACTTAGCAAATAATATATGCTTAAATAACTGACATAAAATAAATTCTTGTCAATATACATTGAATCTTCTGCAAAGGTGGCATGGGACTGGTTATCATATGGACCACACCTCTGTGCATATCTCAGGGGATACTAACAGAGAAGAAAAGGCCAATATATAGGTAGGTGACAATCAATAAGTTGTCATATCTCCATGTGCCCCTCCTCTTGTTTCTATAGGAACAGAAATGTTTCTTAAGGTCACAGATAACAATGGCCTCAGAAACCTCCCAAAGCATTTCAGAGTTAACCTCATGTCACGAAGTTCTACACTCTGCTCCTTCATCACCTTTCCTTCAACTAAGGATCACAAACAGTTCTGGACAACACTAACACAGACCACCATTGAGATCTTATCTTGCCTGCTAGACTTCCAGTGGTGACTTCTGTGCCTTGGGTGACAGGTGTGGCCTCCCTGTCTGGTCTTGTGGTAACTCCCCCTGACTGTCCTGTTGTGCCTGAGAAGCAAAGGAGCCATGCTGGACACACTTACTAGTCCTTAGAAGGGAGACAGGGAGAGGTTCAATTCTATACCTCACTAGGTGAACAAGTCTGTACTTTGCTCAGCAGCCTGCCTGTATCACCTCTACCCACTGAGTTGCTACTAATGAAGGTCCTGCTCTAGAGTTTCCTTGGATTTTAGCACTGCTACTTTGTCCCCTGGGTGTGCTGCCTCCCCTGTCGCTTGTGCATTCAGCAGGGACTAAGTTCCCTGAGATATGAATGACATTTTGATTTTCCTTAGGAATAATGACACAAGATAAAGACTGGCCAGGAAATCTTATCCTTCCCCACTGTTGGATGTGTTCTCATGAGTTGTTATGTTGTCCTTGTGGCTGACAGCCGACCCAGATTCCAACCTGAGCCTCTGCATCCCCAGAGTCTAACCTCCCATTTGCTCTCAAGGATCTCTGGCAAAACGGTAATTTGACAAATTTTCAAAGTATGTTAGACAAATACTTTAACAAAACAAGAGTTTTCTCTCTCTCCTAGGAAAGCACCCACTGTCCAAGTATTCATTTCAAGAGTGCCTGGGCATGAGTCTTTTCATTCATCTCTACCCTTCTCTTAAGTCTGTCTGTCCTTCTACATGGAAGGTGGAACATCATCCAGTTTCATATGATGAGAAGGAAAAAGTCCAGTGATTTTCTGTTCAATCATGTCTACCCTACTCTTTGAACCTAGAGTCATGTTATCAAAAGCCTCAGCTTACTGCCTCGGAGGAGAAAGCCTCTTAATATGACATTGTTCTCTCTTTTACTTTAGTCCTCATGTGTCCATCTAAAGTTTGTACTTTGATGTAAGTGAGCTGGGCAGTGCTAAGGTGATCCACCTTGTCTCAAACCATGGATCCTTCACATCAGCTTATACTCACTTGACTTGTCTGAAGGCTGAGCCGATTCACTGCTTGGGGCTCCAGATGTTTCCCTAGCTGATGGTGTAGTAGTTCCTTTCAAAGTGAACAATAAGTGATTATCACAATGTTTGATACAGAGGTACAGATCAGGATGCTAATGCTTTCAATGATCTTCCTTATATTCCTTCATTCTCTTTTATTTCCATCTTTTCAACAAGCTATCACAAACTCTTAGGTTATCCAGACTATTCTTTAAAGAACTCACTGAATTGTTGGATATGAGGGAACTTGTACATATTGACTTGTTTGACATTAAGACACTGAAGTTCTATATCATAGCTTGGCATCCTTATCAGAGCCTTCAGTAGGATTTTTATGAGATGAATCTCTCGAGACTTCCATTTTCAGTTTACTTAAAAAATGTCTCTCTGCATCTTTTCCAACAGCATGAGCTTGTCCTGGACACAGTCTCAATTCACCTGCACTGACTTTAGATGGGGCCTTCTCACTGCTTGGGGATGTAGTTGTTCTAACTGATAACTGAGTCACTGCTTTCAAAAAAAGATAATGTCATGAATGTGAGCAGCAGTAGACCACACTGCTCTGTGATGTTGAAATTCTTCATTAATTTATGTATAGTTTCTATTTCTACTTCAATCTTTGTAAATTTAATATGATATGGAATCCTTGTGGGGCTTATTTGATTCTGCATGGAAATATGAATGTCTACCTCCTTTTTATTCATCTATTTGAATCCAGTATTCATATGCTTATTGAAACCAACTGGGTCTTTCATTTTTATTCTGGCTGTGTGCTTCATATCAGAAAACACATTTAATAATCATGGTAAAGAAGACATTCAGAATGTTTCTACTTGATAATAACTTAGAGTCAGGATAGTAAGCCCTAGCTTTATGACTCAGAGCCCTTAAACTCCAAGGAAAGAATCAGGGCCATCATTGCCCCAAAGTACACATTAGCAACCTAACTATGGGATAAGATAACAGAAACATCAACTAATGCAGTCCTTTTTCTGATGCTAGCTCCCTTTCTCTAAATATATAAGGAATTCATGCATTACCTTATGAAAAGATGCTGATACCACCAGCCCCTCATTTGATATGTGAGGACTCATAGCCTTATAATATACATGCCATTTCTGCATTTTCATAAAAGTAAATGGAGATATACTCAGTACCCCATTTGACACTTGGGAACTCATAGCCTCCTCTCTTGTACTTACCTGGTTTGCTGCTGCCAGAGGCTGGGGATAGACTGGAGGCTTGAGTGATGGTTGTATGGCCTGAGGATGTCACTGTGCTCCCTAGGACAGGGGGAAACATGCATGTTGGAGACTCATATGCTTCCAGATATCCTTAGTAATATGAATGGACTTGCATGATGAAACATGAGAAGACACATTATTCACCACATGCAGTACCATCAATTTCACTCACACAAACAAGTCAATTTCCCAAATCATCACCTGAGGAAACTTGGGAATGGAAGAGAAGCTGAGACATCTCCAAAGGCTAGAGTCTTACCTGATGCTGGGGCTCCAGTACTTGCAGGTAGAGTGGTGCTACTCCCTGTCCCTCCTGATTTGGTTCCAGATGATACACTGGGTGCGCCTGATTTTTATTGTGGTTAAAAAAGATGAATGAGAAAATTTAAAAGGTGATTTTTTTAAAAAATAAAAAAAAATTATATATGTTTCCCTTTATGTAATGAAAGTTCCTACCCTTAAAAACTTTATTGACAACTTCTTTCTAGAGGGAAATCCATTAATTTGACAACCTACTGATTTGTTTAGATATTCGTTAATTAGAAAATACAATAATCAAATTCCTCATGGAGGAATGTTGGGCATTTTAGAACTGACTTAAGACCCTGTGAGCATCTTTGCCCATCTGAATATTCTCCAACATACTTTTATGCTCCCACATCATAAGACTGTTAATTTCATTAAAAACCATGAAGATACATGAGATCATGGCATCCTACTATTTTTTAGCAACTATGGAGTGATTAAAGTAATAATAGTCCCAAAACAAATACTTGGTAACATAATCAATCTTTTGGATAGTTGTTTTGAGAATATTTATCATTTGGAACACATTTCTGTGCTTATCACTGAGGATATTAACAGAGAGGGAAAGGCCAATGTATAGGAACATGATGACCAAAGAGTTGCACCCCTAGACTTAATGTGAAAGAGAAAGAAAGGGCAGAGCATGAGAGGACCAGCACTCATCACTCTGCTTCCTCAGTATGGACACAGTGTCAACAGCTTCCTTGTGATCCCACGATTCCATCTGCATCATTCCCACTTCTATGGTTTCCCTGGCATGAGGAATTTACCTCAAATTGTGAGCAATATAAACCCCTTCTAATTTGATTTGCTTTGGTTATGTTTTGTTCACAGTAACTATAGTATATGACGTCTATGGCAATGGTTAACTCCTCCACAGATCCTAATTGCCTTACATGTTGCACGAAATGTTCACTTGTCTGCTGCCTGGGTGACCCCTGATGAGCTCACTCAGTACCTGTTACTGAAGATGTGTTTTCATTAGGAGTTCCAGTGCTGGCTGCATGTGAACCTCCACTCGTTCCTAAGGGCATAAGAATGATAACGATGCTGAAGGTCACAGGTAATTACGGGCACAGAAGCCTCCAAGTCATTTCAAAGTTACATTTATGCCAATAACTTCTACTGTGTGATCTTTGGACACTTTTTCTTGAATTCTTGATCACAAACAGCTCAGGACAATACTATCATTAGTCCCCTCTAAGAACTCCCCATGGAGTTCTTGTCTTGCCTGTGGGGCTTCCAGTGGTGGCTCCTGTGCCTGGGACTCCAGGTGTGGCCTCCTTGTTGGCTCCTGTTGTAACTCCCACAGACTGTCCTGTTGTGCCTGCAAAACAAAGGACCCATGCTGGCAACATGTATTGGTCCTCAGAAGGGAAATATGAAGAGATTCACTCTGAACATATCCACCCCTTCCTCAGTCGCCCAAGCTTCATCTCTACCCAAGGAGTTGCTACTAATGAAATGCCCTCTCTGATTGACCTGGGTTTTCTTGGCTTGTAGCACTGCTGCTGGGTTCCCTGGGTGTGCTGGCTCCATTGTCCCTTGATGTGGCTTCAGTAGGGACTACAGTTCCTGAGACACAAACAACATTTTTATTTTTCTTCAAAATAACAACCTATCAGGAAGCCATCTGGCCAGGGAAAATTTATGCTGTCCAGTTGTTGGCTATCTTCACTCGACTTTTTAAAGTCACCGTTTCCGTCACATCAGACCCAAGATCCAAACTTAAACTCTACATCCCCAGCCTAATCTCTTCTGTGTTCTCAATGATCTCTGGCAAAATAATAATTTGGCAAATTCCCAAAGTGTATTAGACAAATAATTTCTAAAACACCAAAGTGTTCTCTCTCTCTCCCTCAGGACGACACTCAGTGTCGAGGCGTTCCTTTAGAGACTGGCAACTCTAGAAATGCATCTGGGTTGGAGCATTTGACACATCTCTGCCTCCTGTCTGATGTCTGTCTGTCCTTCTACTTGGAAAGTGGAACACCATCCCAGTGTCATATTATGAGAAGTAATGAGTCCAGTGATTTTCTTTTCGATCATGCCTACCCTTTGAACCTAATGTTATGTTATCAAGAGCCTTGTCTTACTGCTCCAAGGAGGAGAAAGACTCTTAATATGACATTGTTCTCTCTTTCACTTTAGTCCTTACATGTCCAATTAAATTTTGTACTTTGATTAATAATGAGCTGGGTCATTGTAAGATGATTGACTTTGTCAAAATCCATGACTTCCTCACATCAGCCTGTCCTCACTTGACTTGTCTGAAGGCTGAGTAAATTCACTGCTTGGGGCTCCAGATGTTTCCCCAGCAGATGGTGTAGTAGGCCCTTTCAAAGTGAACAGTAAGTGATTATCACAATGTTTGATACAGGGGTATCGATCAGGATGCTAACTCTATCACTTAGCTTCCTCCTATTCTTGCATCCACCTCTCTTTTCTTCTTTTCAACATGCAATCACAAATACTTCCATGATGCAGACTGTCCTTCAGAGAACTCCCTGACTTCTTGGTTTTAAATGAAGTAGTGCATACTGACTTGTTGGATATGAGGGAACTTGTACGTATTGACTTGTTTGACATTAAGACGCTGGAGTTCTATGTCATAGCTCAGCATCCTCATCAGAGCCCATAGTAGAGCTTTCATGAGATGCATCTCGCCAGATGCCTATTTTCATTTTATTTGTTAAAAGTTGCTCTCTGCATCTTGTTTTGGGTCAATAAGGAAGTTCCATATACTTTTTATTAATATATATGCATCAACTGCAGTTGTATAAAATGAATAAAGTATGGACAAACCACTCTCCATTTTGACCACAGCCTCAGCCTCTCCAGGACACAGCCTCAACTCACCTGCACTGACTTCAGCTGACGTCATCTCACTGCTTGAGGACCTAGTGGTTCCTGTTGATGATCCAGTTGTTCCTTTCAAAGAAACACAATGGCATGACTATGAAATAGCACAGGACCACACTTCTCTCTGATCTCAAGTGTCTTTATTTATTTATATATAGTTCCTATTGAGGCTTCAATCTTTGTAAATTTCATATGATATGGAGAATCCTTAATGGATTTATTTGATTTTGCATGAGAATATGACTGTCTTCCTTCATATTCATCTATTTGAATCCAATAATCCATATGCTTATTGAAACCAACTGAGTCTTTCAGATATTTTTCAGCCTGGGTGCTTCATATAAGAAAACACATTTACTAAACATGACAAAGAAGACATTCAGAAACTTTTTACTTAACGCTGACTTAGAATTAGGATAATAACCCTTAGCCCTCAGGACTAAGTGTCCCTAAGTTCTAAGGAAGGAATCAGGGTCATAATTGCCCCAAAGTGCACATTAGCAACCTAACTATGGAATAAGATAAGAGAAAAATCAATTAATGCAACCCTCTTTCTAGTGCTAGCTTGCTTTCTCTAAATATGCAAGGAATTCCTGCATTCCCTTGTGAATAAATGGAGATATCACTAGCCTCATTTCACACCTGAGGACTCATAGCCTTGTAATATACATGCCATTCTTACATTCCAATATAAATAAATGGACATAGACTCAGTCCCCATTTGGCACATGGCAACTTATAGCCTTTTAATATACTTACCACTCCTACATTCACATTTAAATAAATAGAGATATATTCAGCCCTCCATTTGACAACTGAGAACTCAGCCTCCTCTCTTTTGCTTACCTGGTTTGCTGCTGGCGGAGGCTGGGGATAGACTGGAGGCTTGAGTGATGGTTGTATGTCCTGAGGATGTCACTGTGCTCCCTATGACAGGAAAACATACATGTTAGTGACTCATACGATTCCAGACCTCCTTACTTATATGAATGGACTTGCAGGATAAAACATGAGAAGACAGGTTTTACACCATATCCACTGCCATGAATTTTACTCGCACATACAGTTTCAATTTCCCGACCATCACCTAAGTCAGCATGGGAATAGATTAGCTGCTGAGACATCTCCAAAAGCTAAAGAGTCTTACCTGAACCTGGGGCTCCAGTGCTTGCTGGTAGAGGGGTGCTGCTACTTGCCCCTCCCAAGGTGGTTCCAGGTGATGCCCCTGGTGTGCCTGATTTTTATTATAGTTAAAAAAGATATATAAGAAAATTGATAGGGAGATTTTCTTAGAAATAAGAATTAAAATAGTCTTTTTTCCCCCTCTTATGAAGTGAAAGTGTCTACCCTTAGGATCTTTAATGACAAATTGTTTCTCAAGGGAAATCAAATAATTTGACAACATTCTGATTTCTCAAAGGAAATCAAATAATTTGGACGTTGAGACTTATATGAATCCAGACATCCTACTTATATGAATGGACTTGAATAATAAAACATGAGAAGATACATTCTTGAATTGCCTGCTCTGCCCTGAATTATACTCACACACACAGATCAAATTTCTAGACCATCACCTGAGGCATCATGGGAATGAATGAGCTGCTAAGACATCTCCAAAGGCTAAAGAAAGAGTCTTACCTGCACTTGGGGCTCCAGTACTTGCAGGTAGAGCGGTGCTGCTCCCTGCCCCTCCAGATGTGGTTCCAGAAGTTGTCCCAGGTGTGCCTGTTGTTTATCATGGTTAAAAAATGAGTAAGAAAAGTTAAAGGGAGATTTTTTTTTCAAAAATAAGAATTGAAATAGCCATTTTTTTCCTGTTACAAAATGAAAGTCTCTACTCTTACAAAGTTCAATGGCAGTTTCTTTCTCAGAAGAAAGCATTTAATTTCACAACCTACTAATTTGGTTAAATATTAATTAATTAGAAAACACAATTATAGAGGTTTGTCAAATTCCTCATGGAGGAATGTTGGGCATTTTAGAACTGACTTAAGACCCTGTGAGCATCTTTGCCCACCTGACCATTCTGCAATGTATCTTTACGATCTCATGTCACTAGACTGTTAATTTCATTAAAAAGCATGAAGATGCATGAGATCATGACATCCCCCTATTTTTTAACAACTATGGAGTGACTAAATAATACTAGATCCAAAGCAAATACTTTTCAAGATATAATCCAATCTTACGGATAGTTGTTTTGAGAATGTTTATCATTTGGAACACATTTCTGTACTTATCACTGAGGATATTAACAGAGAGGGAAAGGCCAATGTATAGGAACATGATGACCAAAGAGTTGCACCCCTAGACTAAATGTGAAAGAGAAAGGGCAGAGCATGAGAGGACCAGCACTCATCACTCTGCCGCTTCAGTGTGGACACAGTGTGAACAGCTTCCTTGTGATCCCACGATTCCATCTGCACCACTCCCACTTCTATGGTTTCCCTGGCATGAGGAATTCACCTCAAATTGTGAGCAAAGTATACTCCTTCTAATTTGATTTGTTTGGCTATGTTTGGTTCACAGAGAGAAAAAAAAACTATAGTACATGACCTCTATGGCAATGGTCAACTCCTCCACAGATCCTGATGCCTTACATGTTGCATAAAATGTTCGCTTATCTGCTGCCTTAGAATCTAGGACACTCTTAGCCCAGTGCTCACCAGGCAATTCTGCAATCTAGGAGAATTTGGAATTTATGACTTCTAATTACAGAGTGTTAGTTCAAAATGTTTTCATAATCATGAGTGAGTTTGAACTGCCTTTCCCCTGCCTGGGACATGGTTTTATCTATAATCATTCACTTGAGAAATGGAATGTACCTCTTTATGACTTTTGTAATGCCTGGGAGATTCTGTTGGAGTATTTAAGCAGTGGAGGGAAAAGAAAACAGGGAGCAATGAGAGAAAAAATACATGAGAGAATAAAGAATGAAACCATCAAGAGAATGTGTGAGGTTTTTTTTTTTTTATTTTTTCCCAACCCCTCAGACAGAAAAGTCCTAGCTTTGCCTTGCTGTGGATTTCCCTTTGAGCCCTGAGTGCTGTCTTAGAGACTGGACCTCAGGACAGCGATAGGGTTCCAGATGCTTTCCCAGCTTTCAAAGTGAACAATAATAGACTATCAGGATGTTTGATATCAGGCTGCTAATGCTATTTATTATCTTATTATGTTTCCGCATTATCCTCTAGCTCCCTCTTTTCAATCAGCATTAATGAAATTTGCCACTACCCAGACAATCCTTCAGAGCACTGATTGATTGATTGATTGATTGATTGATTGATTGGATACGAGGGAATTTGTGTATACCGAAGTGATTCCTCGTAAGACACTGGAGTTGTGTGTCAGCTCAGCATCCTCTTAGGAGCCTGCAGTGAGGCTTTAATGAGATGCATCACCTCAGATCCCCATTTTCATTCTATTTCTTAAAAATATCTCTTGACATCTTGAATTGTGTTGACAATAAAGTCTCCACACACTTTTTCAACTGTGGTTCTTTAAAATGAATAATGTATAGACAAACCACTCTCCATTTAAAAATATACCTGTTTCAACTGTGGTTCTTTAAAATGGAAAAAGTATAGACAAACCACTCTCCATTTTTCAGATAGCCTCTCCAGGACACAGGCTCCACTCACCTGTGTTGCCTTCAGTTGAGGTCAGCTCACTGCTTGGGGATCTAGTGGTTCCAGCTGATGGTCCAGTCGTTCCTTTCAAAACACACAATGTTATGACAGTGACAACGTAGCAGGCCAAGGTGCTCTGTGCTACTGAACGTCTTATTCATTTGTGAGTACTTCCTACTTCTGCTTCTGTCTTCCCAAATCAGGAACCTCACATCTCATAGGAGTCTTTGATGTCTTTGCTGGACATTTTAAAGTTTCATAAAATTTAATAATGCATCTGTTTAATCCCAGCAACAAGCTGCTTCTTGGAAACCACCGGGTTTCAGATATATTTTAATCTAGGCCCCCTTTTCGGGGCTCCACAATTAATGGGACTGTGAGGGACACAGTTCTGAACTTTTGTCATTGGTGCTAACTTATAGCTGGCAGAGAAAGTCATGACCTCCAAAGTCAGAGTCCCTAAACTCAGGGCAAGACTCTCGGAATCATCATGACCTGTAAGCACACACAAGAATATAATGATGACATAAGGTTCTAATGCAGTTCTCCTGCTACTGACTGGTTATAGAGCAGGAACTGGGCTTCCTGTCCCTGAGACAGACATGTCCTTCCTACCGTCCATGGATATGAGTGAAAACATATGCAACCCTTTGCTTGATTTCTGAAGACTCACAGCCTTTTCTCTTTTACTCACCTGATTTGCTGTTGGCAGAGCTTGAGGCCAGGCTTGAGGAGACTCCAGGTAGGCTAGTGTGGCCTGAAGACACTGCTGTTTTCTCTAGAACCAAGAAATGTGAATGAGTGGATATTCGTGCTATTCTTGACATTCTCAGGTATGGGGGGGGGGTGGATTTTTATAATAAGAATCAAAATGACACAACTCACACCCCTCCCAAGCCCTTTCTTCAACTCCCCCTTCAGACTGATTATAGGCAAGTACCTCTTGCATCAGAGACCTGAGGGAGTAATACAGAAACAGTCCAGTCTATCATCTCTTACCAGAACCTGGGGTTGCTGTACTTGCAGCTGAAGGGGTGCTGCTACCTGCCATACCAGTGGTTGTTCCAGATGATTCCTTGGACGTGCCTGATATTTATTGTGGTTAAAAAGAAGGCTGTGAGTATGTTATTCCATTGTCTAAATACACCATATTTTCATTATCCACTCATCTGTAGACAGACATCTAGGCTGTTTCCATTCCCTGGCTAATATAAATAGAGGAACAATAAACATGGATGAGCAAGTACCTCTGTATTAGGATGTGAGTCCTTTGGAAAAATGTCCAAGAGTAAAGATGGATCATGTGGTTTTTGAGGAACCTCCACATTGATTTCCCTAGTGGCTAAACCACTTTCCTGTCCCATCAGTAAATACATGTTCCCTTTTCCAAATATCCCGAACAACATGTTTTCCCATTTTTCTATATGCCTTTCTGAACAGGGTTATACAAAAAAAATCTCAAAGTAGTTTTGATTTGCATTTCCTTTAAGGGTATTGAACATTCACAAAAATTATATCTCAAGCATTTGAAGGGAATCTTTATCCTGTCCAGTTGTTAGGTATTTTTGCTTGGCTTGTTTAAGTTGCCCTTTTAGCTTACAGCAGACCCAGGACCCGATCTCAACCTCTCCAACCCCAGAGTCTAACCTCTAACTTGCTTCTAAATGATCTGTGCCAAAACAGTGATTTGACAAATTTCCAAAGTGTGTGAGAGGAATATTTTCTAAGACACCAGAGTCTTTCTCCCTCTCCTAGGACAACACTTGATGTCAAGGCGTTCCTTTAGAATCTGATAACTCTGGAAATGCACCTGGGAGGGAGCAGTTGACTCATTTCTCTGCCTCCACTCTGAAATCTGTCTGTTCTACTTGAAAGCTGGAGCATCATTGAAGTGTCATATCATGAGAAGTTATGAGTCCAGTGATTTTCTGCTCAATCATCTCCACCTTTTTAACATTGGGTCATGTTATCAAAAGCTTTAGCTTATTGTGGTGGGGAGGAGCAAGCTTCTAAAAGTGGCACATTTGTCCCTTTTCATTTGGCACACATTACATCTATCTAAAGTTTTGTCAGCTCCTTCAATTTAAAGTAATTAGAATAGGAAGAAGGGTGCTCCCCCTTCTGAAGAGCATGATATTCCCCGCTTCAGCCTGTACTCACTTGATTTGTCTGCAGGCTGGGTCTGTTCATTGCTTGGGGCTCCAGATGTCTCCACAACTGATGGTGCTGTGGTTTCTTTTAAAGTGAACAGTGAATGTCTATCAGATTTGGTGCAGAACAGATCTGACTACTCACACTTTCAATTGTCTTTCTTACATTCCTGAATTCTTCTCTATTTTACTTTCCTCTCTCCAACAAGCAATTATCAAACCTTCCACGACCCAGATCATCCTTGAATGCATGGATGGACTTGTGGGACACAAGTAAGCTTAGACATTTTGACTTGTTTCACTTTGAGACACTGAAGTTGTGAATAGTATACCTCAGCATCCTCATCAGAGCCTACTACAGAGCTTCCATGAGACGTTTATACATTCCCATACAGTTCCACAACCATTGTGACTCTAAGGAACACTTCAGTGTGTAATCAAAGCCTCCTCTATTTGATTGTCACTGGGAGCCAGAACCCGTGTTTAGTCCCTTCTTCTGAATTATAGCATTAGTACTTCTAGGGTTACATGTGGGGATTATTATCACATGAAATGTGTGATGCCACCATTGGGTAAGATGGTATACTTCATCCTTACCATTCCTAATAATGCTTTGGCAGATAAGAATTGCAACCTAAGTCCATACTCTTCCTATTCATTTCCATCCTCACCATTCTCTAGACACAGGGAATGGGGCTAACCCACATTGCTTGTTAGATCCCTACAGACTTATGCACTTCTGCCTTTGACCCTCTTGTTTGTTAATGTTGCAAATTATAGTTCTTATATAAGATGCTCTGGGAACGACCAGGTGAAGCCTTCAAGAGTACCCTATATTCCCAGAAACTCAAGCAGTCTGGGAGGCAGGGCTATGTGCATGTAATTCTTATGATTACTATGAAGACTTTGGAGGTTCCATAAGAGCAAAGAATAAATAGTGTCTCCCTACTTCTCCATAGCTCTCTAGCTCCATTAGAACCTCATTTTCAGTCCAGCACTTGTGAGCAGGCTTAGATGGAATCTCTGAGACATCACCAGCAGGCGCCTATTTGATCTGACCATAAACACTGGTTCCAATGCCTTCTCTTCTAGAGGTGGCTCCAGAATATGCACCCGGTGTGCCTTAATTTTATCAAGGATAGAAATTTTAACTTAAGAAAAAAACTATTTTCCATCTCAAGAAAGCAAACAATAATATGGTTCCATTTTTTTCCATTAAGATAATGGTGATATCTAGCTATGCAAATTTCATTGCTGTCTTTAGGGTTTTTCAAATGAAATTCTGTAAATAAGGTGGTCTCATATTGAGTCCATGGAAATCATTTTTTTTGCTACAGTATAGAGAGATGAGGGAGATGCTCCAGTATTTTCACTGAATGACCTTGTCACTTGTATTTTCTCATGCTGCTTTGTGCACTCTTTGCCTTTTATGTGTCTGTCTCACTTACCTTTGTCAATCACATCTGTAGAAATATTAGTTTTGACTACACAAATAATTTTATATTGTGAATTTAGAATTGTATTTTATTGCTCTTTTCCTATATTCCGATATCCAAGGGTATAGATTTAATTATGTTGACACTCAGTATCACACAAATGACACTGGTTACATACTTCAGGGCATCCTAACCCTTACTCAGTTTTAATCACACAATTCGCAGGTCTAATTTCCCGGGCATACCCCTACTCTGTCCCCTTAGTACCTGTTCCTCCTGAGGCACTGTTTCCAGCAGTTCCAGTAGTGACAACTTCATCCCCTACACTTGTTCCTGTGTGAAGACATATGCATTAGACAGTGTGACTTGTCAACTTGGTGGCATTTAAAATCACTATGGAAACAATCCTCCTGACATGTCTATGAGAGATCTTCTAGGGTGGCTCAGTATGTGTGGAAAGCCCACCCTACATGTTGGTAATATCCTTACATTGGCTGTGGTCCTGGCCTCAATAAAACAGAGAACGGGAGCCTAGCATCTTTACTCATCTTGAGCATCTGCTCCTATCTTTGCTTTTGACGGTGGTGCAAAGTATCCAGCTGCCTCACACATTTTGTTGGCATGTTGTTTCTGCCATCAGGACTCAGAGACATAAAACCCAAACATTATTTTTGTTCTGCCTTCTACAGGAAAACATTCGGGAACAAAAACTGTGCTTCAACATTCTTATCACACCCCATCATCATCTCTCAGTACTAATGCTGGGATCTCAGTACTAATGGTGGTGCCCATCTGGTAGGTGGTAAACTGTTCAACCTGACTTACCTGTGTGTCCCGGGCTTGTTACTCCGGTGCTGTATCTGTTAGGGGTACTGCTTCCCTCAATGCTAGATGTGGGTGCTGTGCTGCCCACTGCCACTGTAGGGGTCCCTCCAGATGATGTCTGGGATATACCTGTTAATTTCCAATGATAAATTTTAAAAAAGATAAAAATTGCAAAGGAACATTCTATTATGGATATGAAGTAAAATTTGATTTCCTCTTCCCTGAAAAATTTGTAAGCTAGCTGCTGTGGTGTACACCTTTAATCCAAGTACTCTCTGGAAATCAGTAAGTAGATCTCTGTGTTCCTTGTCAGCCTGGTCTATAAAGTAAGTTTTAGGTCAGCTAAAGCTACATAGTGAGATCTTGTCTCCAACATAAATAAATAAGAAGTTACCTTCTCATATAAACTCCAATGGCACCCTAAGTACTTTTTCAAGGTAAATAAGGTAAATTGACAGTAAACTGAACCTATTGAGATGTTAATTGATTATGAAGTATCATAATCATGTGAAATTCCTCATAATAATGCTAATGATTTTAGGATTGTCATAGGACCCTGTGAGCATCTTTGCACAGAAGACTGAAGGCATCATTATTCTTCTGCATCTCGTGATTGTTAATTTTTTCACAAAATGAAGTTTGTGAGATTGCAACATTCCTCCATTCGTTTATAACATACCACTGTGTGCTTAATATTACACACAAAACAAATACTTGATGGTATGTTTCTAATTTCTTGGACACTTAGAATCTGTAATGACCAGTCTTAATTATCTACTAGAATGTATCTAAAGTCATCTAGGTATTCATCTCTGAGGCTATTCCTGAGTATGCTTACAAAGACGTGTCCCTGAGATGGAAAAACCTATTATGCATGTAGCTGAGAGCATCGCATGTGTTGGTATCTAAGACTGAATAAAAATAAGTACCAGCATACATCACTCTGCTTCCTCACTGTGAACAGAATGACCAGCCATCTCATGATCCTGATACCACAGATAGAAACTCTGTCCCTTATATCATGTCCCTGCCGTGAGGGACTTTATCCTCAAATTGTGAGCAAAATAAAGACTTTCTTCCTTAACTAGTCAGGTGTTATTCATAGAAATAAAAGTAACACAGCATGACATCAGCAACAGTCAGCTCCCCCACAGAACTTCATCTCATTACATGTTGCATGAAATGCTCACTTATCTACTGCCTGGGTGACCCCTGCTGAGCACACCCCATACCTGCTGTTCCTGATGTGTTTTCACTAGGAGCTCCAGTGGTGGTTGCGTGTGTTCCTCCAGTTGTGCCTATAGCAAGAACAGTGATTTAGGTCACAGTGATGACCACAGCAGCCTCCTAAAGGCATTTATTTCATGATTACACTCATGCCATTCATTTCTACAATGCGGTCCTTGGCCACTTTGGTTTGTTCTCATTATCACACTCAGTTCTGGCCACAGTCAATGTTGGTCCACACCAGAGTCCCAAGGGACCCTCTGCCTTGCCTGCTGGGTTTCCAGTGGTGACTCCTGTGCTTGGGGCTCCAGTTGTGGCCTCCCTGTCTGCTCCTGAAGTAACTCCCACAGACTCTCCAGTTGTACCTGATAAACAAAGACTACTGCTTAAAATGCATGCTATAAAGTTCCCTTGAAGGGAGACGTCCCTAGGTTCGTATTCACGCATCATTCTGCAAGCATTTCCCTCCTTCTTCTGCAGCTATGCTTTTACTTCTAGCCATTTAGTTGGCAAGAAGAGATGCCTGCCCTGACTTACCCGAGTTTCCTTGGCTTGTTGCACTGCTGATGTGTGCCCTGGAAGTTCCGGTTTCTTCGTCAGTAGATGTGGGTGTGGGTGTAGAAAGGACTCCACCTAATTAATAAACAGTGTTCAAAATGTCAGAGACAAGTCAAATTAAATCTCCTAAGAAATTCTCCAATATTGACAATGGGATTCCTCCATTCACCAGATTCAGCAAAGTTGCTTGCTCCAACTTTTCTATTAGAGAATGATAGACCAACCAAATCCCAGCAGTCTCCCTAGAATGTAACCTCTAATTTGTTTTCTTTTTTATTTTTTTAATTTATTTTTTCATTTCATATTTTTCATCATGTTTTCCCCTCCCATAACTCATCCAAGAGCCTACTTTGTTCTCCCCACTCTCTTATGATTTCTCACCCTCACTCTCTTATACACACACACACACACACACACACACACACACACACACACACACACTTGCACGCATACACACACACTCACAATTGAGTTCATTTTATGTTGGCCAACTGCTGTTTCTCCATTGGAGAAAACTGATTTTCTCTTTGCCAGAAGATATCAACTGCATATAGATTATTGGTTAGGTTCTCTGTGTCCAGTTCCCCCTCTCAGTCATGGGATGACCCTATCTGGCTCGGATCTGTGCAAACCCCGTGCATGCTCTCACAGTCTCTGGTTTCATATGTGCATCAGTCTGTGGTGTTTGGAAGATGCTCTTTCCTCAGCATCATCCATCCCCTCTGGCTCTTGCCGTCTTTCCCCCCTCCTCTTCTGCATAGCTCCCTGAGTCCTGAGGGGAGGGCTCCCCTGACTTTTTAAATAATCTGTGGTCAATTGGCATCCTTCACAGTTTTCAAAATATTACAAATAGATGCTTTGAAAAGGACCAGAGACATGGCCCAAATGTCTTTTAATTTGACTGTTTATTATACAAGCCTTTATTGAAAAGATATCCCATTCATCTAAAATACTAAATGTCCTATGTTATGTTTGTTCCTTGTTCCCGATGGAGTGGGGCATAGCTTTCAGTGTGAGCAATATGCTTGCACCAGGACCTCTGACACAGAAGGACAGGTCACTCTACTCTCTGCTTTCAAAGCCTCTTGATTTTCCTACATTTCAGCATCTCTTCTTTCCAACTAGTGATTAAAAACATTCTGTGATCCAGAGAATCCCGGTATGTGCCCATTTCCTTGTTGAATGTCGATAGGTTTGTTCACATTTACTTGTTTAATAGTACGATACTGGAATTTAGTATTTCATAACCTAGGTCACACACAGGAACCAACTGTGGGGCTTTTTTAAATACTTACCTGAGCCCTTCTGTTATAGGTTCAGATTCTGTCAGTCTGTAAAAACTCAGAATATACATCTCAAATTTTCTCTAGTTGGTAGCAAGGATGTCAGTCATGGCCGTATACTGACTCAGAGCATCATCTCTACCACTGGGAATCTTGGAACCATCATCTCAAGCACACAGGCATCTAGAAGATTGCCCACACATACACAAGCTCTAGCTAACCCATACTCCCTGTGCTCCTTGAAATGTGTGTGAGGGACTGGGCTGTCTAACGTGGCTCTCACTGCTGCTGTTCATGTTCACCATGGAATGGTGCTGGGCCACACACACCATCAGATCCTTGCAAACTCACAGGATTCTCTCTTCTACTCACCTGATTTGCTACCAGCAGAGGCTGTGGATGGTATGGTGGAGGTTCTGGGGCTAGTACTGGTAAAGCCTGAAGACACTCCTGTGGTCCCTGGAATTAAGAATGGATTTGGACTTGGGATATTAGGCATATTGCTCCTGACATTACTATGAGTACTTGGCAATGTCAGAAAAGGAAGTTCCAGGCGCTGCTCTTCAGATTTCCTCAGACCTGTTTGCATAACTTAGAGGCTTATTAAGCACTCTCCTGCTTAATGTTCTGGTTTATAAGTCTCTAACTTATAAGATCTCTTAGAGCTGATCCATAAATTCATTGAATAGCAGGATACAAAACTAGCATACAAAATCAGTAGCTTTCCTATATTTTAACATAAACAAACTAAAATAAAAAAGAAATCAGGAAAATATTTCCAGTCACAACAGCTACAATAAAATAAAATAAAATACATAGGAACAACCTAACTAAGAAAACAAAAGACCCCTAAATTAAAACTTTGAAGACAATTGTTAGGAACATAGCTGAAACCATTTTGTGTAACTCAAATCTATTTTATGTGACTTGAAATAATATGATGCCTGAGCTTGCTACCAGGTAGCTCTGATAAGACCTAGGCCTCAGAAGCAAGGTCCTGGCAGGCCACTAGAAGTTCAAATAGGAGCCTAGGCTTGGACAGGTCTTGATAGGTTAATGAACTAACCCCAAGGTTGTGTTGACATGCTGGTAAACCAGCCCTAAGCTGTGAGCCCTGAGAGCTCAAAGCTACCACCCAATGAGAGGATACCAAAAAATTGGAGCTTTGGGAATGGTCTCTAGGATAGCACTGGCATGTTTCCTAGACACAGCTTCTCAAGTCTTGTATTGATACCCATAGCCAAGAGGACTTGAGACTTTTTGTGTGGCCCTGGTTTTCAGTGACCACTGAATTCCTGGTACTGTCTCTGGGCTCACACGGGCCTGTGTGGCAGCACTGGCTACTAGCCTAGGCTCTCAAGGACTTCCTAGGACCTCCATCAGTGTCATCCTCCCAGGCTGCCATATCTGAAGGACTTCTGCATATGTGGGTTGAGCCTGCAAGCTTTCAAAGCATTTTCAACAGAGATTTCCCAGTGGAAGACTACAGCAGCAATTCTGCTCAAACAACAGTTTCCTGATTGGTAAGGTATCAATTTAACTTTTATATTAGCAGGATACTATTAGGAATGTTTGTGTGAATAAACTAAGTATATTTAAAAGACAAATCTGTGTAGACATGGGTATGGCTGAGTGCTCTACAGCTCATTGGCCGTGCTCACTGAAACAATGGAGAAAGAAGTTGAGGAAGACAATAGAAGACAGAAAGACCTTCCATCCATGTGGATAAGAAAATTCCATCTTGTGAAAATGGTCATCCTACCAAAAGCAGCCTACAAATTCAATGCATTCCCAAAACAAAATCCAATGCCATTCTTTAGAAATAGAGAAAAAGCAATCCAAATAGTCATATGGAACACAAAAGACCAAGAGTGGGCAAAATCCTGCACAAAAATACTAGGGGAACTATTACCAATACAGATTATACCACAGTCATAATAATAAAAACATCATGATACTGTCACAAAAGACACACATGGGCCAATGGGATAGAATGCAGGACCCTTACGTAAGTAAGCACAGCTACACATTCCTGCAAAGACACCAAATATATACATTGGTGATAAATGACATCTTTAACAAATGATATTGAAAAATCTAGATCTCAATATGCAGAAACATGAAACCAGATCCTTTTCTCTCACTGTCAGAGTTGGTTTTTGTCACCTTGACATGAACCTAACCTAATGAGAAGAGGGACTGTCAACTGAGGAATTGCTTCCATTAAATCATCCCATGGGCAAGACAGTTGAGGCACTTTCTGGGAGAGGAGAAACATCTTTGCCTGCTACTCTTTCAATAGAGGATAAAAAGAACTCAATAAATAAATAAATGTCAAGAAAACAAGCTACCCAGTTAAAAATTGGCTATGGGATTAGTAGAATGTTCTCAAAAGAAGAAATACAAATATCTGTGAAATGCTTTAGCAAGTGTTCAGTATCCTTAGCCATCAAGGAGATGCAGATGAGAACTCCTCCAAGGCCCATCTCACCCCAGTCAGAGAGACCTGAACACGATTCTCTAGGGAGCATGCATGATCTGAAATTTGCCTGTTCCTTCTTGTGACAAACTAGATGTATCAATCAAGCCAACATCACTCATTTCTTTAGTTCTTGTTCCATATAAACCACATGACTCCTATAACAGTGATCACATGTCCATCCCATTAAGTACTCTTCATTAATAAGGTATGGCAAGCCTGTAAGCATTTCACTAACTGATCTTATTTATGTATTTGAATTCCTTTAGTATTTTTCCCCCACTTGATCCTGCCTGGTTCATGCCTTGTCTTCTAAGTATGTACAGCTACTAGCTTCTCTCTTTCTAGAGTGAGCTAGAATGAGAAAATGCACCTCCAAACTGTCACTGGATCCCTTACAGTTTGTACAGAGTAAATACCTTACTTCTTTCCTGGTCTTTGGGACACTTGATACCACCTTAAATAACCTTTCTCGGATTCCCTTGAGAAACCTTATTTATGGCTAAATCTTGAGCACTAAACCTGTGTGTCTACAGGCTGGAGGTTGCCCTCCTATGCTGCTGTAGTACCCTGTTCGTTCAGCTTCGTTTTCACCAGCAGCTCCAATGATGGCTGTATCTGCCCTGCCCCTTGTTCCTGAGGGAAGAAGGGTGCTTCACGCATTCAGGGAGCTACACAGAAAACAATTCAGGCAAGTTCTTACCTTCACTCCTGTCACTACTGCCTACATTTTGTCCTACATGAGATACTAGCAGAGTGTCTCATTACAATACTCTGACGTGTTAGCAAAGCTTGTTCTGACCCCACAGCTCCACCATGGACCTCTAAGGAGACCTAGCCTTGCTTGTTGGGTCTGGAGTGCTAGTAACCTCAGTAGCTGATGCTCTAGGGGCATTACTCCTGCCTAATCCTGAGGTTGGTCTCATAGATTCTTCCCTTGTCCTTACTAAATACAACAGATGTGGTTTAACATTGGATAGTTTTTCTCAAGTGTGAGATGATAGATTCAAGTCAGGTTTTAATCTCTTGGAATCTTCTAATAATTTATCCAACAGCCAATTTTTGGTGATTTTGTACCCACTTAATAGGCACTAATAATGTGCATGTTCTGACTCACCAGTGTTTCCTGGGCTTGTGACTCTCGTACTTGGTCCCCTGGTTGTGCTGCTTTTCTCACTGCTAGATGTGGGTACAGAAGTACTGGCCGTTCCCCCTGGTGAAAATAACACGATGCTCAAGGTACCGGTGAGTTCATTTTGCTTTATGAAAACCCACCAGTATTACTCTCTTTTCATTTATCTTGGAGATTAAGTGACTTGATCCTGGTAACCCAGTTGGTTTACAGATGATCCACAAGCCATACTCAGACTTTCTACTGCATCTACTGCTTCTCAGACAGTCTGTGCCCAAAGACAAATACTAGAAAATTACCAATCTGGTTCCCTACATTGATACTTTAAAAGTTGCTGAAGTAGATAACTGAAATTTAAAAAACTAAAATCATATTAAACATAAACCTTTATTCTGTAGAAATATCATCATACCAGATTTCTTTGTATCTAAATATTTGTTCTATTTTTATTATTGTCACATCATGCAGCCATTGCAAACACTTCTGAATGTTGCCTACCACCAGAGGCATAAATTATGGGAAAGCACTCTGTGTGCTGACTCATAACCAAATGGCATAGCCAACTGACTAGCCATTCTCACCCAAGTATTTCCGATTTGGTTCTTGGAAAATACAAACTCAATGGTCATCACTCTAAAATGTCAATCAATTTAATAACCTAATTAGAATCAACCAGTTACCTATTTTATGCAGCTCTGGTTATATTGATATGAAGTACACCTTATTTCAAGAATATTTGTTATAAATTTAAATCTAGTTATGGGACACGTGTATTATGAATAGAATCAATCCACGGATTAGCTAAGGAATACATTAAAGGAAGCTTCATGCATACACTGAAGGAAAGGCTTTCAAGGACATGTCAGGGTGTTTTCTTTACCTTTAAAAGCTGTTAGAAGAATTGAAGAATTTTAAGTAGCAGAGCAGCATGATGGGAAATTCATTTGGGGTTGGTTTTACAGATAAGTGTGAGTTGGGAGTGAACTCAGGAAAGGGGGGGTGGCAGAGCAGTTGGCTCTACTTGGTGGGCATCAGCTGCTTAAAGAACTAGTTAACACACTCTGTAGGGGGCTCCACTCAACAGCTCCTCATTCTAAGTCAATGGGCTCATTTGCATTTCTTGCAAATTCCCAAAAGATGCTCTGCTGCTCCAGGAACCACACCTTAATCACCTCCATGTTACTGGATGGTAAACTAGGCAGTGGGACCTGGAGAGACTGGTGGACAATGAGTCCAGGGGCAAGGCCAACAGGATACAAAAGAAAGGACACACTGAAGTACTTAAAACTACTGATTGAATGAGGGTCACGGTGAACTGAAAACTTCACTAATAATAACAAATACCTGTGCTTAAAGCATAGCAGTATCTTATTCATAAAAGCTATGAATCTAATTCAGATTTAGTCAATAATGTACAAGGGCAAGAATATCCTCTTTGGCTTTTGTTGCTTGTGAGATCTTTCACAGCGACCACAAAACCCAGTTCTTTACACATGAGGTGAAGGATTCTGTATTCCAATCTGTCTTTGCCAGTTTGGATACCTCTACTACGTTCTCATCTCAATGGTATAGAAATACTGTGGAGTTTATGGCTATTAAGAGCAGTTATGTATTTATGAATATTAGAAACTATTGTATGGGGTAGAAAGTACCATTTACATAGTTTGAATATGGTTTGGTTATTTTTAGTGGTTTATGTTTTGGAGACTGGTTCTCCAAGGTGGCAGTACTAGGACTTGATATAGTAGAACCTAACAGGAAGGTGATATTATTGGTCCTAATGAAGAGACCTCTGTAAAAGACTCAGCCTGGTCCCATGCAGGACTCCATCTCGATATGGATGCAATCCCTCACATCCATGTGTGTTTCCAGTTACCACCCATGACATGTATCCCAAATGGGCTGCCACTATAACAGAGCCCTAGAACCACAGAACTGTGAACCAAATTTAGCTAAACAAATCACTAACATGTCATCATATAAGAATCTTGGACTCTTCCCAGTATTCCAGGTGACTTAGCCAAGGCACCAGGCACTCATTATCTTGTATTCTCCACAGGGTAAACTTGGAGTTAAGCAGAAATAGAGGGATACATGTATAAACATGCTACCAAGCAGAGCTTTGGAGGTTCATAACACACCCATTGAGAAGACTGTGTCAATTGTACTTTCATTTTTAGCTTCTGTGGTTATATCTTGAGAACTGGTTGACACTGATAAAAGTTTAAAAAAAATCAATAATCCAGGCTAAAAATGAGCTTTGGAGCTCCCACCCACCGGAGAGTAGATGTATGTAATTGTAACTTAATATACATAAAAAAATTGTTGAAAGGCTAAAAATACATGGAAAAATCACTCAAGTCTGATGCTTATATGTGAAAATTATTATCTGGGTAGCATGTCTGAAATCAATTCCTTGGCTGGGACCAAGATTATTTGTTCTGCATTAGTGTACCTGTTGTGAGCACAGAACTGGTGACGCTTGAGCTTGGGGCTGCTGTAGTGCCTGTACTTCCAGCCGTGGAGAGAGCAGGAGTTGAGGTTCCAGTAGAGCCTGAGAAAACAGGTGAGGACCTTCTCATCTAATGTCTACATTGGACTTCATCACCAAAGAGCAAGCTAATTCTCTAATCTTTCCATTATAAAAATAGAATAAATAAATGTAGTAATTCCTATTCATACTTGCCCTACAAACTGCTTGTAACACTTTAATATTATCTTTCAAAAAACTTGCTTGACTTAATTCCCCTTTTGGGTGAGGGAGTTGTTATTGTTGCTTTTGCAAAGACATTTTCTGGCAACTTTATCGAGTCACACTACTTCTTAGTGTTAAGAGCCAGCTGACTCCATCTTTCTGCCTTTTCCTAGTTGAAAATCATATTAGTCCCTGATCATGTCCCAAGCTGAAAGTCAACTTGTTTTTTGACTGGTTCTTCCTCTATAGCCTTGTGATTTACATCATAAATTGTTTTCATTGTTTCATGATATACTTTGAGCACTGACTAACCATAAAATGTTTCAAGGCATGTTCTGTTAACTATCTGACCATAAACCAATAACGTGTACATTTCCCATGTACATAAAAATAATTGCAAAATTCAGTTTTGTAATCACTTGTTTGCCTGCTATAAAGATGCTACTCTGCCTTTAGTCTTTGATGCTTCATTCTTCTATGGGAGACGGAAAGTTTGGCCCAACCATAAATAAATTTTTACCTTGCAACCTCTCCGGCTTAACTCCTGGTTTTCCATACCGTAACACTTAGCCGATTTGTTTCAACATTTAGTTTAAAATAAGAGCCTTGTTGCCCTGACTACTCTTAGGCTGGGCTAATAATAACCCTCATGAGATACTATAATGAAATAGCTAGTTGCTATTATCTTCTTTTTCTGTCAATGAATATTAATTTTTGAATATTTGGTATTGCTGTCAATTCTACTTTAGTTGTTAATGGTAAGGAAGAAGATAAAACTGGAAAGAAAGAGGACACCAATTAGCTGTCAAGTCAGCCCTGAAAACATAGATATGAGTAATATTATACAGCCTGAATAGGTTATATTTAGGAATATATATATATATATATACATATATATATGTATATATATATATATGTATATATATGCATGCAATGACAGTTAGTGAAAAAAAGGCATGAATTTAAAAGAGAGTGTGGAGGCCTATTTCCATAGGAGGGACAGAGAAAAGATGTTCAATATAACCCATCACAGGAAAAGCCTCCAGAATAGACACCAGCTACCCAGGCCTACACTGTGCAGCTCACACCTGGCCTGGGGTAAGTACAGCTGCCAGGATGTCCTGTTCCTGTTCCTGTTCCTGTTCAGTACTATAGAAACCACCGGCCAGAGGAGGTTTGGGCGTGCTGTGGAGGCATAGGGAGCTAGGAGCACTTTGGCTGAAGAGATGGAAGGGCCAGCGATGGCCATGGAGGCTATGAAGAAAGGGTAGCATGGGACCCGGAGCTGAGACCTTCCAGATCCTGGACTATCGTGAACTTTATGGAAAACTGCACACAACCCCTGCTGAGGTTGGTTGTGGTCTTCCACACAGATGAATGAGAAGTGTTTTGGCATCTGGCACCATTTCCTTCATAGAGGCAATTGTTCAGAGGGAAGAGCTAGGGAGGGTTGATGAAAAGCGTCATCATGGCCAAGTTAAATACAAATGCAGGCACTGCCCTGAACACCTCACTTGAAAAGCGTGATCCTCAGCCATGAAAAAGAAAGCTGTGGCTGGCCAATGAGGGAATCTCAGATTGCAAAACTCCTACAGGAAGCTGAGTCCAACACACAAACTCATCTCCAAAGACAGAACACACCAATCTAATTTCAGTTACTGAGACTGACAGACCTCTCTCCATCTGCAGATTCAGCTAGAGAAGAAACCAATGGGGGGGGGGGTTGAGAAACCACAGTCATGAAAAATAAGAAAGAAAAACAACTAACATTAACTGAAATAAGACAGATCCAGAAAGCTCCTCATATGTGGAGCTGAGATTTAACTGTTTGTGTACATGTATACGCGAGCATGTGTGCCCACAAGGGGGTGTACATCATGAGTGAAAGTAAAAAGGGGGTTCGTAGGAGTGGAGGAAGAGATCTTAAGGCCAAGCCGAAGTGGGGAATAGAATAAGTGAAGACAGAAAGGCGCACTACTTGGAAAACAGGAGGGGGGTCAGCAAGAAGGGGTTTCACAGATGACAAATGACAATAAAGGAGAGAGGGATTAATAAGAATAAAATCTAATGACATACACATATGGAAATGCCACCATGAAACTCAGTATTTCATACACTAGCTTAAGCAATATAAATTTAAACTGTGCTATTTCTTGTAACAAATTTTCTAATAATGTTGCTGCTATTATAATTTAACTGAGTAGAAAACCATATGCTGAATGTCAAGGGTCCATTGTCAGAATTTGCTCCTGACAAGACAGGTAGAATGAGGTTTCCTGTCTTTGCTCTCAGGGGGCAAGCTAGAATGACTCCTCAGTCGTTAGATACTTTCCAACATATAATAGCTTGTTAAGTAGTGTTGAGGGTGGACAGACATTTTATTTAATAAAAAATAGTTTATAATGTATGTAACATTTAGGTTGAATTACCGATATTTGTTTAACTTTTAAGACAGTGAGATCATGATATGCTTTCTAATGCATGTGCACATATACTTGCTGTCTGCCATTCATTGTACTCTAGGTCCTCTTCCGCTCCGCTACAGGTGAACTGTTTGCTCAGCTCACAACTCAACACCTTCGCTTCAGCTGGTCCCACTTTCTCTGCCTTGATCCAGGTGCCTCTCCCTGTAGACATGCCCTATCGTAAGGTTCTTGCTATGCACGTCAGTTTTCATTTACTCTTTACCACTTCTTTGATGGTGATCTTCCCCGCTACACTGTTGGGAAGTCAGTGAACATGCTGGCTTCATTTCAATAAAGTCTCTCTACACAGCTCAGCCTGGCTTCCAGCTCAGGATGCTCTTGTTTGACTTCTTGACACTATTACAGGCATGGGTCACCACACCTGCTTAATCCGGTTTTCCATAGTTAATGCCAGTCAAAGGGCCTGCCACATAATAAGTACTTGGTAAACAGTGGTCTCCTAAATAAATGAATGTAGCTAAAATACTTTACCCATTTTTAATGCAAAGAACTGGACTCGGAAATGACAAATGATTAGTTCAAATTGCTGCTGGCCAGTAACACAGCTAGAAGTAAAGTCCACTCGCCAGTACCCAGGATTATCCCCACACTGCTTTCTGTGTAAATTGCCTCTGTGTATCCTACGTCACTTCACACAGTTAAGTTTTCTTCAGTATATATGAACCATACTGATGGAAATACTAGAAATTTTACGTTGTAGACATTGAAGAAATAAAACACTATGTTTCCGGTTACTTAAGAAAATGGACATGGAACAAGTAGGTGGAGTAATTGGATAAGAGGTTTCACTGGGAAGAATTCTCAAAATCAGCAGTAGGCAGACTCCTGCAAAGCCCAGGTCTTGATTTCATTTCTCAGTAATCAACACCATCTTTAGATATTTGAAGTTCAAATCTGCTGCTGTGGATACAAAGTCAACATGGGAAGACTATGACACCATGGCCCACAGAGACAGTGGAGGTGAGAACCAAAAGCAAGATGGGCACACCAGAAGACTTCAGCGCAGATTCCATTACTAAATTGACTTTCCCAGTACTAACGTTACCTTAAGGGACCACAACACTCCCAGCTGGAGTACTTTCAACTTGAAGACATTACATTTCACTGAAAGAATCATTCTCGGAAAGAAGAAGAACAAGTCTCCAAAATGTCCCACCTAGATCTGCTCCGATCAATGTGAGGGCACAAGACACACAGCAGATGGCAGGGTATGGCTAGGACATGTATAAATACCCTTCCTTTACTAGCAGGAATATGTGACAATCCACTTTTCCTCATGGTTTAATTAACAAAATTTATAAAACATAGCATCCTTAGCAATCATTATAGCTGTAACATTACAACTCAACTTTCTCCATCACTTGCCAAACATCTTATATCTGGAAGTACTTGACATTGCCAATTTCTCTGTACCGGCTTCTTTGTTACCAAGACATAACTGATGATAGCAGGAGCATCTTCCTTTACACACACACTGCTCCTCCCCATCCTGCAAGACAGCATGGGTCCATCCGGCTACACTGAAAAGCTTCCCCAGTTGGCCCTGCCTGTTTGTTTCTAATCTCATTCTAAATTTAAATGTTAATACTCTTGTTGCTATTTTTCTAGCCATAGGAATGTTTTTTCCTCACATTTAATAATCATTTCATTTTTATAAGGAAATGACATCATGTTTACCTGGCATCCATACCAGAAACATAAACCTGTGGTACCCAGTACCTTCCCACTCACAAACAGCAAACAGTGCTGCAGAACCTACCAAATATGGCAAGATATCTTATTTTTGGAGAAAATATCTACAAATTTGATATCTTTCAGAATGAGGTTTATTTTGTTTTATTGATCACTGATTTTTTTTTCATCAAACTTCCCTACTAGAAATCTCATTTCACTTACACGGTGAACTATTAGTGACAGTCTACTAAACACTCACTGTGCCACTAAATTGTACTATATTTTAACAGCTTCCTCAAATCCTAAAGTGTAAATGTGGTTATTTACCCTATTTAGCAAATGAGGAAGTGAATGTCAGTATTTTAGGAATTTAAACTGGGATCATAAAGCTAGGAAGAATAAAAGTAGAGATTCAAATTCTTATTTTCCTCACTGCATACCCCATTGCACCCTGCAGTCTCTCTAAAATACCCTGGTGTGATATTTTCTTTCTGTGTTTGGTGCTATCTATGGATGAGCAGGATGAAAACAAATATCTGTGGAGTTTGACATTATGACATCGAGAGACTGAAAATGCTTGAAGATTGGAGAAATAAATTTTATTATATTGTTATATAATTGAAGGCCAATTTTTATTGTTTTATTTTTTTCAGGCAGGTCTTACCCACTTAAAAAAATTAAATTACATTTTTATTTGTG